CCAAGAGGATAGTTTAGATGTCTTAGAAAAAATGTTTTCGGCTTCAAAAAAAATATTAAAAAAAACAGTGATTTTTTGGGTTTTTTTTTTTATTTTATTCGCCATATTGGATTTCCTGGTGGACCAATCTCTATTTTGACCTCAAAATCTGAAAGAGCGATACTCAATACCCCCTAGAATCCATGGGCATTAAAATATCTGGTCTTTTAATGTTTTAATTCTTTCATTGAAGTTAAGTTAAAAATTGTGGACATTTGCGCGTTAATGGGCTAAACCGAATTGGGACGTTACGGTGAATTCTTTTTTTCTTACCTTGAGTTCTTTTCATCTGAATCGATTGAATTTACGGTATTTGATTCGAGTTGGCATTATAAATGAAAGAAGTGATTGTTCTTAAGTGTAAAAATGCCGATTACGAACAGGAAATATGAAATTTTGTTAAATTGTGAAAAAGATAAATTTGACATGCAGGCTGTATAGTGTTGATCTATTACTATATGATTTAGGCTGTTTTTGTAGTTCGCGTTGAGAGCGCTGTGAGCATAAGTGAATCTTTTTAGAAAAAAAGGTAGAAAAAGTTAACTTATTATTCAAATTTATCATTTTCACAATTTAACAAAATTCCATATTTCCTGTTCGTAATCGACATTGTTACACTTAAGATCAATCACTTTTTCATTTATAATGCCAACTCGAATCAATAAACGTAAATTCAAACGATTCAGGTATCTTTGTTTTATTTTCTAGTTGTAAATATATAAATTTATTTATTTTTAACAATTTTTGAATGTTTTTAACAGAAAAAAGTAAAGTGACATCTAATTAATCGTTTGTTAACTAAAATTGCTCAGTAGTATTAAAATATTGTAGTAGCCCACACAGCACAGTATATTGCTGTAAGCTTACCTCAAGCTTACATGTAATTTTTGTAAGCTAACCCTGTAAGCTTCAGGTAAGGTTCAAAAATATTTTAAAAAGTTAATATTTTTTAATATTTAATAAAATATTTTAAAAAATGTTATTTATTAATACGTTTAATAATAATAATTAATAAAAAATATATTTGAAGACTATATAAGTATTATCTTTTTTTTTTGTTATTTAAATTTTTTGTCATAATACCCGGTGATTATGATTATTATTGTTATTATTATTTCTTTGTGGAAAGAAACCCTTTTTTTCTTATATATAAAGAGGGTACTTATTAACAGACATTACGGGTTGAAAGAGAAGAAGAGAAACAATCCACAACGAGATTAAAAAGGTCCAAAGAAAAAAGCAAAACGCCCTTAATAAAATTCCCCGGGGAATGTAAATTAACTTTCTTGCGCCGCGAAAGATTCTTACTATAAATATAAAGACAAGAAAATAAGTATTTCACCGACATAACAAGCCGAGAAACATAAATATATATATATTTAAATTACAACTCTTTATATATAAAGCAAACAATTTAAAAATAATTTCTTTTTCATTTATGAGAGAATTAAAAAAAAATACCCCAAATATTAAAATATACCATATAGTATAAAGATTTAATTCTATATATTATTATATACATTTAAATATTAAGCCTCGGCTTTTTTTATAAATAATTTTTAAAAACCCAATGTGAATTCTCATTCGAACAAGAACAGTAGGGAATCGAACATATATATGTATATACTTTTGCAATAAATTGAAATTTCTATGCCACAAACGTTTCAATCTATTGGTTAACCAGCAAGCTTCAATATCAGAAAACCTTTTGAACACTTTCATAAATTTCAATCCAGTCTGCATACAGATATTTATCGAAACTTGAGCTATACTACATTACGAGACGTTATAATATTTTAATAACAAATTGAAACTTTAAAAATGACAATAACTAATAGACAAAAATTTATTTTTACATATAAACATTCAATTATTATAATAATCAAAATTTTATTTTTCATTCAAAAGTGCATTTTAGAAAAAAAATAATTATACCTAACAAATTCTTTTTTATTATTACTTTCATTTTTTTTTTTTTTTTTTAATTTATAACAAGTTAATAAACTGAAGTTTAAACAATCATAGTAATTAATAACAATTAATTAATCATTAAGAAACTTCTAAAGTTATTAACATTTTGAAAATAGTTAATAACAATTCACAGCCAACAATAATGAAATACAATCTAAATAATTATATATCAACAAAAATTAATTAAAAACGTTAATTTTTTTACTATATATTTAAAATATTTCAAAGAAAAATCGAAGAAATTTCATATTCAATATTATTTTTTATCTATTAGTAGGACAGAGAAAAACGCATTTCAAAAGTATTCTGATGACGTTAACATTTAAAAAAATTATAACTTTCATAATTTTTATCAAATAAAGAAATAAAAAAATTCGTATTTTCTTATTTTTCATAAAAATTTTGAAAAAAAATTTTTAAATGAAAATCTCACATGAATTTTTAATTATAATAATTAAAGCATTAAAATGTTAAATTATCCATATACTTATTGAGCTTATAAATTATTATATATGAGATAATTATTTTTTCATGAATTATAATGAGACAAAAGTTTTGAACGTTCAAATGAACGAAATTTTTTTGCAACTTCTTTAAGTACGAATTTTATTACAAAATATTGTTTTAAATATCTAAAAAGAAGTTATTAATTTAATAATTGTTTAATTTACTGTTTTATTTTACATTGCCATCATAATTTTTAATAATTTATAGATTGAAAAAAATATTTCGTTCATTTGAACGTTCAAAACTTTTGTCTCATGAATTATAATTTTTTCGTTTTTGTAGAATATTATAATTTTAATTGAATTCATGTAAAATTACATATTATATATGTATATATTTATTGATTTCCATTTGAAAATTGTAAAAAAAATAAACACAATTTATCTGGTTGATTAATTAGCTTGTTGTGTGCGTCTTTTAATTAGAGTCACTATGAGGGAATGCACGTAGAAAATTAATTTATTCTCTTATATTACTTGCTTTTCTCCATTTCATCATCTACATTTCCGAGAATATAAATGCTAAAATAGATATATATACAATGTGTATATAATGAAATATAATTCAATTAGCTCGGGAGAGTTTTAAAATTGTGAAATTCAAGATAAAAGCTTTAAATATTTTGTTTTGTGATATTTTAAAAATAATAATTTTTTAAATAGTAGCTTTTAAATAATAACAAAATAGTTCATAATTCACTTTACAATTTGAAGAAAGTATTTTTGAAATAGTATATTAATTAAGAAAAACAATTTTTTTCTTTAATATTTTTAAAATTTTTTATTTAAAAAAAATTTTTTAAATCAAATTATAAATTAGAATTTATTATAATTTTTTTTATATTAAACCGTTTAGATTCTATTAATTCTTAAATATTTATTTATTTATTGAAAAATATAAGGGCAAAGCATAAAATATTTTATTTTTTAATAAAAATTTTTCTAAATTCATATCAAATTATTTAATTTTAAATTAAATTCTCAATAATCTTCAAAAAAAATTTTTAATTTTGTTTTCATGTTTAATTTATGATAAATTTTAATATTTTATTTTATTCAAATTTAAAATATATACCTATACAATATTTTGTTTATGAAAATAATTAAATTTTTAAAGTAATATTAAAATTATTAAAAATAATTGACCTTTGGAAGAATTATAGTTGAAATTTTTAGAAATAATTGAATTTCAAAAGATTTTGTTAAATTTCAGTTAATAATTAAATTTTACAGAATTGAAAATAATTTATCCAATAATTTTAGATAACATTTTTGAAAAGTAATTGAATTTTCAAAGATTTACAATTCAGGTTTTTGAAATTAATTGAACTTCAAGTGATTTTTAATTGAAATTTTTTGGTAAAGAATTTATTAGAAATTACAGACAAAAATTAAATTTCAAAACTTTTTAATTGAAAAATGCTTTTAAATAATTGAATTTTTGAAAAATATTATAAAAAATCATTTAAAATCATTAAATTTTGGAAGAGTTACAGTTAAAATTTTTAGAAATGATTAAATTTAAGTTTTAAATCGAAATTTTTGAAAGTACAATTGAATTAAGGTAATTTTCAATTGAAATTTTTTCTTGATTTCTATTGCTGAAGAATTTGATTAAAATTAAAGACAAAAATTAAACTTAAAATTTTTTTAATTGAAAAATGCTTTTAGATAATTTAATTTTCGAAGAATATCATAAAAATCATTAAAAATAATTGATTTTGAAATTATTAAATTTCAAAAAGTTTTAGATGGAAAATTTTAAAAATAATTAAATTTTAAATGGTTTTAAATTTAAATTTGTGGTAATTTTATTTGATTTTTTTTTTTTGTAAATTGAAAACAATTGTTGAATTTCATAAATTAAAATTTTTAATTCAAAAATAATTTAAGATAATTGAATTTTTGAAGAATTTCATTAAAATTATTAAAAATAATTAATTTAAAGAAAAATTTTAGTTAAAATTTTTTTTAAATAATTGAAATGAAAAAGATCTGTATTGTATACTAAAAAAGACGTATTTTGTTTAAAAATATTGTAAAAAAAAAGTCGAAAAAGTCGCATCTTATTTAAATAAGTCAAAAAAAGTATTTTCGAAAAAAAGTCAGAAAAAGTCGAAAAAATCGTATAATCCGAGGCCTGTAATTGCTATTTTATGTTAATTCTTAATTAAAAAATGAAGAAATAGAAATTTTTTTCAATTTTTACAAAATAATTATTTGACAAAAAATAAAAAAAAACTGTAGTATATCCCTAAAAATCCTAAAATTCCATTTTGATTCACTCGCTCTTTTTACTGAGAAATATATTGTCTACATGAAAATGTCTTCCGGGTTCTACAACTGGGAGGGTAAAGCCGTACTTTGTCAACGTTGATGCTTTTCAAGAATATCACGAACGTCTCTAATAAATAATTCCAAGAAGTATAGACTTAATTAACTTTCTTTTTTTAAACAAAAAAAAAAGAAAAAGACGCAATTGCATTTTTTTCAAACAACTTAATTTATTAACATAATTTTATTGGATATAGAATACATATTTATATACATACAAAGTTTATCGTGAAACATTTTTTTTTCTTTTTTAATTATTATTTTATAAAAATATTTTTCAAAGTTTAAAAATTATTTACATACAAAAATTAATTTTTAATTATATACCTAATATTTTTGCGCGCGTGTACGATAAAAAAAAGAAGTAATTTTACCACATTATTTATTTAAGACATTTAACTGTTTTTAATGAAATGAAATAATTTATAAACTCTACCTATTAAATTTCTACAACATCATTAACATAATTTTCAACTGTTGCAAGAAATAATTCTCTTGTGAGATTTTGATGATTTTGTGAAACAATTTGAAATTCATTTGTCACAATTATTTGTCGAATATTACGTTTTATAAAATTAATAGCATGCGCTTTTAATTTTTTCACTTGACGCTCTTCAGCCCAAACTAAACGACTTAATGCATTTTCAATGTTCATTGTATTCAACAAAAATGATTCAATTAAATCACTTAGATCATGAATTTTTAATCTAATCGCTGTTTCATATAATTCATCAGTATTCTCAAGTAAATTAGAACATTGTCCCGTGTAAATAAATGAAATTAATTCCTGACCAATTGATAATGGTATTGGCAATCTAAGTTCATTGTTTTTTAATTTTTTAATTTTTTTATATAAAACTTCACTTTTATCGGCAATTATTGCTTTATGTACCAATAAATTTACATCGTCAAAAACAATAGTCAAATCACTGAAATCAGAATTTTGAAACATAAGACTTTGATTTAATTGATTTTTAATGTTTTGTTGATTGTTGTAATTTTTTTCCACACATTTTTTCACTTCATTTTCAAATTGTGTTAAAGAAATTTTCATGAAAAATTCAATACCATCATTTTGCAAAAATTTACTGTTTGGATAAATTAATTCATCCCATGTTATAAATTTATTGAAACCAAAATAATTAATATTTGCTGGTGAAATATTTTTCAATGACATTGTATGACATTTTTCATTTTGATCATTTAAAATTGATAAATCGAAATTTAATTTTAAAAATGATTCCTTTTTAACGTTATAATTTACATAAATAGCAATATATGTTTCTGTACTTGATGATGATAAATTTTCTTCATTTTCATCATTATGTAATTTTAATGATGCAAACCATCCAGAAAATTCATTGTTTCCCGATGAAAATTCTTCAGATTTTATCGTTGTTTTTGTGCCCAAGAGTTTTTTAAAATTACTAATTGTCCATTTAAATTCACAATCTGAAGTCACTAAATTGGTTTTGATATCATTATATTCAATACAACTACGTTTTTTGCTATGCATTTTTTTTTTTTTTTTTTTTTTTTTTTGTTCATCTGAAAATTTTAAAATTCAAAAATTGAAATTTAAAGAATTTAAATTAACTTTGTACTATTATTTAAATGATAAAAAATACAAACGGTAAAATAAATTTGAAATTCAAAAAAAATTTTATATACCTAAAATGAAATTATAGATAGAAAAAAATTTACCATATAAATGAAAAATTATTATTATTATTATTTAATGAAAAGAAAATAATTTAAATATAAATATCTACTATATAATTATTTATCCAAAAATAGTATAATTTTTTGAGGTTAGATAATGTGACAGAAATAATGACAAATCCCTTCACATTTATAATAGAAATAATTTCTTTATCAATTTATTTAAATTATTCTTCACTTACCTAATTTTGAAACATAATTCCTCAAAAAACCAGTACAATAAACAATAACATGGAACAGTTGCAATGTTTACTTCTTTCAAACAATTGTTTACAATTTTAAATTATAAATACAATAGAGCATAGATTCTAAATTAAGTAGAAGGTTATTATATTGAACATTTTGAATATATACTTCTCACCGCAGCGCCACGTAACGCATTAATTGCTAACTAAACGTTTTTTGATTATTTAAAAATAATTTCTCAAGAATTAGCAAATTAATTAATTAATTACACTTTCCAAAAATTAGAATTTTTATGTATTAAAAAAGTTAATAAGAATCTAATTACTTCTTTTTTTCTTTCTCTTTCCACGATTCAAATTTTAAATTTACCGCGATAAAATTGTCCCACATCAACTAACGTTTTTTTTTGTACAGGAAATTTAATTTTATTTTACTATGGAAATAAATAAATTTTTCACTACTAATAATAATTCTTAGATAAATTTTGTGCATAAAAAGATAATTGAGCATTTCTAAATTTCCTAAAATGAGTAAAATATACGTATAACATACATAGACCGATACACACTGTGACTACACAGGTGCAAGTAGGATCAACAATGCTCAGGGGCAGCAGCATGTTTGGGAACCTAACCTACAAAAGTTAAATTTGACAGCTTTACAGTTGCATCATAGGCATATTTTTATTTTATTTACATAAATGAATTAAAAGTAGGGAGTAATTAGTTCACTGTTCGTAGTGCTTTCGTAATTGTGTTTTTTATAAACTAGAACGAAATTCTTTTAAATCTTTTTAAATATGGAACAACAAGGCAAGTTTGATGATAATCATTCGTAAACCTTGATAACGTTTTTTTATTGGGAAAAATTTTAGATATAATATATTTATATATTTATATAATATTTGTGTGTTTATATGTTATTATTTAGAAATTTGCCGATACTTTAATGAAATTATCAGAAATGACAAGGACGTTTCTGCTGGTGTTGCTGCTATTCGAACACTTCTTGAAGTTTTGGAACACTCAAAATGTAACTTTCTCTTTACATACAATTTCAATAATATTAATAATAATGTTTCGAAGCATTGTTTAAAATAATTGAAAAGAAAATTTTATTTTATACAAGGTCAAGTTTTAAAATTTTAATATATTAATTTGTCTTAAAAAAATTATTTTTTACTTTAATAAATAACGAGAAACAATTTAAACCAAATATAATTGGTTATGTTTAGGGGTAACAATTTTTAAGAAAAATGTTTTGGAACCTAAAATCATATTTCACTATGAAAAATAAAAAAAAGTAATTTTTAACAATTTTACAATTTCTTTTTATTTTTGGAAAAAATTAGGGTGTCTAACGGTCAGGAAAGTCAGGGAATTTCTTTAATTTTCTGGAATTTTTTATGAATAAATTCAAGTAACTATTTAATTTCAAAAAATTTTTTTATACTTTTTTCCCAAAGCAAATGCAAATTGAAAAGTTGGCCTTCACACTCAATTATTAAGCATATGATATATCTTATATTCATTGAGTAAATAATTATTTACTACTATTTATTGAATCTAATAAATGATTTTTTAAACTTGGATAACAATTCATTAATTTTTTTCAGTGAAATTTTTGGTTTTTTAATATAAATAAAAATTATTTGATACATTTTTATTTTATCGGTTCAACTTGAAATAAAGTAAATTATTCATTAATAAGAATAATTTATTATTTAATGCTAATACCGAAATTTAAGTTATAAAAATTTTTACGCCGTCGAATATTAAATTATCGAATTTCTATTTAGCAAAATTGTATAAAGTGGATTTTATATTATGCAAAATTTTCAATTTACATTTAACTAAAATTCGATTTAAAAGAATTTCTATTTAGCAGAACTGTTATAAAGCATTTCTTCTAATACTTTTTTAAAATTTTAAACTAATATAATTTCAATTAAACGAAATTTATGTCTATAAAAATTGACAAAAAAAAAACTAAGTAGAATTTTTCTTAAATGAGAATTCTGTTAAATAAGAATTGGTTCAAATTAAAATTTTCTTTAATAAAAACTTTGTTAATTAAGAATTTTGTTAAATAGAAATTCTGTTAATTGTGAATTTATTCAATGTCAATTCTGTTAAGTAAATATTTTGATAAATCGAAATTTACTAAAATAACAATTCTGTTAAAAAAATTTGTCTTTGTGCCCCAATTTTTCTTGACATAAATTCCGTTAAATTAAAATTGTATTAATTTGAAATTCGATGTACTACAAAATCTGCTTTATATAATTTTACTAAATAAAAATTTGATAATTTAAGATTTGATGCCGTAAAAATTCTTTTAAATTAAATGTTGAGAATATTTATACGTCCACAATTAGTTTATTTAATTCACTTAAATATTTCATTTTTTACGAAACATTATTATTTATTTGGTTCAAATACATATGAAATTAGTGGATAAAAGACAGGTAAATTATTTAATTGTACCTACCTATCAAAATTAATTTTATTTGATCAAAATAAAATTTTTTTAGTGAAATTTCAGGTTAGGGAAAACTCAATGAAAAGTCAGAGAATTTTTTTCCTAGCAGTTGTTAGACACCCTGAAAAATTGAATTTTTTCAAAATCCATACGATTGATTGTTTAGAATTATGAAAAAATTGTATAAAAATATCTACAATGAAAAGTAATAAAAATTGCGACAGAAGTTTATATTTAGTTTTAAAAATTTCGAGTTTTATTTAAAAAATTATTAATAAATTAATTGTTTTTCAATTTTCCATAGTATATTACAGTTTTAAATACTTAATATTGTTAGAAAAAAAAAAAATTGACAATCTTAAATAGTTTTAATTTCGGAAGGTTGATATTTCAGTTGTCCCTACCCTTAAGAATTGAAGCGCATAAATTCTAATAATTTTGCTTCCTCGTGGAGGAAGCTTTGTAGTCCATTCATTTATAAAATTTTCCAAAGTGGCGGAAACAAATTAGAAGATAACTTTAACAGGTTTTAATGGATTTAGATAAAATTTGGTAGGCTCATTTATCATATTAATATCTCAAATCTGACCAAAGGATTTTGGAAAATATCCCAAAAAAAAAATTTTATCGTCTTTTTTCAAAAAATTTTTTTTTAATCGAAAAAATTTTTAAATAGAAAAATTTAAGGTTATATATAATAAAATCGTATTCCTTACGTCAAGACGAATCGATCAATATATATAAAGTATTCATTTGAGGTAAATTTAAAGAATTAATGAAAGTTAAAAAATCAAAAATTGACATTTTGGCAATAAAATTTTGCTTTCTCTACGAGGAAGCAAATTTTTTTGCTGATCGTAAAGAGGAAGCAAAATGTTCATGTAATGAACATCTGAATTTACAACTTGTTTCAATTATTGTCATTTATTTTTAGCTGAAACTGTTCAGGAATTGCGATTTTGTTTACAAAATGCAATTGACGCAATGAGATCGACTGATCATCCAGTTACATCAATTGCATCTGGAAGTGAACTTTTCCTTCGATTTATTACATTAGCCACATTAGACACACCGGTATGTTTAAATAAACGTGTACGTACAAATAAGTCTGGGCAATTTTCTTTTATTTTTTTTTTGCCATGATTTAACTTAAAAAATAATTTAAATAAAAAAAAATTTTTTTTTAATCAATATTCTTTTAACAAAGTAGCAAAAAAAAAATTCAGTCACTAATTCAAGTTAGTTAAAATTTTTACTAATTCAAATTTTAAAGAGTTTAAAAGTTCTTTTTGTAGAAAAAATAATCTTAAACATTATAATTTTATAAAATAAAAATTACTATTTCCTTGATAGAAAAAATTAATATTGTGTAATGCTTGTGATTATTAAATTTATTGTTTAAGTATTTATTTAAAAAAAAGAACAAATCTGAAAAATTTGATGTAAGTAAAAAATTATTAGCTCTGCTGAAAATTAATTTTAATATTTTTACATTACGAATTTCATTTAACAATTTAGAAAAATATTGCCTTTTCCTCGACTTTATTATTTAAATAACTTAATTAAAATAGAATTACAGAATATTTTTTACTAAAATATTTTTCTTTTTTTAAATTATATAAATTTACACAATTCAAAATTATTATTTAAAATGTAAAAGTAGATTTAAAGAAAAATAATTGTTTAAGCCCAGATTAAATTATTATTTTTGTTAGAATTATTAATTTTATTTTTATCATTTATAATTCGTTGTAATTTTTTCCAGTCATTTGCTGAATGTAAGGACATAATGTTGCACAGAGGAAAAATATTTTACAAGAAACTTGTGGCAGCTCGTGGAAAAGTTGCTAAACATGCTGTGCGATTTATTTCCGATGGAAGTGTAAGTAGTTTAATTTTTTATCTAAACTTTTTGGTAGCCCAAGAAAGAAATTATTTACAATTATTTATTATAATATATTCAAATTAACGACCACTAAAGAAAGCAACTTAAAAATTGAAGAATAAAGAGTAAGTTAGAGAGATTTTTTATATTATTATAATTTTTTTATTTTATTTATTTTCTAAAACGCACATTGTCCGGAATCAGTAATTAGCTAAAGGAATTTATTATTTAAAAATTTTTTTTTGAAATTATTAATTTTTCTTTCAAATTTCTGCTTTTCTATAACTTTCTATGTTGTTAAATAATTTTTTTCTTTCCATTTTCTAAAATTTTTGTTTATTAAAATGTTTTTTTTTTTCTTCAAATATGTTATTATTTTTACAAAATCAGGCCAAAAATTCTCAGTTTTCCCCGTAAATTCTTCTTTTATTTTAAGGTAAAGGAAATTGTACAAATAACTGGAAATTCAATCGACATAGTGGACATCCTGTAATTCCTTTAATTAAGAATTTTTTCATTAAAATATTTTGTTCAAAAAATACTATAGTCGATCATTTAAAAAATTGTATAATATTATAGCAATAAGTAAATTCTTTTCTACAATTTTTGTTTTATAATATTAGCAACAATTATTCTTAAAATTTTACAGAAAATCTTGACTCATTCGAAATCGAGAGTTGTTCTCGAAACAATGAAAGAAGCTGCTCAAAACAGTAAATCTTTTGAAGTTTACGTGACTAATTCTGCGCCTGACAACAGCGGGTGAGTAAATACCTAGAAATTTTTAATTTATATTCTTTTGACAACCTATTTTATTATTTCACTTGTTTCATTCATCACTAGCTGTCGAGCTTTTTTAAAATTCAATTACATTTAAAAAATTAAAATTTGTTTAATATTCAATTATTTTATAAGAAAACATGAATTTTTATTTTATTCGTTTATTTATTAATTGAAAAATTGATTGTTTATTATAAATTAATTTTATTTCCATTATCTATTAATAACGTCGTTGCGTCCTCGAAGAAAACGTAACATAACCATATCTCGTTGCATTAATGTTTCACGATTTGCAAAATACGCTAAAACGACGGCTTGTTCATAAAATTGAACAATGTAAATTTCTGCAGCCTCACGAAGTGCTTCAATTGCTTCAACTTGAAATCTAAAAATATATTTTTTTTTATTAAAATTATTTTATTTTTATATTCTCTTTCTATCATTTGACCCAATTTCCAGTTCAAAATAAAAATTTAATGAACTTTGAAATAAATTAGAATTATCAATTTATATAGAATTAATATTATATAGATTTAATTATAAATAGTAAAAATTTCTTTTTTTTAACCTTCGAATCTTAGTTCGAGGCAATATGTCATCCATGATATCCTTTATTACACGAATAAAAGCAGCTTTTGGAATAATTAACTTTGTACTTCTTCTTAAAGCTTTAATTTCTGTAAGAACTCGCTTTCTTCGGGGTCTTGTTACAACTTCAATTTGTACCTGAAATTTTTGAAAATTTACTTTTAAACTATATACAATCAAAAATTTCAACATTACATTAGTTTCGTGTAACTTTTTTAATTTCTCAAAATTGATCTTGCGAATATTTTTAAATATTTAATTGAATTATTATTATTATTATTATCGTTATGATACTTATTAATTAGAGATTTTAATTTAAAAATATTAATTAAAAATAAAGAAAATAAAATGTTTATTATTGTCAAAGAAAACAATTCAATGTAATTTACTTCATCGCTACTATCACTTGCTGTCGAATTGGAAGTGCCGGGTTGATTAGATAAAGCACTAATATAAAAATAATAATGTAATTAATTTAAGTGACAATTCATTAATAATTATTAACATTTATAACCATACAAACCTTGGTTGGGCTTTATGTCGTACCATAATTAAAAAATGACTTTCTTTCAATTTATAAATGTAATTAATTATCGAATGTCTCAATTTTTTTAAAATGCAGTAAAATACTTATAAAAAATTAATAATCATTCGTTAAAGAATACAAATTAATATAATTTTTATGTTTGAAGATAAATTTCATTTGTTATTATATTTCCTCTGAAGTTGTATAAAACAACTTTTTTTTTGTTTTTTTTTTTTTTTATTAAAGTAATAAGAAATAATTAATTCAAAAAGAAATTGAAGTTAAAAAATTTGAGAAATAATTGAGTTTTGAAAGAGCTAAAGAGAGGAAGAGTTAAATTTTCTGAAACTAATTGAATTTTAGGAGATTTTTAATTAAAATTTTTTTTTTTTTTTTAAATAATTGAATTTTCGAAAATATTGATTAAAATTATTAAAATTAAATTATTCAACAAAGAATTGTATGAAGAAATTTTTGTTTTATCATAACATACGTCATTTGTTATTTGTATTTTAATTATTAAATTATATAATATAAATTATAATTGAATCGATTGGTGCAAAAACAGCACAAGTCCATTTTTTCGAAATTTTTTTTTAAATTAAAATAAAGCTACACAATTTGGTAAATATTACATTTTTATTGATTCCTGAAAAATTTGGATTTATGAACTTGTGCTGTTTCTGCACCAACTGATTCAATTCTATTTTACTTTCCTTTTATTGTTGACTCTATTTTTATTAGATTTTTTTAAGTATTATTTTTGAATTATTTTTTTATTTATTTTTTATAGAAATTTTTAAAAAATATTTTCAAAATTGCCAAATATCGAACTATTAGAGAGAGAGATTTTAAATATATTTTTATTTTCTTTCATTAGAGAGGAAATGTGTCAAAATTTGCAAAAATTAGGAATTCCTTGTACAGTAATTTTCGACTCGGCAATGGGCCATATAATGGAACGAGTTGATATGGTGATTGTTGGAGCCGAAGGTATCGCCGAAAGTGGAGGTATTATTAACAAAGTAAGTTGAAAAATTTTTGTTTAAAAATTTGATTTAAATGTATTTCAAAAAAGAATTTAAATTCAAAATCTAGAGAGAAAAAAATTAATTCTTTATATTTTTTTATACTTTTATGATAAATTTAAAAAACAATTTCCTTTATTTATAAACGGGCCTTAAAAAAGGTAAAAAGTAGACGTAAAATTTTTTTAAAAATTTTATTCGGTAATTAAATATAAGATTTTTATTACCTATACTTATCGTTATTTAAATATTCGTTAATTAAAAGTGAAAAATACTGATTATTATTGTTAATTAATTTTATTTGTCAGATGGGAACTTATACAATGGCACTTTGCGCGAAAGTTGCAAACAAACCATTTTACGTATTAACAGAAAGCTTCAAATTCTCAAGAGTTTATCCCCTTAATCAAGCAGATTTACCTGACGAATTTAAGGTAACATTTTTTTACTTTCAATAAATTTAATTAGTTGATAAATATTTTATTATTATTAACAATTTGTTATTAGAAATTAAATAAAATTTATTAATTTCTTAATAAGAATGTTTCACAGAAATATTTTCAAGAATTTTTCTTTTTAAACTACTGAATTAAGCTGAGACAAATTTTCAAGATTTCAATTCAGTTTCAAAATAGATTTTTAAATATAATTTAAAGGTACATTGAAGAATAGAAAATTTTTTAATTCTGATTTATGCACCTCATTCAAATTAAGAATTTCGGAAAATGTTTTAAATAATTAAATTTTCAAAGAATTTATTTAAAATATTATTGAACAAAAATTTAATTTTTAATGAAAATTTGTGAAATAATTGAAGTTTAGAATATTTTTAATTAAAATTTTTAACATAATTGAATTTGGAAGAGTTTGATTAAAAATTTTTAGAAATAATTGAATTTCAGGAGATTATTAATTGAAACTTTCATTTTGAATTGGTGAATTTTTTTTTAAACTTTAGACAATAATTGAATTTTAGTGAATTTTCAATTGAAAACTGATTGTAGATTAATGAATTTCTTAATTTTCAGTATACAGCGAGTACATTAAAGAAGGATTTAAAGAAAGAGCATCCACTTGTTGATTATACTCCTCCACATTATATCAATCTTTTATTCACTGATTTGGGAATTCTCACACCATCGGCTGTTAGTGACGAACTTATAAAGCTTTACTTATGAAACAAATAACATTTGTACATATATATTTAAAAAAAAGGAATTTTAACTTCTTTTCAAATTTTTGTGTTCTTTTTTTTTGGATTTCAGAAGTAAAAAAAAAATTAATTTAAAAAACGAAAATATAGAGAAAATTTTGTTGATTACAGTTTATTATATATTTTTTTTTCTCGTTTGCACAATTGCATATTAGACGACTTTCATGAGTATTTGTAAATACAATAATTTGCAATATTGCACCGTAAACTTTTAAAGTTTCACGTAAAGCATTAACAGAGTTGTTGTTATTATTATCACACATAATTGAAAAAAAAATTCATGTACATAACAATAGCAAATGCTAAAATAATCATAGAAAGTGAAAATAAGTCATTTTTTTTTATAAGGAGGAAAACAAAAGAACTGAATTTCGTGCGATATTAAAATCAAATTCCTTTTCTTATGTTTCCTTGATCGCTTATTTTTATTCTCTCTCTTTCTCTCTCTCTCTCTCTTTCTCTCTCTCTCTCTGGGGGAAAAAAATCATGAAAATCACAGAATAAATACTTCTTTTTAATTAAAAAAAAAGGATGACGTAGAAAACATTGTTATCTATATTTAAAAAAAAATCCATCAACACTCTTTAAATCGCTAATATAACTTGTAACTAAAATATTTGGACGTAATTTCATGACTTGCGACTTAAAAATAATATTATTACGTTTCATCGATCATATACAATTATATAATTTTAAAATGATTGAAAAAAATATAACAGATTGCTAAATAAATTGCGCTTACAAAATAAACATAAATTCCTATTTTTTTTATAATACTCTGGAAAATAATGAAAAAATTAAAAAAAAAATTATTAAACTCTGCGAACATTTCTTTTTTTCTCATATATAAAAAAATAAAAATAAAACAAAAAATACATTTTATAATGCTTTATACAGAAAAAAAAGTTCTCTTTAACGACTAACAAATAATTCACTTGAAATATATTGCACTAATAATGTTGAAATTAATTAATAAAAAAATAATAATAATAATACCCTTGCGAGGGTTTCAACAAATATTTTGACAATTTCATATTTTCTCACAATTAAGTATTTGAAATTCTCAAAAAACGATTCAAATTTGAATAAATTTTGTTATAAAAACATTTTTTACTTTTGCAGATAAATCTAATTTTTTTTTATAAGTAAGCTTGTGATAAAGTCTCGACTATTGAAAAAATTTGATCGAAATGTGGTCTATTTTCTGGATCATATTCCCAGCAACGTGACATTAATCGATAAACTTCGTCGGGTGTTCCCTCCGGTGCTGGCATTCGATAACCTGAACGAAAAAATAATTAACTAGCAAATATTTTACTTCCTTTTTTTTGCCTAGTAAAAGAATTTGCTATTTTTCATTTTAGTTACAAAATATTTGCATTATCACAAAACCAATAAATTTCTTTAAAGGAAGTGGATTTCGTTGCACGTTAATAAATTCTTTCTAAATTACTTGAATTTGTTTAATTTTATTAAATAATTTTATAATTTCGATATTTTCCAAAAAACAGAAAGTGATCAACAGGCTTAAAATTTTTATAAAAGGAATCTATAAATCGAAAATGTCAAAATCGACGATATGTTAAATATATTAAAAATAAAATTTTCATACCTTTGTCAATTTGTTCTCGCGCTTGAGAATTGGACATTCCATGATAAGGACTACCGCCTTTTGAGAATATCTCCCACATTAAAACTCCATAACTCCAAACATCACAGAGAGAAGTATATTTTCCTAAACATCGAAAATTCAACTTTAGTTTTAAAAAAAAGAAAATTATTTTTAAAAAAATTGTCTCTACCAATCGGAAGTTTTATTAATAACAGTTTATTAAAAAAAAATTGATAACTAAGGGGTAAAAATTTAATTAGTAAAATTAACAAAAATATAAAATGGACAAATCAATTAATCATTAATTTTACTAATAAAGACGATTTTTTAATTTCCTAAGAAATGTAACTAAAAAAATATTTCTTTATTGTCACTTTTAAAAAATAATTATTTTCAATTAATTGAAAATCAATTTTCATTTTTAATTACTGTTGACATTTAATTCAGCGGGACAAATAATCATTTATATGTGAGGAAAGAAAAAATAATTCAATTCACCAAAATTAAGAGCCTCTGGTGCTGTCCATTTAATTGGAATTTGTTTCATTCCATCCGAGACAATGTATTCTTCCTCCTCACGAGACATTCCGAAATCTGATATTTTTACAATTGTCTCATATCCTAAAATATTAAATAATTTTTGTTTATGTCTATAAATAATATTTCAAAAAAATATAATACAATTTTTTATTTGATTTAAATTGAATGCAAAAAAATGTGTTTCAATAAATTTTTTTGTTTTCATTTTTTTTTTTTTTTTTAATCAAAATTGAAAAAAATTACTTTTTTGTAACTTAACAGCACTTACCTACGAGACAATTTCTTGCAGCCAAATCCCTGTGTATACAAGATTTCGATTCTAAATAACGCATTCCTGCAGCCGCGTCTTTACACATTCGAAGCTGTTCTTTTTGTGTAATGGTATTTTTATTGTTTTTAAGATACGTAAGCAGAGAACCTCCTTGAAAATAAATATTTGTATTTTAAAAAAAAAAAAAAGAAATGTCAATTTTTTGTTGTGTAAAGAAATTAAAAATTTGAAACGTTAAATTTTTCCTGTCTACTTTTTAAGACAGTAATTTCTTTTTTTATTTTCTTCAAATTTTAATTTTTTACTTTCACCAAAAATGTTAAATTTATTTTAAATAAAATTTAATAATAATAAAATTTTCAGTTTACCCGGAACTAATTCCATGACAATCATAATAGGCTGTTTTTGAACACAAATTCCAATGAGTTTCACAATATTTGGATGATCGTATTGCTTTAAAATTCTGCCCTCCTGCAAAAACTTTTTCTTCTGCTCATCTGGCAATGTTACTTTACATGTCTTTACAGCTACTTCAGTCTTACACGATTTTAACTGTGCCTTATAAACGTCTCCAAAATTACCCTAAAAATTTTTTAACCAACAAAATTCATTCTATTTAATTGTATAAATTTTATTTCAAAAAATAAACTTTTTCTTTGTGAAATCTTTTTTTTTTTTGATTGGGGTACAAGAGTTCTAAAACAAAAGTTCCAAATTTAAAAGATCCAAAATTTATTTTTCGAAAAAACAAAATGTCCAAAATAAAAATTTCCAAAGAAAAAAATTTTAAACTGTTAAAAAAGTTAAAAGTACTTTTTGTTGTTTAAAAAAAAAATAAGATTAAAAATGTAAGTTGTAGCCGATGGATTTTAAATATCCAAGAATGTGTTTCAAATTATTTTTCCCATCTGAATGTTTATAATATAAAAATTCATGGTAAAAAATTATTTTTCAATATTATAAAAATTAAACATTGTAAATGTGTTTGTTTTAAAATTTAAATTTTGAATATTCATAATTTCAATAAAAAATTTAGTAAAAAAAATATGTGTAACTTACACGTCCTATTTTCTCCAAAAGAATAACATCATCGTTATTAAGTTCCCACCGTTCACGAAGAATTGGAGTTTTTAGAATCGCTCCTGATCGACTAGTTACTGGTAAACCAGATTTTAATTGATGTACTATGAGTTCTGGAATTGAAGGAAACATCGGTCCTTCAAATCGATAATGTCCCTATTAAAAATAATGATTGCAAAAATTCATAAAAAAACAAACAATTAATTAAAATTTTAATTTTAATTTTTTAAAAAAATTTTATTTTAATAAATAATTTTCAATTTCAATTAAAAACGATTTGTTCAATATTTAGAATTTAGAATTTTTATTGAGATTTCTTAAAATATTAAATTCATTTATTAAATAAATAAATAAATATTTGACAGAATTTTAATTTGTTTAAATTAACATCCGACAGAGACATTTCCAAGTACATAAGTACGTTAAACAAATTCAGTTAAATAAATATTCGAATTAAATTTAAAATTAGAAAATAGATCAATGGATATTTGGTTAATTAAAATTTTTGTTTTATAAAAATTAGGATGTTTAATTTAAATTCCCTCAAAATAATAATTCTTATAATTATAAATTTTGACAAATGAAAGTTCTTTTAAATAAACGTTTATAGATAAAAATTTATCTATGATAAATATTTATATATATTATTATATTTTAAATATTTAAAAATATTTTTAGTTAGTAAACTCCCAGTTTTTTAAATTTTGGAAATTTAATTTTTTTTATAAAAGAAGTAAAAATTTATTATTGTGATTCTATTTAAATTTATTTACCTCGGGAGTGGTTTGAACGATAAAATGTTTATGTCCATCCCAACAGACTGATAAAGCAATTTGACACTCGTCATTTCTGGTAGTTTCTCTCACTAGAAAATCGCCTTTATTTACCAAAAGTCTCACGACTTCTTCTCTTGGTAAAACACCATGAAACCATTCTTCCTCTATTAAACCAGAATTTCCACTTCCTTTTTGATTATTCGCTGAATTTGTTATTCCACGAAGGGGAACCTGGATTTTCAAAAATAAAATTTAATATTTAAATTTTATTAAATTAAAACAACAATAATTTATGAAGAAAAATGAAAACTATTAAAATAACAAATCACGCATTTCAAACTTGATAGTGTAAAATTCTTTGGAAAATCGAATTCATATTTTTTTTTACAAAACTATAGACATGTAGTAAAAAAAAATTATTAGATGTAAAATATATTTTTTTAAAATAAAATCTGCGTAATTAAATATATAATTTGGCAATTAAATAAAATTCGATACTTTTTAAATTTCAATTTCAATTAAACAAATATCAACACAGAAAAAAATATAAAGTAACTTTTACTAATTACAATATAAAACATAAACTATCCATAACTTCTCTACGGTAACTTTTGCTCCAGGAATATAAAAAATTACTTCTGAAATAGTATTTTTTACTATTTCCGTAGCAAAAAGTTGCCAAAAATTCCGGACAGTTTAGGATTTACTTTGAAAGTAGTAAAAGTAACTTTATTTTTGTTTTTCATTTATCTCCGTGTACAGGGTAATTAAAAAAAAATAATATGAATCGAATTTCTTAGACAAGTAAGATAATAATTAAGAATAATTTTTAAAAAACTTAATTAAATAATTTAAAACATATCACATAAAGCCTGATTATTTTCCAAAATAAGAAATTATAAATTAGTGCAAAATTTAAATAAATATCCATGCAAAAACAGGACGCATGATTATGTTCTAAAAATCATTAGTTAGAATTTTCATTTTGTGGAATTTCATTTGTCATAATTATTTTTGAGCCGAATTTTTTTTTGTTCAAATTAGTATTTTGCAAAATTTTCATAAAAACGATTTTCTATATTACAGAATTTTTATATAATCGAAAATTCACTTAACTGAATTTTTATTTGTTTGAATTTTTATTTGCTCAAATTTTCATTTAACATAATTGGCATTTTAAAGAATTTTTATTGGGTAGAATTTCATTGCATAGAATTTTCTTTCAGATGAATTTTCATTTGTTCGAATTAGTATTTGATTTAATTTCCATATAACCGATTTTTCATACTAAAGAATTTTTAATTAACCGAAAAATTATTTAACAGAATTTCTAATGGATAGAATTTTGATTTGTCCGAAATTACAAATGGCCGAACAAAAAATCGACAGAAAGATTCGGCGCGATTTTTAAAATCAACCAATAAAAAATTATCCATAAAATTGTGATTGGTTGATTTTAAAAATCGCGCCGAAATCTTTCTGTCGATTGTTTGTTCGGCCAGTTGCAATTTCGGAAAAATGAAAATTCATCTGAAAGAAAATTCTATGCAATGAAATTCTACCCAATAAAAATTCTTTATAATGCCTATTATGTTAAATGAAAATTCGAAAAAATAAAAATTCAGTAAAGTGAATTTTCGGTTATATAAAAATTCTATAATATAGAAAATCGTTTTTATGAAAATTCTGCAAAATACTAATTCGAACAAATAAAAATTCAGCTCAAAAATAATTATGACAAATGAAATTCCATAAAATGAAAATTCTAACTAATGATTTTTAGAACATAATCATGCGTTCCGCAAAAACTTATGATTATTGTAAGTGAAAATACTGCTTCCATAAAAATTGTTTTGAAAGCATATTATTAAAAACAAAATATTCATGCAAAAAAAATCAAATAAAATAAAAATTACATTATTAAACAATTCCTATAAAAAGTGAGTCTTATTTAAATGTTCAATTTAGTTGATATTGTTGGGGGAAGGATTTTTTTTTATATCAGTCGCAAAACAAAAAACACGCAAACACGATAAGACATACAACAGGTGGATCATTGACGATTTTTGGTGTAGCACCTTCGCTACCAGCTCTAATCATTCCGTTTTGCGTTTCATGAATCATTGGCAATGATTTAAAAGGAGATTTTATTATTGTCATGAATCGTTGATTTCGTCTAAGCGTGAAAAAACCATTTTCGACGATTGTTTTTTTCTGTAATTGTAATTTAGGGAAAAATTTTGATTTTAAATAAAATTTTATTAATCAAAAAGAAATTAATTATTAGAGAAAGATTTACTTTTAGTTATCTCTTAATATATCTAATTTTCATTTAATTTTTTAATTACTATAATTTTTTTTCTTTTGTATTTTACTTTTTTTTGTTAATTAAATTTACAATAAATTATCACAGATCGGAAGTTGTAAAAAAAAAACCCAAGGAATATTCCATTAAATCGAATTTTCAGTAGATCAAATTTTACTTAAATTTCACAAGGTTTAATTTTCATTGAAATGACAAATTTCATTAAAAAAGAGATCGACTGTGATTCCTATATTACTTTTTTTCTATACGTAAAATCTTTACAGAAAATTTTTTATAAAATATAATTTATTAGTTTAAAAAAAGATTGTAACTTTTTTTTACAAATTTGTATTAACAAAAAACTTACTTTGCTTATTGTGGGTGTTTCCGTGAAAGATCCTTCGACTGAAAGATCACAACCTGATGGCAATTCTTCGCAACCAAGTTCATTAAGTGCACTTCTTATCACTTCGGCCTGTCTCTGTAATTTCTTTTCCTGACAACGAAGTTTCAACTCTTCTCTTTCTTGTGAATAATCAAATAGAGATGTTCTATAAAAAAAAAATGTTAATTATTTATCAGAATATTATGTTTCGTCCAAAAATTTTGATTATTTCTCTTAAAATATGAATTTGTCATTGAGAAGTATTATTTTTTCTTTTTTTGTCTATTAAAAAATTTGTTAATTGAAAAAAATAGTTGAACTTTAAGAAATATTTCAAAAATTCTTACTTAGAATCACAATTATTGTCCAAGGATTGCGAAGCCTGTCGACTATGCTGTGTTGTTTTTAAAGAAGCTTCCAGTTCTGACAAACGATTTCGCAACCAGTCTATCGTTAAATTGTCGACGGTCAATTTATTTGGCAATAATTTTCCCGATGTGTCTTCCACGAGATTTTCATCAAACGTAAATCTTATTGGTGAAGCTGGCCTCGTTCTTAATAAAACAAAAACAAAAAAAAAGTATTTTTACAGGGTTTATTTTATTTTATTTATTTTTTCACAAAATTAGCAAGTAATTTAAAAATGTTTTATCCTTTAAAATCAGAAAAAATAATTTTTAATTTGTTCTTTAAAACCTCGTAAATTCTGTAAACATTACTATTTTTAGTAATTATAAAAATAATGATAAATAATAAAAATGTAATTTGCGTTTTTTTTGTATCCTGAGAGAAAAAAGTTATTTTCAATTTTCTCATTCAACACCTCTTAAATTTTGCAATTATTGCTTTTTTTTAGTAATTCGAATAAAATCATATATATCTTTATTGTTAATTAAGTTTACGTAATTACAAAAAAAAGAACAATAACCGGATGTAAAAATTATTATGATTGAAATGAAATGATATACATACCTATGTTTTCCCACGAAATCCTTGTACTCTTCAATTGGTTTTATTGTATCCACTGCTTTTCTCATACGAGTGTGAATATCTAAAAATTTATCTGTCGTAAAATCTGAATACTTGACCACATCTTGCATAATAATTTTCCTAAAATTAAGAAAAATAGAAATACAATTTTTTTAAAATGCAATAAAATGTATTAATTTTATTTTTATAATTACAATTGTAATATTATTATATTATTAGAATTACCTTTCTTTTTTTTCATTTCAAATTTGTAAAGCATGTCACGAAAAAATTTAATTAATTTCAATTTTTCTAATTACTTTAGTCAAGTTTTTCAAATATTGAATTACATAAATCGTTTTTCGATTAATAATTCTTTAAAATTAATTTTTTGTTTATATAATTTTTGAAAAATTTTAATATTTCAAGTTTAATAAAATTCTAATTGAAAATTTCAAAAATCAAAAACTGGAAATTCATTTTTTTAAAATATTTATCAATTGAAAATTCTCCAAAATTCTCTATATAATTTAATTATTTCTAAAAAATTAAAAAAAATTCTTCGCTAAATTAATTTTTTTAAATAATTTAATACAGTTTTTCAACAATTCAAGGAAATAAAAAGTTTTTTAATTAAAATTATTCTAAAATCTATTATTCTTTAAAGTTTGTAAAAAAATTAATATCAATTCAAATTTATGAAAGTTTCAATTTAAAATCTTCTAAAATTTAATTACTTCCAAAAAAATTTGAACTCGAAATCTTCCAAATTCAATTAGTAATTGAATAATTATTTAATTGTTAATTCAATTGGAAATTTTTTTCCCAAATTTTTATCTATAATTTGTTATTTAATTAGTTATTTCAACAATAATAAATAATTCTCTAAAATTCAATTATTGTCCATTAATTAATCATTAATTCAAATTTATAAAAGTTTTAATTGAAAATCTCCTGAAATTCAATTATTTCTAAAAATTTTTAATCAAACTCTTTCAAATTCAATTATTTTAAAAATTTTAATTAAAAATCTTCTGATATTCAATTATTTCACAAATTTTCATTTAAAATTAATTTTTTTTTTCAATAATATTTTAATAAAATTCTTCGAAAATTTAATTATTTAAATTTCCCGAAATTCTTAATTTGAATAATGTGCATAAATCAGACTTTAGATTATTTTTGAAAATTTGTTCTGAAACTGAATTGAATTCTTGAAAATTTGTCTCAGTTTAATTCAGTAGTTTAAAAAGAAAAATTCTTGAAAATATTTCTGTGAAACATTCTTATTAAGGAATTAATAAATTTTATTTAATTTTTAATAATAAATTTAGCTGCCGGATCAAAGATGGGCACATAACTACAATTATAAAAATGTAAGACAATAATTTTTAGAAGCAAAAGTTTGAATTGAATATTTCAAAAATTATAATTTTTGTAACATTTTTAGAAATTTGATATTTTTTCAGTACTTTTCATAAAATTCCCTTACTTTTCCCTCAACAATTTCACTTTCCCTGACTTTTCCATAATTTCCCTGATTTTCCTGACCCGTGGCAATCTTGTTTATATAAATTTACGTACCAAGAAGAAATAAAGTCCTGATGAATTGTTTGTTGCCTATTAAGAAGACTCGGTAAATAACAAGTCCTTAAATCATTTTCACATTCCGTAACAGCGCCGAGAAGTAAAACATATTCATTATGAGTCAAATGTAATTTTCTACATGCTTTTTGATATTTTTCTCTCACTTCGTCCAATTTTCTTCCACCTCTTCCGGCTTTAATTAAATAAAATACATTTATTATCGATAAAATATATATAAATAAATAATGTTTCCACATGAAGATAAGCAATAAATAAATATTATAAAATTTTTAAATTTTTAACTTAAATATTTAAAATATCGTTAAAAGATTTTTTTTTCCCGCTAAATATAGAATAATTATTATTTTTAATTATAGTTGAAGGAATATAAAAAAAAAATACAAATATATATATACAGACATTTTACGTAATGCTCTTCAAAGCGGGATCTCATCAATTTGTATGATTCTAGACTCTTTTGGTAATCCGCCTTTTTTCTAGCGACATCGTCTGTTAACTGAAAATAATTGAAAAATTTATTCTCTGGAAAAATATTTATTTTAAGCGACACTTGTTACTTTCAAATCTGAATAAATTTGATATAACTTTATGGATTTATTTTTTTTTTAATTATATTTTAATTTTTTATTTCTTTTAATTTTATTTCCTTTTAATTTCTAAATAGAATTTTTTTTGAAGGAAACCCTATTGTTTTCCCATAGTTTGCTAGAAAAAATCTCAGCTTTCCAATAAAAATAGCAAAAAAAAAAAAAAATTTCAAGTGGAAAAAGGGGATAGAAATGAAAAATAAGGGTTAATTTGAAAAAAATGGAGTTAAAAATTTTTTTTCGAAAACCCTTTTTTGGCACTGAAAACTACATAAAAAATTCTTCAAAAAAATTCTATTCAGAAATTAAAATCCATAATTTTTTGTCAGTTATACAGATTAAGTAACAGTGTTAAAAAAATAAAATTAATTTTTTAACGAAATATTTTTCTCATTTTTAAATTTTATTTTTTTCGGTGTAGGAATTTTTTACTCTAACAAAGATAAACTATTTTTAATCTAGTAACTTTTAATTCTTAGCTTTTTTCTCAGAGGAAAATCTCTTATATTAGAGCAAAATATTTTTTACATTTTTCGAAAAAATGATTTTCTCAACTAACAGAAAATCGATACAAAGCTGAAGTACGCAACGTTTATGATAAACGATTATTAAGGAAATAATTTTTTAAAATGAAAAATTCTATATTTTTTTGTCTAAAAAATATTTCTTGTAGTTTTCATTAATAAACAAATTATAAAAAAATATTTTTTAGGCTAAAAATTAAAGAATTTTTCATTTTAAAAAATTGTTTATCATAAACGTTGCGTATTTTAGCTTCGTCAGAAAATTGATTATAAATTTTTCTTTTGTAATTACCATTAAAGTTGAACATTTTTTTTTTCATTTACCTGTTGAAATTGATTATTTAACCAAGTCTGTTCTTCTTGATACAATTTTCTTGCACGTCTACGCTCTGAATAAAGAAAGCTAATATTATCAACAACAATATTTTCCATTGTGTCGGCTTGTTGTTTTATAAGTTTTGCTGTTTGATCTATAGAGTCCATTATTTCTCGCCAACCCTGAGAGAACATTTTTATAAATAATTTTTACATATGAAATATCATTGAATCTATATAAAGATTTTCCAAAATTAAAATTTTCATTTTTTTTTTTTAGTTTTTAATTAATTAAATTTTTATTTAACCGAATTTTAATCTTTTAAAGGAATTTTCATTTAACAAAATTTCTAATTAACAGAATTTTGCATTTGACTCAAATTTTCATTTAAACGAATTTTTTTTTAATATAATTTTTATATGACCCATAATATTTCAGTTAAACTACATTTTAATTTAAAACATAATTTTCATTTAACCGAATTTTCAATTAAATGAATTTGCTTGACCTAATTTCAGTTAAAAAATATTTTTTAATTTAGAAAATTCTTTTTTATGTAACCGAATTTTCTTTTGATGGAATTTTCATTTGCCCAAATTTTCATTTAAACGAATTTTCCTTGAGACAATTTTTATTTGACCCAATTTATGACTCATCTCAATTTCAGATACATTTTAATAATATAAAACATAATTTTCATTGAACTAAATTTGAAGGAATTTTCATTAACTGAATATATTTCGAAATTTATAGCCAATTTTTTTTTTTGCAAATGGAAACATTCGTTTTTCAACGTTTAAAAAAATATATATTAATAATTTATAATAAATATATATATATACGAATATAAATTTAATTTACAACATTTATATAAAAATAAAGGAAAAATTTGATTTACCTGAGCGATCATACTTCCAATAAGTTCCTCGGTTCGTTCGATTTTTCTGCCCTGAACAGTTAAGGAAGAAATAGTTGAAGCATATTCGCGATCAGATTTAACTTTTGTTGCAAGACACCGGCGCATTGTCTCCAAAAGTTTAATTTCAGCTTCCTGGCGTCCCAAAAGAGCCTCATGAGAAGCCTGGCCCTGTAGGCTCGTGGAAAAACCCATTTTCTTTTTTATTTGACAGCTTCAAATATTATTAAACACCACAAACGTAAAAAATCTGGATCATCGCCTTTTTTTTTGCTATAAATTCTCTTTTCTATTTTGTTTATATCGCAAAATATTTACACCGCACTTTTAAAATGAAAATATGAATCACCGAACTTTCAAGTATCAAAAAATCAGGACAAAGATTCATAATTAATTCCTATATTTTGAAACTTCGCACTTTTTTGATTTGAGATTATTATAGATTTTCAACAAAATCTAGATCATGGGAAAATATTCATTGTCGAGACACATTGAGATCAACATTATATTTATATATATATATATATATATACAAAAAAGAGAATCTTAAATTACTTTCCCCGAGTGAAATATATATATATATATATACATATACTTTTTTTATGCCATCGTCTGGGCCAAAATACCGCCGCGGATAATGTGAAAATCCCAGACGTCAAAAGTTAAAATCAATTGCGATAACGTGCTCGATGATCAAAAGGTGATTCAACCATTCAACAGGTTAAAGCTGATTAAAGTAATCGATGATGGAGTCTCAAAACCCCAAAGATTTTAAATCGATAATCAACATTTAATTTATTTTTTTACCCTATTAAAGTATATTTCATTTTGTTAATTTTAAATAATTTAAATTCCATCATTGAATATATTTCAATTGAAATTTTTTATTATACTATTATAATTTTGAATAAAAACACGTAAACTTTTTTCAGTTTTTTAGGTTAAGTCTTTTAGGCGGTAAATTCGAAAACAAGAAAAACATATTTTATTTTATTCCTTGTTTCTGAACTAGAAACAAAATAAAAATATATTTGACAAATAATTATTTTATACTGATCTACAAAATTAATGTTAAAAATAATTTTTTTTTCCAATCATTCTTTTTTTTTAATTTTCCCGCCACATGGTACAAGATGGCTCTCATTTTTGGGATAAATTCCGTCTGCTGTTATGAATACATATGCATTATACACGATGCATTTAACATTTTTTTTTAGTGACGAATTTCGTTTATTTATTTAAAAATCAATAAATGGCCGATAAGTATTTGTTGATATTTTGATAAATGAATGTCAACTTGTCGGTTTAATTAAAAAAAGAATCTTGTCAGGCAAAAACAACCAGTTAAGATAATACAAAAAAAAGTAGGTTATACACTTCATGTTGGCTTTCGAAATATTCACTTTTAAAGTCTTGTAATTTATAAAAATATGATAATTAATTTTCAGTTTAATGACAATGTTGCAATTTAGTGGAATTTTTATTAATTCATCAGTTAGAAATAATACTAGAGTTCCTTTATGGTGTACAACTCAACAATTAGTGACAGCTTATTCAACATTTTCTAACCTCCAAACAGAAGTTCTTGGCAACAAAACCGTAACGAGAAAATCATCCGAAGAAGTAAATTTTACTGATATTATTAATAATTCATTATTTCTAATCGTTTCCCTATTTTTTTTTATAATAAATAAAAAAAATTTTCTTTCACATTTTCCTATGAATAATTTTAATAACTTAAAAATTTTAATATTTTTCTTTACTTTAAAAAAAAAAATTATAAAATCTTTCTTTTTTGTGTTAATTAATTTTAATGATATATTTTACAATTTGTAGAATGAAAACAAAAATACCTCAAAAGCGAATAAAAAGAAAATTTTCGTAAAGGAAGATGTGAAAATACAGAATTTAGATGTACAGCAATATTTTAAAACTAATAACAATGTAGTAGAAAAATTGCTATCATCAATCAATGAGAAATCACTTGATTCAAAAATTTTATTAAATGTATATACGAAACTTTCAACTCTTGTTACATCTGGAAAAGTAAAAACTGCTGATTTTGAATCAGATCCAAGATATAAAACCTTGTGTGAATATATGTCTCGTAATTCATTGGTTAACGATAAAAATACCAATATAATACCAACAATGCAGAATGTTCAGATTAACAATTTAGGACTTTTATTTGACATAAATGAAATAAATAAAGTTATTGAGAAACCAAATTTATCAATGGAGGAAGCAATTCAGGTTCGTTGAATTTATTTTTGATACTTTTTAAAAAAAAATTTAATTAATTTTAAATTTATTCAAGGTTTTCATCGATATTTGAAAATTTTGAATTTATTTTCTACCTTGAAAACATTGAACATTGGCTTTTGTGCTAAATAAAATCATTTAAAATTTTAAAACAAAACCTTGAATTGTTAAAATTGAACCGCCAGCGACCAAAAGGGCTTACGCGTGACTTTCGTTCGCCCCGCGTTCAGCGAGTTTCCAGCTATTCCAGAGGCCAATGAAAACCTCGCCTAAGCCCTTTTGGTCGCCGGCGGTTCAATTTTCTAAAATGATATATTTATATTTTGAAATAGGGTAAGTGTACCAATTACGGCGAGAACATCATTTACGGCGCGTTCATAAAAAATTACTATTATATTTAATATAACTATTGCAAAATGATTTAAAACTAGGTGTTCATTTCATGACCATTTAGCTTCCTCATCATGATACACTTATATTCAAGATTAAAAAAAGGATTACAACTAAAATAGCGATAGACTCTTTTTAATGCAAGAAATAAGTTTTTTTTACTAAACAAAATTAAATTTACAAAGAAAAAAAAATTTTTGAAAAAATTGTAAAAAATAAAATGTTGTGAATATATTCGGAAATCCTTGTGTCAGATTTTAGGTATTAATGATTACAATAAGCATACAAAATTTCAGGACAATCCGTTAAAACGTTTCTGAGATAATTTGTACACAATATTTTGTAACATACACACACATACATCTGGACATTTGCTCAGAACTTCAAATATATTAATTCTAGATGAAAATGAGTCCATATAACCCAATTTTAAAAGATCGAAAAACGTCATGAATGATTATTTTAATCTTTTTTTTGATACAATTACTTATAAAGATGCACATTTTAAAAATTATTAATTTAATTATTTGAGATAAAAATTTTTTTCCGCGCCGCAATTGAAAGATTTTTAAGAATTTCATTGGCTTAAATTTCGGCGAGCAAAGTATCTTAAAAATAAACATAATTTTGGTCACCGTAATTGATACACCGAAACTGATACAAACGCGCCGCAATAGAAAATTACGGTATTAGTTTTAATTTCTCATATTTGTTTAAATAATCGATTTTTATAACGTTAAAATTTTTTTTAATATCTTATTAACATAAGCTTTTAGTTTAATAAGTCTTAAATTGAGTTTATACAATAGAAATGTCGAATTTTCTATTTCAAAGGTGTTTTGACTCGAATCGCGCCGCAATTAGTGCATTTACCCTATTATAAAAATTTTATTTTAAGGAGACTTTCTGGTTTAGAATTCCAAAAAAATAGATTTTTTTTTTACTTGAAAATGTTCTTTAGTATCATAAAATTACTGTCTCAAAACCTTTTTTTAAAAAATATGTAAAAAAACAAAAGTTGTAATCAAAAATTGTTTGATATTCCTGGCTCAATGTATTATGTTATGAAAACTTTAAACGCGTTTTTCTCGAAAACACATTTTTCAAACTGGTGAACGGCTTTTCTCGAAATCTACTGAACGGATTTTAAAAAACCAAAAACAATTAGATTCTTTAGTTAAAAAATTAGAGAATAAACCTTAGAAACTTCATATTTCTACCTCCTGTTTTTTTATACGGGGGGTAAATTGCCCCAAAAATACGGCGTTTTTTCGAATTTTTGAGAAAAATGTTCATACAAAATTTTTAAAAATCGTATTTTAGGTTTATTGTCTAAAATAAATCCTTATGAGAAATTAAACTAAATACACTCAAAAATTATTTTTTTAATTTTCTCAATGTAATGTGCAACGACGTCCAAAAAGAATTTTTGCAATTTATTTAATACTTTTCTTACAACAAAAGTTTTAAAACGTGTCTTTTTTGTCAATTCTAAACCAGAAAGTCTCCTTAATACAAATGGTTCAAATTCAAAAAAATAATTCAAATCTGAAGAATTAAAGGTGATGTACAAAAATTTTTTATCGACAAAATTCATTCAAATTTATAAGATTTCCTTATACTGCTAAATTTTTTTATTTTCAACAACGAATTATCATATTTTAAATTAATACACAAAATAACACTATTTACATTTTTTTATCTCAACATTTGTTATTTAGCTTTAATTTTTTTTTTATATCCAAAATTATTGTTAACTAGTTTGTACCAAATGGCTTCAAGCGCGTAAATCATAGAAATAAATTATAGAATAAAAAAATACATACAAAATATTTAGAAAAATTTAAAAATTATTCAATTTTTCAGGATTTACATTTTGAATTTTTAATATACAAATTAAATGTCAGGAGATTATAAATTTAAATGGTTGAATTTTCGTTTTTTTTACAAATTACAGACAATAATTGAATTTTAGACAATTTTTAATTAAAATTTTTTTTGATAATTGAATTTTTGCAGTGCTTTATTTATCAACAAAAAAATTGATTTAACGAAGAAGAATAACAACAATAATTTAGTTTTATAGAATTTTTAATTTAAATATTTTTTTAAATAATAAAATTTTCAAAAAAATAGTATAGGATCAGTTAGGGTAAATGGGGACAAAATCGATATTTTTCACAAATTACGTAAGTTTCTCCCTTTAAAAGGTAATATTTGCGGGTTCTTTTTTTAAGTTGTTATTTATATTCCCATGATTAATTTTATGCAGCAGAAAAAAATTTAGATAAGCTTTAAGCGCATGAAACTAACTGTCCCCATTTACCCTAAAATTTAGATCAAAACATAATTACAATTGGATATAATAGAAGTAATTCAATTTTGAAAGAGTTGAAATTAAAAATTTTGACATTATTTTAATTTTCAAAGATTTAAAATAATAATTTATTTTAATAATCAGTTTTCGAAGAATGTATTCAAAATTCTGAAAAAAATTAATTTTCTAAAAAAGAATTGTATTACGATTTTGTATTACGAATCTGTATCAAATTTTTTAAAATTGGTGCGCAACGAACTTAGTCAAAACATAATGGTTTGACCTTTAAATAATTAAAATTTTATTGAAACAAATTTAATTTTTAAAAATATATAATATAATTTTCTCTTTTTTTTACATAGATTCTATCAAAATTAGGTTTGTTTAAATCGAGAATAGTACCAGTATTGCAATCATTAAGAGATTGTATAGTCAAAAGCAACGATACAATACATATGAAATGGGCATCAGATATTATGTATAACATGTCTGTTTTAAATTTTTATGATGAGGTAACGTCTTTAATATAATTTGTTTTTTTTTTTTTTTTGTTTATAAATATATTATGTAAATGAGTATTAAAATTTATTTATTTATTTATTTGATTTTAGCAACTAATGTTAAGAATACTTCCAACTTTAATTCAAAAAATCCCGACAATTAGAAACGATAATTCAGCAGTAATTGGTTCAGTTTTAAAGTCAATTGGTTTATTGAGGTATAGAAATGAAGAACTTTTATTGACAATAACAAAGTGGGTAATGAAAAATCATGCATCAATGAAGCCACAATATGTTTCTTCATTTTTCGTAACTTTAGCTGTTGTTGGCTATGTACCAACAGATAATTTACAGGAATTTCAGGTTTAGTTTGTTAAAATTTTTTTTTACTATTTTATAATTCTCTCGATCCCTGTAACTTTATTTCCAAATTTTTTTTTTTTCTAAATTTAATACAATAAATTTACAAAATTGTTAAATTTTTTGTAGAAAAAAATTCTTTTTTTAAACAACAATTTTTGTTTCATTTTTGTAAGTATTTTAACTGAAAATAATCGATTTTCTATTTTAAAAAAAAAACTTGAGGATCGAAAGAATTAATTACTACTGAAAAATTGTATGTGAAGAAATGATTTTTTTTTATTTTTAAAATTAGTCTTTTACGAGTCAATTTCAAGAGACTGACATGTCTACTGCATCTGATTGGTTGGATGTTGTTTGGTCACTGGTTATATTAAATCAGGCTAAAGAGGAACAAATAATGTCCGTAATAAATTCAGATTTTCTTGAAAAATTATCAGGTACGAATATAAAAATTGTTCTTTTTTTTAATTAAATAGAATTTTTTTTTTTTTTTTGTTTTAGAATTTAATTTTAAATTTTTCGTGTTATTTTTTTAACAGTTGTATCGAAATTAACGGAAATAAGAAAGCGAAAAATTTTAAACATCAATGCTGCTGCGAAAATTTTATTCAATAAAAATACAGGTAAAGTATATATATTTAATTGCAAAATTGTATAATTAAGAAAAATATTTGTTTTTTTAATTTAATAAATCATTATTTCAGATCATATATTAAATCAGGATTCATCAATATTTAATGTAACTTTAGAAAAGAATCAACATCAACAGGATTTCGTAAAACGCATTGTAACAGCATTATTTGCTTTTTTACCTTGTAAAGGTTGTGTAAATATGGACGTCGATACTAAACTGGGATTTTCTGTAGGTAAGTAAAAAAAAAATTTTCTTTAATTAAAATAAATATTTTCGTTATTTAAAAATTTGTATTATTAATTATTTTTTTTAGATGCTGAATTCTATGTAGATGAAAATTGCAACCCGATTATTTTAACTCTAATTGAATCTACGGAAAAGAAACCATTCAAGTAATTACTATTTTATTCTATATATATTTATATTTTTCTATTAAGGGGGGATCCTACTTTAGGATGACTGAAAATAGCGCTTTTTTTGAGAATTTTTTTTAAGAGGGCACTCGCAGTTGTAGCGCCAAAAAATAGACATTTTTCATGAATTTTTTTCTCATAAACCATTAAATTTTTTCAAAAGATCGATTTATTATCTAAAAGTACATAATTTAAACTTGAATTAAAAAAAAATATTAAGTAGTTACGAAGTTATGTCCTGTCGAAGTGACGTCCTTCCGAAAAACATGGTTTGTGGTGACCAACGCTATGAAAATCTGGTTCATCTGAAATCAAAAATTGAAACGGATTTACATTTATTGAAAGATTATCTAGTATTAAATCGAAAAATTTAAAAAGAAAAAAATAATTGACAAAATGGCAACATGTCAAAGTTGAACGTACGATTTTCGTAAAAAAAGCGGTATTTTTAGTTTTAGTGGTGGCACACTAATGGGATAGTGAAAATTTTTTGACAAAATATGTCTGTTAAATATTTCTATAGTAGCTGAAGTGATATTTTACACGCCGCAAAAATAAAAACGTTAATAATATAAACTTTTTCAAGAAATTCAAATGAAATTTAAGCATTTTTTCACTTTTTAACTTATAAAACTAATTGTAAAATAAATATTTTATTCTAATACTGTACATAAATGTTCCTTTGTATATAATTTAGCAAAAAAAAAAAAATGATACCCAAAGTTTTAATTAAAAATAATTCAGATTTTTAAGTGTTCGATTCGAGAATCACAAAAGTTAAAAGTTTCCTGGATTTGACCATATACTCTAAGAAAATGCAAGAAAAAAAAATCGATTTTTTGAAAGTTACAACTGCAAGTGTCTCCTTATGGAAATCTTTTCAATTTTAAGACTGTTTAAAAAATGCAATTAAATTTTTGTTTTAAATTTCTACCATGTGTGATTGTACCTTACGATCATATAAAACTTCACATCCATCATGTTTACAAAAAAATGCCTTCTTCCTTCCAAAAATTTGAAAACAAACAAATGTGAACAAGACAGTAGTCGGACACCCAAAACAAACAAATTGTTTCTATCTCATAAGATTTTTTTGCTATTTAAAATTGAAAAGTAACCGACTACTGTTTGGTTTACTCTATAATTTTTTGAATATTTAATAAAAATGAATGTTTTTTTTCTAGATTGGCTATACAGGCATTAACTTATTACGATTATTGTCTAGGCGATAATAAAGTTATGGGACACGTAAATTTTCAAAATTCACTATTGAAATTAATGAATTATCATGTGATTTCTGTCTCGTATAAAGATTTTAAATTAAATCAAAAAGTTGTAGAACATGTAAAATATTTAAGAGCACTAATTGATAATACTGTAAAAAGTGTGTCTAAATGATAATTTTTTAAAATGATTATTAATTATTGTACAATTTAATAAAAAGCCACTGTAAATGTTTATAATAATTGTTGTTTTCATTTTTATAAATATAAATAAGCGAATATATATTATAAATATATACATGGAATAGAACAAAAAGACTAGTTTATAGTCTTCATGGAATAGAATAAAAGTAATTGCCTAGTCAGCAGACATAGAGAAAGTGAAGGAATATAAATCAGAAAAATTCCGTTAATATTTTAGATTTATTTTTTAAAAATTTGCTTCATTTTTTATTTTTATATTTCGTTTTTATAGTTATTTCCACTGTTGATATGTTATTAATGGGAATATTGAAAACTTTTTTATTTAAATTGGATATCATCGTTATATTTCCTAAATTTGTTGTACTAGATTCATCTTCAGAAGAAAAATTTTCTCCTATTTCTCTTAATTGTAAATCATTAATTGAAAATTCATTTTCTTTTGAGTCGACAGTTTCTAAATTTTTTTCCACTCTTATAAATTGCAAATCTTTGTTTAAAATTTCTTCATTCTTCTCAGTTTGAAAATTTTTTTCCATTTCTTCTATTTCAATAAATTGTAAATCATTTATTGAAATTTCATTTTCTTTAGATTCAACAGTTTTTAAATCTTTTTGCACTTCTTCTATTTCTCTAATTTGTAAATCATTTAGTAAAATTTCTTCATCTCCTTCAAAATTTTCTTCCCTTATTACTTCCAATTCTCTACATTGTAAATTATTTAATGAAGTTTCTTTATTTTTATCTTTTACTGTAATTTGACCAACTGAATATCTTACATATACATCATTTTCAACGACAGAATTCACATTTTCTTCAGAATGATAAAAAATTTCGAAAAATGATGGACGTTTATTTTCGACAATTGACTTATTTGTTTCCATTTTATTAGATTCTGCAATTTATTAATTAATTTTAATTGAAAGTAATTTAGAAAATTTTCATTTTATTAATTAAAAATAATAATTAAATCTTTTATACCTTTTGAATAAATCCTCTTTGTTGGACAAAGTTTCATTACTCCATTATCACTGATTTTTAAATTAATTGGAAACAAATGTTCCAAATGATTACGCACGCCTTCATCATTTCTTATCTCTTGATTTATGGTATCCTCTAAAAGTTTTAATTTCTCGACAATAGATTCGGGAATATTCCTTTCATCATTCAAATAAATTGAATATCTTTTAGAGACTTTATGATTAGAACAAGTCGCACCTTTACTTTGAGAACATTTCTTCACATTGTCGGAATTTTCAATTTCGTTTCTATTCTTTCTTATTTTTGTATTTACACATGATAAATCCATGATTAAAAATCAGTTATTAATATAAAATATTTATTACATATTCACGTGGATAAATTTAGGTTATGGTGACTTTGTTTGGAAAATACCAAAAATAGTATATAAATGTGTCATAAATGGGAAACTCACCTCATCTACAAATTTTCGCAGATTTCAAATTCGGCGTCAAACAGATTCGGACACGTGACAATTATGTGGCGCAAAAATTTGATCAAATAAAATTTATTTCAAATAACAATTGGATGTTATCAAAATTAGTTGAAATATACATATTCGACGAAATTTTATTTAGTTTAATTTACAATTAGTGATTTTAATATTTAGGTTAGGATTGAATTCAAAAATAAAGAAATTATGATAAATATTAAAATTAGAACAAATCTTATTTAAATGACTCATTTTTAATTGTGCGATTCAAGGTGAGATTTTGATTTTTTTGGAGTAGGTTAACCGATTGCAATGAAACTTTATTATATAAAGTAAGACTAATCTTTAACGTAAATTGCAGCTTAAAATATTTTTTACTTTACGAGATTTGCAATAATAACAAAAAATTTTAAACTGCTATATCTTCCGTTCTAAAAATTGGATTGAGGTCTACTTTTTTTTAAAATGTCAAAGAAAATAAGAGGAATAAATCTCTTTCAGAATAATTTTTTATAATTTTACAACTAAAAAAATTATGAAATAATAATTGAATAAATTACGCGCGTCAATCTAAAATTCAATCACTTAAACGCTAAAATGATCTTAATTGTGTTTTCTTTAATGTTCCAAAGGAATCCAACTATAAGTGCAAGTTTAACTTATTTAATTTTAATAATTTACGAGTATAAACAATTGTGATTTCTGCTAGTTGAAGTGCAGACTACATTTGCGCACGCAGCATTCTCACACCTTCTTGGCTGCCTGCAGGAGTTGTCATGGCAACGGAGTAAGGGCGCACCCACACCTCTGGCTGCCTGCACAGGCAGTCAGTGAGAGCCAATCAGAGAGTCAGTAGATTTAAATTTGGATTTTCTGTCTCTCTTACTCTTGTACGTTTTCTGCGTGGTGGGAGGCTGCCTGTGCAGGCAGCCAGAGATGTAAGTGCGCCCTAAGAGAGAGAAAATTCAAATTTGAATTTACTATCTCTATTACTCCTACACGTTGCCATGACAACTCTTGCAGACAGGCAGCCAAGAGGTAAGAGTGTACCCTTTTAAGCTGCAATTTACGTTAAGAGTGTCGAACGGTCTCTGAAATTCTTTAACATTTAATAATCGCCCTATAAAAACGGCACTGAAAGTGAAAATGATAAACATTGATTTTAAAATACTTTTTTCTCAAAACGCGGATACATGTAAAATATTTAAGAGCACTAATTGATAATACTGTAAAAAGTGTGTCTAAATGATAATTTTTTAAAATGATTATTAATTATTGTACAATTTAATAAAAAGCCACTGTAAATGTTTATAATAATTGTTGTTTTCATTTTTATAAATATAAATAAGCGAATATATATTATAAATATATACATGGAATAGAACAAAAAGACTAGTTTATAGTCTTCATGGAATAGAATAAAAGTAATTGCCTAGTCAGCAGACATAGAGAAAGTGAAGGAATATAAATCAGAAAAATTCCGTTAATATTTTAGATTTATTTTTTAAAAATTTGCTTCATTTTTTATTTTTATATTTCGTTTTTATAGTTATTTCCACTGTTGATATGTTATTAATGGGAATATTGAAAACTTTTTTATTTAAATTGGATATCATCAGATTTCAGAGACAGTTCGACACTCTTAAAGATTAGTCTTAAGGTGGTTCCAGAATAGGTGCAAAAGCCAAGTACAAGTGCAAGTCGAAGTGGCAATCTCATTAGTGCGATGGGGATAGGTAGTCTATCTATCTCTCGTGCACTCATGGGATTTGCATTTGGACTTGCACTTGTATTTGGCTTTTGCACCTATTGTAGAACCTCCATTAAGGTACTTTTATACCTCTAGTATTTTGGTCAAGCAATCGGCTGGATTGAATTTTCATGGAGAATCACTAAATTTGATTGGCTCCAAAAAAGTTCAATTTTCACGGTGAAAATCTAATATTTGTCAGAGCCAATCAAATTCAGTGATACAACCGTGAAAATCCAATCCAGCCGATTGCTTGACCAAAATACTGAAGGTATAAAAGCACCTTTACTATATCCGAACCACCTTAAGGGTACACTCTCACCTCCTGGCTGCCTGTCTGCCTGCAGGAGTTGTCATGGCAACGTGTAGGAGTAATAGAGATAGTAAATTCAAATTTGAATTTTTTCTCTCTCTTACTCCTGCACGTTGCCATGACAACTCCTGCAGGCAGGCAGGCAACCAAAAAGGTGTGAGTGCGCCCTAAGCGAGAAAAAGCAAGTTTTTCTTCCTTTCCGCAAGGGGGCGACATGAGTGTGAGCGAGAAGGAAAACTTGCTTTTTCTCGCTCACACTCATGTCGCCCCCTTGCACCGTTTGCCCGCAAGCAGCCTATCTGTGACCGTTATGGAGCATTTACACCTTCGGCAAAAAATTTTCTTCAAGGTGCTTTTATACCTCAAATTTCGATCAAATGAACATTATTTCTGGACCGTGAAAATGCGTGAAAAGTCATTTTCACGGCGGGTATTTTTGAATTGTTTTAAACAAAAAAAAGTTTTTTTAAGAAATATAATATTAAATAATTGTTTTAGTATGTAAGAACACTTTAAAATAGTGATAGAAAGATAATTTGATTGAAAAATTTAGCAAATTTTGCTTTAAAACGTTTCCTGCTACAAGAAAGTATAAAATGACGATGTTTGTGAAATGGTTTGTACAGTGCTTCTTCCTTGTGAGTGTCTCTCAGAGTTTTGTTTATGTTATGTCGTTTCTTTTTAACTTGTAATAAATAATGAGTGCTGAAAATAAATCGGTAAGTTGAAATGTTTATCAAATAAATTTAAATTCAACTAATTGTCTCGAATAACTGAAAGAAACATGTACACATGTACACTGTACAAACCATTTCACAAACATCGTCATTTTACACTTTCTTGTAGCAGAAACGTTTTAAAGCAAAATTTGCTAAATTTTTCAATCAAATCATCTTTTTATCACTATTTTAAAGTGTTCTTACATATTAAAACAATTATTTAATATTATATTTCTTTAAAAAACTTTCTTTGTTTAAAACAATTCAAAAATACCCGCCGTGAAAATGACTTTTCACGCATTTTCACGGTCCAGAAATAATGTTCATCTGATCGAAATTTGAGGTATATAAAGGTGCTTATATACCTCAAATTTCGATCAGATGAACATTATTTCTGGACCGTGAAAATGCGTGAAAAGTCATTTTCACGGCGGGTATTTTTGAATTGTTTTAAACAAAAAATGTTTTTTTTAAGAAATATAATATTAAATAATTGTTTTAATATGTAAGAACACTTTAAAATAGTGATAAAAAGATGATTTGATTGAAAAATTTAGCAAATTTTGCTTTAAAACGTTTCTGCTACAAGAAAGTGTAAAATGACGATGTTTGTGAAATGGTTTGTACAGTGCTTTTTCCTTGTTAGTGTCTCTCAGAGTTTTGTTTATGTTATGTCGGTTCTTTTTAACTTGTAATAAATAATGAGTGCTGAAAATAAATCGGTAAGTTGAAATGTTTATCAAATAAATTTAAATTCAACTAATTGTTTCGAATAACTGAAAGAAACATGTACACTGTACAAACCATTTCACAAACATCGTCATTTTACACTTTCTTGTAGCTGAAACGTTTTAAAGCAAAATTTGCTAAATTTTTTAATCAAATCATCTCTCTATCACTATTTTAAAGTGTTCTTACATATTAAAACAATTATTTAATATTATATTTCTTAAAAAAACATTTTTTGTATAAAACAATTCAAAAATACCCGCCGTGAAAATGACTTTTCACGCATTTTCACGGTCCAGAAATAATGTTCATCTGATCGAAATTTGAGGTATATAAGCACCTTAAGCACCTTAAGGGGAGGGACCGCTGAAATTTTAACACATCAAAATTAAAGCTGTTTAAGGGTGGTCAATTTTTTTTCTGAAAATATTAATTATTTAAATGTATAATATATCATGAAAAATTGAAAAACTATAAATTTGTTAAAAATTTTTAAAATCAAATTCAAAATTCTCGAAAATTTAAAATTTAAACTTCTCTCACAATTTTAATTATTTTTGACTGCCGATTTTTTTATACGCTTGTTTCATGATTCTAAACAATCAAGCGTATGGATTTTGAAAAATTTCAATTTTTTCAAAAAATGAAAATTTTGAAAAATAAAAATATTTGTAAAATTGTTAAAAATTACCTTTTGTTGTTTTTCTCAGTAGAATAAGATTTTTGGTTGAAAAAAAATGTTAAAAAAATTATTACCCCTAAACAAGATCAATTCTGATTGCTTTCAATTTTAGTGGTAATTTTGAAAAAATTCAACTACTTCCACAATTTTCATTATTTTTTATTGTCGAATTTTTTTTACGCTTTTTTCACGATTTTAAACAATCAATCGTATGGAATTTAAAAAAATTTAATTTTTCCAAAAAATAAATTTTCTAAAATGGCTAAAAAAAATTTTTTTTGAAATTTTAATAATTTATAATAATTTTGGATCCTAAATTATGCCAGAAAAAAAATTGACACTCTTTAACAATAATAACTTCAGTAGGCTGAAATTTCAATCACCGGTCCCTCCCCTTAACAAACTCGTCTCATTTTATTTTCGAGTTCCCTAGAAAATTTCACTAGAAGCAGACGTCACTTTGGTTGATTGGTGGAGGGGTGAGCAGCAGCACTTTGGAGTTTTACCTACACAACCCTGGCATCTTCCTGTTCCGTCTGCTATAATTTTGACAAGGTGCATGGCGTTTTATTGAAAAAAGAAAATGTTATGCAATACACATAATATGTTCACTTAACATTACAAGCTAAATTTAAATAACAATAAGGCAAGTTACAACAATAATAAATTGCTCTTAATAATAGTTTACCGTTCAGAATAAAATTAAAAATGTTTTATAAAAATAACTAACTTAATCCAGCATGTCTGTTAAAATATTATATGTTTTGACAATATAAACGTATATTGTTTATCTTTTTAGGATGAAAATAACCGGTTAAAGTGCGTTAAACTGGGTGATTTTTATTTAACATGATATATGTTTTGAATACGGCGAAAGTTTGTCGAAAAATATCATGTCTAACTTTATCGAAAGTACTTACTGCAAACGTGAGTTAAAAAATTTTAAATAATAATATAATGGAAATTATTATTATTATTAAATAAATTAAAATACATTAATTTTATAGCTTTCTGCTGGACCGGCAAAACCGGCAATAAAAATATCCCATTTAAAAGAAAGATCGAGTCAAGTAGTTGCAAACAAACAAAGATCACATACAATTGTTGCGGAATCAAAACACGCGATTCCTCCTGACATTTTACAGGAATTAACTCCAATTTCTGTCAATAAAACAAAGACATTAAATAGTGATGACAGAATTGATTCTGCTGATACAGTTCAAAAAAAAGTAAAATGGAAATTTTTAGAATTCGACGCAACGAAACTTCACAAATATTGTCTTATGCTTTCAAAAGCGAGATTAACTTGTGAGTATTAATTTTGCAATAATTTTTTTTTTTAATTCGATTAATTAAATTTTGTTTAAAGTCTTTATTAACATTAAATATTACATTTTTTTAAAAAACGTTATTGCTCAAAAAATATTTAACATTGAGTATTATTATTTACCATAAATATAAATTTAGTTTATTCTGAACATAGAAATGATGGAATTTCTTTAAAATTATTTCATTTAAAGATAATAATCGAATTTGAAAATTTTTTGTTAAAAAAATTGCACAATTCTCAATTTTTCCACAATTTCTCTGTTTATTCCAAAAATTTATAAAATTATCGATTTTCCCTTTTTCTTTACATATTTCTTTAAATTAAATTTTTTTTATTCATGTTTTTTATTCTTCAAATTCTCTTAATTGAAATTCCAAAAAATTATCTATTTTTCTCTCAATTTCTTTGACTGTTTAGTTTTTAAAATTTTTAATTTGCTCTTATTTTTCTAAAATTCTCGTTATTTAAAACATTTTTTCTTGATTTTTATTCTTATTTTTTGAAAATCTTAAAATTTATTTATTTAATATGTTGGATATTTTCTGTTGGATATTTGTGAAATTAATTTTACAATTAATTTGAAGTTATGAAAAATAATTTTACAATTAATTTGAAGTTATGAAAAATAATTATTATATTAAATAATAACTTGATTTAAAAAAGGTTATAAAAAATTAAGGTTTTTTAATATAACCTGTTGTTAAATTTACTTTATTGTTAATTTTTGCATTTGAATAAATAACAATCAGATACAAATAAAATAGATTCAATTATAAATTGTGCAATTAAAAATTAGCACATTTAATAAGTAGGTTGAATAAATTTTAGATGGAATATTCCATATTTTAATTTTTTCATTAAAAGTTTAAATTGAAAGAATTTGTATTATCTTTTTATTTAAAATGAATTATTAAAATTAAAAGAATTAGTACAAAAATTCTTTTACAAAGAATTATTGATAACAAAATTAAAATAAATTATTCTATTTTTATTATTTTTATCAAAATTGGTATTTGTTTTTTCACCAGTTGAGAAACTAAAATATAAATATGGAAATATCTAGACAAGAAAAAATTGCATTTTATTGTCAAGAGAAAAAATAAATCATAATTATATTTGTATTTAATAATAATAATAATAATATTGATGGTCATCAACCATCAGCAGATTATTTTCAGTAGATTGACCCAGGTACTTTTTTGTATTTAGTAGACTAATTATAAAAAATAAGTCAATCATGTATTTTGATTTTAAATTTGATTCTTGAAAAATTGAAAAAATTGATTATATTTTACAGCACTTGTAGTCATTACAGCTATGGGTGGATATGCCATGGCACCGGCCCCATTTGATCCATACGTTTTTACAATGTGCTCCCTTGGCACGGGTTTAGTTTCGGCATCGGCAAATGCAATCAATCAATTTTGTGAAGTTCCTTTCGATGCTCAAATGAATCGAACGAAAAATCGAGTACTAGTCCGTGGTTATCTTGCGTAAGTCTTTTTATTATTATTATTATTATTATACAGGATAATCGCCTAAATTTGAAATTAAATTTAAAACATTGAATACCAGGAAAAGGACGTGAATTTAAATATTCTTTGAAAAAAAAACTATAAATTCATCTTTATTTTTTCAGTACCTTGGATTTTTAACAATCTTTAATTTTTTAAAAATGGCATTTTGATTTTTTTTTTTAATTAAAACTTGTGGTAAATTATGATAAATTTTTTGTTACTTTTAAATCCGTATAACTGTGACAATAAAAAAAAGTTATTTTAAAAAAATTTGAACCCTACTTTTTTTTAAATTAACTCATCTTTTTCATTATCTACACCTTATGTCCCTTAAACATTTTTTTTTATTACTTTTATTTGAAAGTAGACATTTTTGTAAAAAAAAATGTAAAATGGGTTTGCGAAAAAAGTGAAGAGAACCAAGCTGTGGCACTACATAATTTATATTAAGGTGAATTAAATCTTACAACAAGTTTGTAAATTACATTTAATTTCTATTGCTGTATAATAGCAGGCATCAATTTTAATTTTTAACAATAGGATTGATAACTTCATATACAATGTAAAAAAAAGTAGCAAGCACAAAGTTAAATTACTATATATATCCTACGTTATGAATTAAATTATATTGCGATAAATTGAAAAATGCATTTAAGTTACGCAAACTGTCTACTTTAAAATTGAATAAATTTTCACATTTTCTTGCAAACCTATTGTTTTCCCATTTTTACATTTACATTGTTTTGTTGGAAAGAATTTCAAATTTTTCAATTAAAATAACAAAAAAAGATTAAAGAGGGTCAACGTTGTCAAATGAAAAATAAGGGTTAATTTTGAAAAATGAGATTAAACGTTTTTTTAAATAATTTCTTTTTCATTAAAAATTTTCTTTAAAGTAACAGTGTTAAATGTCAAAAATTTAACCTTTCTTACTAATTTTTATATTTAAAAACAATTTGAAAACTGAATTTCTTTTTCAAAATCGATAAAAACCTTGAATTTTATATACCAATTTTAATGAACACTAAAAATAAAATTATACTTTTCATATTTTCAATTTTTTTAAACATATTTGCATTTTTAATTTTTTTTTCCTTGAATAACATTATACTGTATCAGTATTATATATTTTTAGGCTTAATTATAAAAAAATGATTTTGTCAAAAAAATATTTAAAAAAAAAATTCATACGTCTCTCTATGTGGAAAATAATAATAATAACAATGAATTTTATGTTTAGTCCTGTTCACGCTGCAGTTTTTGCAGCGATGTCTGGTACGATAGGCTTGGTAATTCTTTATTCTCAAGTAAATACTTTAACGGCAGCATTAGGTGGTGCTAATTTAATTTTATACACTCTTATTTATACACCCATGAAACGAATCAGTATTCTTAACACCTGGATTGGTTCAGTAGGTAAATTTATAATTAAATTCATTATGAATCATTCGACATTTTCATTCAAAACGTTTTTTTGTTTCTGATTACATTTTTTCGACAAAAAAATCGGTATTTAACATTATTTATTCAGAACAAATTTTGAAAAATAATTTAAAGTTACATTAAAGAAAAGAAAATTTTTCAAGTTTGATTTATTAATTTATTTACATTATTTGAATTCAGAATTTCGGAAAATGTTCTAAGTAATTGAATTTTTATTGAGTTACAGTTAAGATTTTTAGAAATAATTGCATTTTTCGAGATTACCAAAATTATAATTTTCTTGTAAATATCAACATTAATTAAAAGACGATTTAAATAATTGAGTTTTTGAAAAATTAGATTAAAACTGTTGACATAATTAATTAAACAAAGAATTCTATAAAGAAAAAATTTTTAATTGAATTAACGTTAAATTAATTATTCAATTATATTAATTGAATTTGGAATAGTTTGAGTTAAAAATTTTTTGGAAGTAATTAAATTTCAGAATATTTTAAATTGAAACTTTCATAAATTTTAATTAATAAAATGTTCTTTACAAACTTTAAAGAATAATAGAATTTCAGAATATTTTTAATTAAAAAAAATTTTACTTCCTTTAATTATTGAAAAACTATATTAAAGTAATTAAAAAATTAATTTACCAAAGAATTTTAAATAAAATTTTTTAGAAATAATTGAATTATAGAGAATTTTCAATTTTTGAAATTTTCAATTGAAATTTTAATAAACTTGAATTATTGAAATTTTTTAAAAATTAAAAAAAACAAAAATCTAATTTTAAAGAATTAATAATTAAAAAACGTTTTATGAAATTTAATTTTTGAAAAACTTGATTAAAGTTAATAGAAGTATTTAATTCAAAAAGAAATTGAAGTTAAAAATTTTAGAAATAATTGTGTTTTGGAAGAACAATAGTTAAAATTTTTGGAACCAATTGAATTACCGGAGATTTTTAATTAAAATTTTCGTAAATTGGAATTTCTGTAGATTTTTTATAAGCATTAAACAATAATTAAACTTTGGAGAATTTTAAATTGGAAAATGTTTTAAATAATTGAATTTTCGAAAATGTTGATTAAAATTATTAAAATTAAATTATTCAACAAAGTATTTTAGATAGAAAATTTAAAAATAATTGTATTTTAGAAGAGTTTGAGTTAAAAATTTTAGAAATAATAATTGAATTTCAGGAGATTATTAATTGAAAACAGTTATGTAATTTTCAAAGAAAATTTGTTTTAAATTATTGAAAATAATTGATTTTGCAAAATATTTAATTTAATATATTTTTTTAATAATTTAATTTTAAAAAATAAAAAAAAATCGATAAAGTTGTGTAATTCGAGGTCTGTTATTGTAAGCTTCTTGAAATATTTTCATTAAGGTCAGAGAAAAAATTTTAATTTTGACTGGAAATCAGAGAAAAACAAAATAATTTTTTTTTGTGTCAACCCTGAAATATAATAATGTATGAATGAAAATGTCTAGATATTTTCGTTGTTCTTCTTAATTAAATTAAAAATTGAACAATAAAATTGTGTAGGAAAAAAATCGAGAGTTGTTCAATGATAAATTTTAAAATATATAAATATAATAAAATAAAAAATGATATATTAACAGTTGGTGCAATTCCACCTTTGATGGGTTGGGCTGCTTGCCTCGGAGACATAAGTTCGCCCGGTGCTTGGATTATGTCTGGAATTTTATATGCCTGGCAATTTCCCCATTTTAATGCTCTTTCATGGAATCTTCGACCAGATTATTCGCGTGCCGGTTATAGAATGATGGCAGTTACAAATCCCGATCTTTGTCGAAGAACTGCCTTAAGGTATACAGCATCATTGATGGTTATTTCATACCTGGCCCCAATTTTTGACGTTACAAATTGGTGGTTTTCTGTGATATCAACGCCACTCAATAGTTACTTTCTTTATCTAGGTAAGTTTAAAGAAACAAAACTAAATTATCAAAATTCAATAAAAACGAAAATTGAGATGTAAAAAAAAAAATTTTTTTTAGCTTGGCAATTTCATAAACAGTCTGACAGTGCGACATCACGTAAATTATTTCGATTCTCACTTCTTCATCTTCCGGCGTTAATGATTCTAATGTTGATCTGCAAGAAATATTGGTTCATTGATTTTGCAGGAAATAAAAAAGTCAAAGAAACAATTAATGAAGAAAAACATCAAGACAGACTATCAACATCTATCGCGGGACTTTTTTCACCGACGTCTGCTTAAAAAGAAAAAATCGACACGTACAAAAAAAAAAAAAGAAAATCAATAGCTCAGCGTAGAGAATGAAATGTTTATTATTTCATAAACATTTGCTAAACAAAAAGATATATTCAATTGAAATTTTCCAATTTTTATAACGTTATTTTTTGAAAATAACAATTAAATATATTTTTGTTAGTTTCAAAAAAGAAAAATTTCTAATCGAACGAAAAAAACTGTTGTTGAATTTCATTTTAAGTGAATATTGTTAAATAGTGTCTCAATGGCGCAGGTTAAAAATAATATTTAACTTGTAAAAAACAAAGAATATTATTTAAATTGTAAATCTGTAAAAAAAATATTGTTAGTTAAAAATACATTTGTAAAATATCAAGCCTCGATGAGAAGAAGAAAAATAGAGAATGCGAAATAAGCAAAAAAAAAATCTTGTCTTGTTAATAATTTGTAAAAATTTTTTTTTATTTATTTACAAATATCTCTTCTTTTTTGTACAATAGAAACAATTAATTTGAATTTAATGAATTCTCACGTTCCTTGGCAAATTCAATTGCCATTTTTCTTCTTGTTTTTGTTAAATTTCTATGTCCATGACAATCTAAATTCTCTTTGTAGCATTTATTCCTACAACATTGACGGCAGAGTTGATATTCACATTTGAATCCCTAAAACGTTAAATGATAATTAATAATAATAATAATAATAATAATAATAATAATTGATCGTGAATCTAATTTTAGAAAATTATATTTACCAATGGATTGGGACAATCATTGCACAATAATTTGCTTCGTCTAACAGGCGGTGTGTTATTATTAGGACGTCGGGTGATTCTTCTCAATTTTTTTAAACGTTTTCGTGAGACTGCATTTCCTTCATCATCCTTAAATTCACGTTTTGTTCCATTTTCCTAACAAAATTATTTTCAACATATTTTACTCATTATGTTTTAATTGTATATTTTTATTTTTCGTTATTATTTAACTTTTAACTAAAAACTATTAAAATTCCCAGTCTCCCTGATTAATTATTTCTTTTTAGTTTCGTCATATTGAAAAAATAAATCTCTAACGATATTAATTATATTTAATAAATTGGGAATATTTTTCTAATATAATTTTTTTTTTGTTTCGTGCGAAGAATTTCGAAAAAAAACGTACCAATTCTATTTTCTTTGCATCAACTTTATTTTGATGTATTTCAGGTGGATCGCGAACGTACGGTTGACATAACCACGGTGGCAAAACTAAATCGTAATCTGCAAAAAAAAATAAAAAGATTAATTTGTATGTTTCTTTAAAAAAAAAAAATGAAAAAAATCCAAATAATTCAATTCAATTGTGAGATGAATTCACTATAAATCATCTGTGAATAGTTTATATATTTTTAAAAAATTTAGTTTTAATATCATTGTTACTACGATTTTCTTTTATCAAACAAAATTCCATTACATACCTATTAAAATTTAACAAAAGTATTTTAAATATTTTTTAATTGTAAGTTTCAGAAATATTAAATTTGAAAATTTATTACTTAAAAAAATTTATTCTAGGAACAAAAGTAAACAAAACAATTTTATATCATACTGTTTTTTTTATGAGAATAAAGAGAGATATAAATTTTTTGAAATCCTGCGATTTAACCTCTTCAAATAAAAAATTATTAAATTCAATATTTCCTGAACGGTGCAAATTTTAAAACCGTCAAATTATTTTATTAATTTTAATTATTAATTTATTTAATAATTTTAATCAACATTTTCGAAAATTCAATTATTTAAAACATTTTCCAATTCAAAATTCTCCAAAGTTTAATTATTGTTTAATGCTTATGAAAAATCTACAGAAATTCCAAGTTACAAAAATTTTAATTAAAAATCTCCTAAAATTCAATTAGTTCCAGAAATTTTAACTCATTCTCTCTTTAGCTCTTTCAAAACTCAATTATTTCTCAAATTTTTTAACTTCAATTTCTTTTTGAATTAATTATTTCTAATTACTTTAATCAAAAAAAAAACAAACAAAAAAAAGTTGTTTTATACAACTTCAGAGGAAATATAATAACAAATGAAATTTATCTTCAAATACAAAAATTATATTAATTTTTATTCCTTAACGAACGATTATTAATTTGTTAAAAGTATTTTACTGCATTTAAAAAAAATTGAGACATTCGATAATTAATTACATTATAAATTATAAGAAAGTAATTTTTTAATTATGGTACGACATAAAGCCCAACCAAGGTTTGTATGGTTATAAATGTTAATAATTATTAATGAATTGTCACTTAAATTAATTACATTATTATTTTTATATTAGTGCTTTATCTAATCAACCCGGCACTTCCAATTCGACAGCAAGTGATAGTAGCGATGAAGTAAATTACATTGAATTGTTTTCTTTGACAATAATAAACATTTTATTTTCTTTATTTTTAATTAATATTTTTAAATTAAAATCTCTAATTAATAAGTATCATAACGATAATAATAATAAGAATTCATTTAAATATTTAAAAATATTCCCAAGATCAATTTTGAGAAATTAAAAATGTTACACGAAACTAATGTAATGTTGAAATTTTAGATTGTATATAGTTTAAAAGTAAATTTTCAAAAATTTCAGGTACAAATTGAAGTTGTAAGAAGACCGCGAAAAAAGCGAGTTTTTGAAGAAATCAGAGCTTTAAGAAGAAGTACAAAGTTGCTTATTCCAAAAGCTCCTTTTGTTCGTTTAGTAAAAGAAATTGTAAAAGACATATTTCCTCGAAGCAAGATTCGAAGGTTAAAAAAATCTTTACTTTTTTTAATTAAATCTATAATTCTAATAATAATCTAAATAATAATCTATAATTCTATGTAATTCTAATTTATTCCAAAGCTAATTAAATTAAATGATATAAAGAGAATATAACAAAAATAAATCATTTTAATCAATAAAATATATTCTTAGGTTTCAAAACGATGCAATTGAAGCACTTCGTGAAGCTGCTGAGATATATATTGTTCAATATTATGAACAAGCTGACGTTATATCGCAACATGCAAATCGTACAACATTAATGCAACGAGATATGGTTATGTTACGATTTATTCGAGGACGCGACGACGTTATTAATAAATAATAGCAATAAAATCATTTAAAATAAACAATTAATTTATCAAATAATAAATAAATGAATAAAATAAAAATTCATGTTTTCTTATAAAATAATTGAATTAAACAAATTTTAATTCTCTAAATGTAGTTGAATTTTAAAAAAGAATACCTAATATTTCATTTTTAAAGCAGTAATTAAATTTTAAAAAAAATTTTGACAATAAGATAATATTTTCAAATTAAAAAGGGCTATAAAACAGATTTTAGACAATAGTTGAATTTTAGAGAATTTTTAATTGAAAAATATTTTGAATACTTAAATTTTCAAAGAAGTTTTTCAACATTATTGTTTTTAAATTAAAATTGCGAAATTAAATTATTAATTTTGCAGACTTTCTCAGGGTTGACACAAAAATATTATTTTCTTCTTCCCTGATTTCCAGTCAAAATTAAAATTTTTTCCCTGACCTTAATGAAAATATTTCAAGAGGTTTACAATAACAGACCTCGGATTGCACAACTTTATCGATTTTTTTTTTGATTTTTTAAAATTGAATTATTAAAAAAATATATTAACTTGAATTGTTAGTAAAATCAATTATTTTCAATAATTTAAAACAAATTCTTCGAAAATTGCATGATTTAAAACTGTTATCAATTGAAAATTCACTAAAAATCAATTATTGTTTAAAGTTTTTAAAAAAATATCATCAATTCAAAATGAAAGCTTCAATTAATAATCTCCTGAAATTCAATTATTATTTCTAAAATTTTTAACTCGAACTCTTCTAAAATACAATCATTTTTAAATTTTCTATCTAAGATTCTTTGTTGAATAATTTAATTTTAACAATTTTAATCAATATTTTCGAAAATTCAATTATTTAAAAAAAAAAATTTTAATTAAAAATCTCCTAAAATTCAATTAGTTCCAGAAATTTTAACTCTTCCTCTCTTTAGCTCTTTCAAAATTCAATTATTTCTCAAATTTTTTAACTTCAATTTCTTTTTGAATTAATTATTTCTAATTACTTTAATCAAAAAAAAAAAAAAAAAAAAAGTTGTTTTATACAACTTCAGAGGAAATATAATAACAAATGAAATTTATCTTCAAATACAAAAATTATATTAATTTGTATTCCTTAACGAACGATTATTAATTTGTTAAAAGTATTTTACTGCATTTAAAAAAAAATTGAGACATTCGATAATTAATTACATTATAAATTATAAGAAAGTCATTTTTTAATTATGGTACGACATAAAGCCCAACCAAGGTTTGTATGGTTATAAATGTTAATAATTATTAATGAATTGTCACTTAAATTAATTACATTATTATTTTTATAATGCTTTTATTCGTGTAATAAAGGATATCATGGATGACATATTTCCTCGAACTAAGATTCGAAGGTTAAAAAAAAGAAATTTTTACTATTTATAATTAAATCTATATAATATTAATTCTATATAAATTGATAATTCTAATTTATTTCAAAGTTTATTAAATTTTTATTTTGAACTGGAAATTGGGTCAAATGATAGAAAGAGAATATAACAAAAATAAAATAATTTTAATAAAAAAAAAAATATATTTTTAGATTTCAAGCTGAAGCTGTTTTTTTATAAACAAATTCAAAATTTTTTTTTTCGTTAACATATTTTAAAAGTCGATAAAAAACTGAAACTTTTTTGTATCTTAATCATAATTCCTAAATTCAATACTTTTAAGTTACATGTCATTGAAATTAGGTGTATTTCAAAAAAAAAATGAAAAAATCAGATTTTTAAAAATTCATAACTCGAAAATTTGAGCACTTATAAAAAAATAAAAAAATACGTAAACCTTTTTTCTGAAAAGAATAAGAAAAAAATATATTTAGACGAATTTAAAAGGTCATAGGTAAATCTCACGTGGAATCGCCCATATGTATGTATGTATGTATGTATGATACAAAATTTATAATATTTAAAAACGCAAAAAACTTTGGTGCCTTAAAAATTGGATTTTTCAAACGATCCTTTTAAGCTACAAAGAGATTTTAAGAGAAGAAGGTAAAGAACCAATCATAAAAGGTAACAAAATCTTCGTACACAACACAATCATCGATTTAAATGAAGCAAAACAATTTTTTCTTCAAGACCAACCTGATGTGCAGAAAGTTGAGGACTCAATTTCTTCTGATACTGACGCGTCTAATATCTCAAATATGTCGACGGTCAGCCGGAAAAAGAGGAAGAAAACCGGGATCGAAGAATATGATTAAGAAAAAGCAAAAAGTGATCGGTACTGCGTCTACATCAAAAGCTGATATGAGGAACTACCTGTCCCCAAAACCTACTCCCGAATCCAAGAAAAATCCTTCAACTATTAAAAAACCATAACTAGATGGAAAAACTACCGAGTCCCGCATAATATTCTGGAACTCCAAAGGGTGGAATAACTGGACAGACTTGGTGGCTGAAACGAACAAAGACGATATCATCTGTATTTCGGAAACATGTCTCACCTCTATGCCATGAAATCAACTTTTATCCACCGGAAGTGTATTTTCTACTCCCGCCGTAAGAAGAGCAACCAGAGGAATTATTCTCGTCGATGAATGTAAATATAAAACTGAATTAATTAATGTTACCAACGAATCTATTATTATTAGAATAAAAAATGAAGGATCATTTTCCAATTTGTATAACTTGCAAAAATAAAATTAAAGAAAATTTTTTCTAATAAAATAATAAAAAATAAAAATATAATAAAAAGAAGAAGTAATTTATCCGATTAATTTTTTGAATTAATGAAATCCTCTCCGTGTAACTTGTCCGACTTTTCATCAATTAACGAACATGCAAATAATTTAACGAAAATAATAATAAAAAATGCAGAAACCATAGGTATGATATCGAAGCCTAATTTAACAACTTGTTTGTCGAAACCTTGGTTTGATTCAGAATGCGTGGATGCAAAAAGGGACATTAACGTTTTTCTTAAAAAATGTAAAAAACTTAATTTCGAAGGAGATTTGCTGTCTCAATATAATGAAAAGAAAAAATTATATTTTAGTATTTTAAAAACAAAAAAGGAAGCTCATAATCATATTGGCCTCAACTAAAGACTGAAAAAGCTTTTGGAGAATAATTAATAATTATAGATTCAAACCTAATGTTAATAATAATATAAAATTATAGAAACTTGGCATGATTTTTTTCTTGATTATTTTTCAGGAGCTAATGACTCCGGTATTGATCCGAATATTTCACAACTTACAATTAAAGAAATTAATCCTATACTAGATGTACCAATTAGTTGCGAAGAAATTATTTTATCAATTAGGAGAACAAAAAATAATAAAGCTGCGGGACCAGACGGAATTTCTTACGAATTTCTGAAGAATTTACCCGGGAAATGGATTCTTTATATGAGCTATCTTTTTAATAAAATTTTAGAGAAGCGGAAATTCCCTGACTCTTGGGCTAATATAAATTTTAAAATGATTCCTAAGGGTGAAAACAGACAGGACCCAAACAAACAAAGAGCTCGTTTGGGTTAATTAATAATAATTGTTAATAATATTACTAAAATATTCACTCAAATTATAAATAATAGAATGACTGAATGGGCCGATAAAATGAATCTCCTGCCGGAATTCCAAACTGGGTTCAGGAAAAACCGAAGCTGTATAGACAATATTTTTGTACTAAACTCAATAATTCAAACTCGAATTAATAAAAAAAGAGAGAAATTATTTGCTCTTTTTGTTGATTTTCGTAATGCGTTCCCTTCAATATCACATAAAATATTATGGGAAAAAATTCATAAAATGGGTTGTAGTAATAAAATAATAAAAACGTTAATAGATTTTTATAGGAAGGCAAATGTTTCGGTTAAAACCAGCGAAGGGGTTTCTGAGCCGGTGGGAGTGACGAAGGGAGTACTTCAGGGAGAAGTTTGTAGTTCCTTACTGTTCTCACTCTTTATAGCAGACTTAGAAGAGTTTTTAAAATCTGAAGGAGTCAGAGGAGTTTCTTTAAACCATTTAATTGAAATTATAATTTTAGCTTACGCTGACAATATTGTTTTATTAGCAGATTCACATGTACAAATGAAAAAAATTTTGACTGCTCTATATAAGTATTGTAAAATTAATAATTTAGAAGTTAATGTCGATAAAACGAAAATTATTATTTTTCGAAAAGGTGGTCACCAGCACAAGGCCAAGTTTGAACCGTTCTTCTTATATGGAGAAATAAACATAGAAATTGTAAAATCATATACATATTTGGGAGTTGTTTTTTCTCAATCGGGAACTTTTGTGAATGCATCTGAAGCTGCCAAGTTTATTAAAATTTTAACTGAAAATTTGAAAAATCGAAATTCAATATTTTAAAACATTTTTCAATTGAAAATTCTCTATAATTCAATTATTTGTAAAAATTTTATTTAAAATTCTTCGGTAAATTAATTTTTTTGATTACTTTAATATAGTTTTTCAACAATTAAAGAAAGTAAAATTTTTTTTAATTAAAAATATTCTAAAATTCTATTATTCTTTAAAGTTTGTAAAGAACATTTTATTAATTAAAATTTATGAAAGTTTCAATTGAAAATCTTCTGAAATTTAATTACTTACAAAATCATAACTCCAACTCTTACAAATTCATTTAGTAATGAAATAATTAATTAAATGTTAATTCAGTGGAAAAATTTTTTTCCCAAATTTTTATCTATATAATTCTTTGTTTAATTATTTCAACAATTTTAATTCAATATAAAAAAACAATTTTTTTTCTCGAAAAATGCAATTACTTTTTAATAATTTTAACTGCAACTTCATCAAAATTTAGTTATTTAGAACATATTTCAGTTAAAAATTCTCTAAAATTCAATTATTGTCTGAAATTTGTAAAAAAATTGTTATTAATTCAAATTTATAAAAGTTTTAATTGAAAATCTCCTGAAATTCAATTATTTTTAAAATTTTAATTAAAAATTTTCTTTTCTTTAATATAACTTTAAATTATTTTTCAAAATTTGTTCTAAAACTGAATTGAAATCTTGATAATTTGTCTCAGTTTAATAAGGTGGTTTAAAATGAAAAATTCTTGAAAATATTTCTGTGAAACATTCGTATTAAGGAATTATAAATTTTTTTTAAATTTCTAATAACAAATTATTAATAATAACCCGTGGCAACCTTGTATTTAGATTCAAATTTTCACTTTATTTTGTAAAATATGTTTAAAAAAAGTCGTACAATCCGTGGCCTGTATTATGGTCAAAAATCAACTATTCTCAAATGATTGTCAGTGAATTAATCCATTATTTGTTTTTGTAAACATTTTTCTACACAAACATCACGAATAAGAAAATTGAAATAAATGAAAAAAAAATCAATACATTATTTGTTTTAAATTATAAATGAAATGTCTTGAAACCCCACCTGTTCTTTCTTCAGGCCACGACAAACGACCCTCGTGATAAGGTAAATATCGATCCTTCAATAATTCCACGACCTTTCGAAACGATTCCATTGATGAATGTTCAGCCAATAATGCACGTGCTTTTTCATTTCCTGCAAGACAAAGGCTACTCTCTAGTTGAAAGTATGCTTTATTTGTCTTGATAAAGAAAATTTAAAAACAAAAATTGCCGACTTTGACTCCAATTTTACATCAAAACAATGTTATTGACAAACATTAATTTATTCAATTGGAAAAGAACTTGTAACATTATTTATTCAAATTTTCTACATTTTCAATTATTTCAATATCAAATAAAAAAAAATTGAAATAGGGGTATATAAATATCTCTCTAAATGTTAATCAGTAAAAAGTCATTGATGTCAAAATCATTTGCTAAATTCCAGCTATTTAAATTAGATAAAACCACTTATCTTTCACTTGAAGATAAGTAAAATTTCACTGATTCAAATAGCTGAAATTTAGCGACTGATTTGATATCAATGAATTTTTTACTGATTCAAATTCAGAGAGAAAATTCTATCAAAATTTCCATTTGACGTCAATTTAAATATTATTTATTTAACTTAATTTTTATTTGAACGCGGAATATTATTTATCTGAAACATTCATTTAGAATAAATATTTTAGTATAAAATTTGAAAATTAACGAATTATAATTATTTTAAATTACATAATTTATAATTATTTATTTAATTAACAAGTAAACGGGATTAAAAAAAACTAATTGGTTTATTTAATTATAAATGAATTTTTAACTTTGTATTAAAATATTTCGGCTGGATGAAAATTTCAATAAAATAAAAATTAGATGAAAATAAAAAAATAAAAATTTATTCAAATGGAAATTTGAACAAAATGAAAAATAATAATTAAATAAATTTAGAAACGTTTTTCTAATTAACTTGAATTAATTGCAAATAGATTTTTATAAATTTATGGGGGAGAGAAAAAAAATAATGGAATATTTACTCACGTGTGTTGAAATATTTTAAACAAGTGGCCACGTATATAGGATGAAGGTGCAGGATATTTTTCAATAAGATCTAAATATTCTGTCGCCGGTATCCAACTGGGTGGATAACATCCTTGAAAAATAAAAGGATTGTAAAGATTCCCTTCGGCCGTCATTATTCCTTGTACTCCCGTTTCTTCGATACAATTTTCAACGTCTTGAATACATTGAATATTTCCATTAGCAAAAACTGGAATTTTCACATTATCCCTGTTTTACATGAAAAAAAATCATTATTAAATTTTGCTTTATTTTAAATCAATTTTTAAAAATTTTAATTCATAATTTTGCTATTTATTTGATGTCGCAGTGCAAATTATTAATTTTAATGAATAAATAATAAAATAAACATTTGTTTTTTATTTTACGCAACAAAAATTTAATTTATTCTTTCTCTGATTTTTCCCCGATTTCCAGAAAAAATTTTGTCTTTTTTTCTGAGACTGACAAAATATTTTTTTTATTTAAATCATGGAAATTTTGATTTTTCTCAATTTTTTTCTTTTTTACAAAAGTCGGATTTTTTTTAAAACAAATTCTCAACTTTATTTTATAATTAAAAAAATAATTAACAAATTTTTTTAGTGTTTTTAAAAGAAACTCCTGACTTTTTTCTAATTCTGATAAAAAATTGTTTGTTTATGGAAAATTGTCATTAAACAGGTCAATAAGTCCTTTCGTATTCTTTTTTTAAAAAAGGATGTATTTAATTTGACAGAATACACATTTACCGACCGATCATAAATTTCATGAGAAAATTCTTGGAAATATATATCTACGGTCGGGACGCCTAAGTGTAGGTTTTATTTCCGAAGGTCACCACACTGTACGATAAACATCTTTCATTTTCATTCATAGTGCGTCTTATCCAAAGAAATTGGAATTATATTCAGATATTATACAAAGCAAAAGAAAAATTATTTTAAAAAAATAAATGAAATCAATCGTAAGTATTTATTAAAATAAGTTTCGTATATTTTAAAAGGTATAAATTTAAAAAAGTTTTAAGTATAGCAATACTAATAATATATATTCGATATATTCAATACCAAAAACATAACCTCAAATTAAAAATACTTTAATACTACAATAAATAATTAAAAATATATCGATGAGATTAAAAAAAACTTTTTGTTACTAATAATTATTAGACATTTTGGTTATTATATTTAGGAATATATTAGTTAGGAATCATTAGTTAGAATTTTCATTTTATGGAATTTCATTTGTTATAATTATTTTTGAGCCGAATTTTTATTTGTTCGAATTAGTATTTTGCAGAATTTTCATCAAAACGATTTTCTGTATTACACAATTTTTATATAACCGAAAATTCACTTCACAGAATTTTTATTTCTTCGAAATTCCAAATAGCCGAACAAACAATCGACAGAAAGATTTTGGAGCGATTTTTAAAATCAACCAATCACAATTTTATGAATAATTTTTGATTGGTTGATTTTAAAAATCGCTTCAAAATCTTTCTGTCAATTGTTTGTTCTGCTATTTGCAATTTCAGACAAATGAAAATTCTATCAATTAGAAATAATTATGTTAAATGATTTTTCGGTTAAGTAAAAATTCTGTAGTATAAAAAATCGGTTATATGGAAATTTAATCAAATAATAATTCGAGCAAATTCGAGCAAATAAAAATTTTGTAATATAGAAAATCGTTTTGATGAAAATTCTGCAAAATACTAATTCGAACAAATAATAATAATAATAATAATAATAATAATAATAATAATAATAATAATAATAATAATAATAATAAATATAAAATAATAATAATGAAAACAATTATGACAAATGAAATTCCATAAAACAAGGTGTCTAACAACTGCTAGGAAAAAAATTCCCTGACTTTTCACTGACTTTTCCCTGACCTAAATTACACTAAAAAATTTTTATTTTGATCAAATAAAATTCATTTTGATACAATTAAATCATTTACCTGTCTATTATTCACTAATTTCATATGTATTTGAACCAAATAAATAATGTTTCGTAAAAAATAAAATATTTAAGTGAAATAAATAAACTAATTGGGGACGTATCAATATTCTCAACATTTAATTTAAAAGAATTTTTACGACGTCAAATCTTAAATTATCAAATTTTTATTTAGTAAACTTATATAAAGCAGATTTTCTAGTACATCGAATTTCAAATTAATACAATTTTAATTTAACGGAATTTATGTCAAGAAAAATTGGGGCACAAAGACAAATTTTTTTAACAGAATTGTTATTTTAGTAAATTTCGATTTATCAAAATATTTACTTAACAGAATTGTCATTGAATATATCCACAATTAACAGAATTTCTATTTAACAAAATTCTTAATTAACAAAGTTTTTATTAAAGAAATTTTTAATTCGAACTAATTCTTATTTAACAGAATTCTCATTTTTTAAAAATTATACTTAGTTTCTTTTTTTGTCAATTTTTATATAGACATAAATTTCGTTAAATTGAAATTATATTAATTTATAATTTTAAAAAAGTATTAGAAAAAATGCTTTATAAGAGTTCTGCTAAATAGAAATTCTTTTAAATCGAATTTTAGTTAAATGTAAATTGAAAATTTTGCATAATATAAAATCCACTTTATACAATTTTGCTAAATAGAAATTCGATAATTTAATATTCGACGCCGTAAAAAATTATATAAGTTAAATGTGGGTATTAGCATTAAATAATAAATTATTCGTATTAATGAATAATTTACTTTATTTCAAGTTTAACCCATAAAATAAAATTGTATCAAATAATTTTTATTTATATTAAAAAACCAAATATTTCACTGCAAAAAATTAATTAATTGTTATCCAAGTTTAAAAAATCATTTATTAGATTCAATAAATAGTAGTAAATAATTATTTACTTAATGAATATAAGATATATCACATGCTTAATAACTGAGTGTGAAAGTCAACTTTTTAATTTGCATTTGCTTTGGGAAAAAAGTAAAAAAAAATTGGAAACTAATAATTACTTTAATTTATTCATAAAAAATTCCTGAAAATTAAAGAAATTCCCTGACTTTTCCCTGACCGTTATACACCTTGCATAAAATGAAAATTCTAACTAATGATTTTTAGAACATAATCATGCGTCCCTAGAAAATCGAAAATTTAAATTTTTTTCAAAAACGAAAAATTGGTCAAAACTATCTCGAGATTTTAAAATGAAATTTAATGATATAACCTATTTTTGGAAAATTGAAAAAGCTTCCTTTATGAAAAAGGAAAAAAAAATTTTGTTAATAAATACGAATTGAAAATTTTGTAAATTTATTATTTTTTTCATTTCAATTTTAGAACTAAGATGGCAGAATACGCAGGTAAATATAGATGGCTCAATTTGCAAGAAAGAAAAGAAATTTTAGAAATTTTTAAAGCAAATGATGAAAAAAGGATAAAATCAAATTGTTCGGAAATAGCGCGAAATTATAATGTTTCAAATACAACAATTTTAAGAATGAAAAAAGGTCGTCGTCAACATTGGGAAAGTACAATGGATAAAGAGGATAATTCAATTGTTTTTGGTAAACGAAGAAAAGCCTCGAAAATATCAATCCTCGAGGAAGTACTTTATGAATGGTTTAAACAAAAAAGAGCCGCTGGCCAATCAATAACAGGTACACAACTACAAGAGATGGCATTGTCAATAAATAGAAAATTAAATATAAATCCCGAATTTAGAGCAAGTAAAGGATGGTTAAATAATTTTAAAGAACGTTATAATATTCGTTCATTAACAATGAGTGCCGAACAATTACCAGCTAAATTTGAGAGTTGCTTAGAATTTGTTAACGCTGTGTCGTCAATAATGCTTTTGAAAAATTTTCAATTATATCAAATTTACAATGCCGACGAAATGGGAATCTATTGGAAAATGTTGCCGAGAATTAATTTTATTAATGAATATGAAGAAAGTTTGGATGGATTTAAAATGGCAGAGGAACGTGTAACTGTTATGGCTTGTGCAAATGCCGATGGCAGACACAAAATTCCATTATTTGTAATAGGAAAATGGGAAAATCCTAATAGCTTTAATGATATTAAATTACCGGTAGAATATCGATATGAAGAAAATGCATGGATGACGCGAGAAATTTTTAAAAGTTGGCTCACAACTGTTTTTTTACCATCGGTGGAGGAATTTCAAAATAAGGAAGAAAAATCACATAATATTTTATTAATATTAGATAATGCCAAGTGCCACTTGTCCAAGGAAGAAATAGAATCAATTTCAGATAAGTGTGTTGTAAGTATTTTTTTAAAATAATATTTGTACGCAAATCATAAAAAAGAAACTGAAAATCGAAATCGAAATTAATCGAACAGAAAATTTCAATTTATATTATAAAACAAAAATTTAAATTATTTAAAAAATTTAATTATAGAAAAATATCAATGGCTTGAAAAAAAATGAAATTGCTTTTAATTAGTTAATTTTGACAATTAACAATAAAAATCATTTTTTAAAAAATTCTATTATTTTGTAATTTAATTTAATTTTTAATTATAATTATTAAGTAATTTAATATTTTTGTTTTAATTTAAGTATTTTAATTTTTTAAACACAATTGTGTTTAAGCAATTTGAATTAAAAATTGTTGATAAGATAATTTACTTCAAAAACAATTAAATATTAATAATGTATTGAATTTAAAATATAATTGTAACAAATTGATAAACTTTTATAAATAAGTTTATAATTAAAAAAATAATATATGAAAATTCAATTTACAATTTTTGAATTTATATTGAAACTAAAATTTTCTTTGGCAAATTATTTTTCCATTATTTTCTTCAAAATAAAATTTAAAAAAATATTCTATCCTCCCACAATTTATTGTGTTCTTATTGTATTCTTTTATTTTATTTTTTTTTTTTAATACTGTACGAAAATCTTTAGGCAACTAATAAAATATTTGATTATATAGATTGAATTTCTTCCACCGAATGTGACTTCTCAGATTCAACCGATGAATCAGGGTGTTATACAAGAAATAAAAAGACTCTACAGAAGGAATATGTTAAAGGATATGTTATTAGAGACAAGCGAAGAAAGTCTTCTTAAATATTTAGAAAAATTAAATATACTGGATTTTTGTACGCAAATTGCAAGTGCATGGTTCGAAGTTAGTACTGAAAATATTTTACGTGCATGGAGAAAATTAATACCAGCATGTGACATTATTGTTGAAACTTGTCAAGTTTCTGTAGATGAAATACTACAAGTTTTATATAGACTTCCTGGTTTTCACAATATCAATGTACAACAAGTACTTTCTTGGCTTGATGTAGATAAAAATGAAACTGGATGGAAAATACAAACTGTGGACGAAATTTTACAAAGGTAAAAGAGAATTTCAATTTTTTATTTCCTTTTTGTTAAAACTGTTTCTTTTGTTTAATAATTTGAATTATTTTTATTTGAAAATTAATTTGTTTTATTAAAATTTTTTTTTTGTAGTTTATCTCACGGTAATAAATCTTCGAATAATGAAAAAGAACAAGAAAGAGAAGAGGAAACTGATTCACAAAACATTCAATATTCAACTAATATAGGGGAAATAGAAATAAAAGAAGAACTTGAAATAAAAGAGGAATTTGATACTATTTCAGAAACAGAAATTATTGCCGCTGAAGCAGATGAGGCATTGAAGGCCTTGAATTTCTTTAAAAAATGGTATGAACGACAGTGGAATTGCGAGTCTGAAAATTTGATAATCCTTCAAAGATTGAATAATGAAACAAAAGATATTGTCGCACAATTGAAAGGTTTAAATTTTGTTGAAAATGTAAATGAATAAAGATGGTATTTCATAAAAGAGAATTGTTTTTTTTCCTATTTCAAATGAGAAAAACAAATTTTTACGTTAAAGAAATAAATTTTTTTAGAAATTTAAATACAAATAGAGAATTTTAGGAATTCTAGAGAAAGAAAAATAATTAATTTTTTTAAAAAAAACTTGAAAATTGTAGAAAATGAACAGAAAATTCGCAAAATAAAAAAAATTTAGAACAATTTGTAAAAATAAATAAATTAATTAATTTCACGAATTCCAAAAAAGGAGAATTGAAGAAAAGAATCGATTTAATAAACAAAAATTTTAGAAAATGAAAAGAAAAATAAAATAATAAAAAAAAATACATAAAAATAAATGAAAGAAATAATAAAAAATTTAATTTTTAAAGAAAAATGGCAAATTACCTAACTGCACGAATATGTTTCCAGGATGCTAAACCAGTAAATGGTCCTTTTTGTTCCCTCGTGCGACCATGAACAGTTAAAAGTTTTGCTCCTGCTTTCTCTAACATTTGAGCGTAAGCAATAGTTTTCTCAATTTCCGGAAACACTCGCAATTTACATGTGACAGGAGTACGAAGATTTTTGCTCAATTTGCTCACTGTGAATTAAATTTTAAAATAAATAAGATAAAAAAAAAAGGTTTACAATATTTTTATGACTCCACGAACGCTCTTATTCCATTTATTCATAAAAAAATATAAAATAAAATCCTGTAAAAATATATTAATTTCCATATTTTTAAATACCGAACAAACTGTACTTTCGAATTATAAAAAACTTTCTAAATGATATTTTTCTAATATAAATATATAAATATATTATTTGTAAATTAATATTTGATATCCAAGCAAAAAAAAACTTAATAAAGAGAATTTTACTTCTTAATTGAAGAAAAGAAAAATTTAATTAATAATTATAGAAAAAATCGCCTTAAAAATAAAATATTCATAATTTTTGTTACCAATATTTTCCAATAATTCCCAGTCATCTTGTAAAAAAGCACCATAGTGTCCACGTTTAGCAATAGCTTGAGGACAGCCGAGATTTAAATCCACAGCATCGCAATGTCCTTCTGCCAAAAGGGCAGCTTCCAGTAATATTTCTGGATCATTACCACAAAACTGAAACGCAAATTTCTTTTATCATCGCGAATTTATCAGAAATATTTCAAGATTTTTAACAATAATATTTTTTTCCAAAAATTCATTAATTTATTTTATATATATAAAAAAAAAATTTTTTCTCCTAAAGTATTGAAGTTTATTTTTTAATGAAAATTATTTAAAAAAAAAAATAAGTTTACCAACTTGAACTATTAATGGACGATCCTCGTCTGTTGTGGTGAGAGCTTCTTTTCGATATTTTGGATCTCGACAAAATACCGAAGAATGTAACATAGGAGTATAACATAATTGAGCACCATGTTGTCTACAAAGTAATCTCCAAGCTAATTCACTGGCATCCACCATTGGTGCAATTACAAATTTTGGCGAACCAAGTAAATCCTTCCAAATATTATTTTCATTCTCCTTCTCAGGAATTTGTTCTAAATCTGTCATCTGAAAATAATAAATTTATTATTAAAAAAAATAAAAATCTTTTCAATATCAAAATAAAGGATTCATTTTAAGGCGCAAAAAAATGTATGAATAAACATCAAACATTATGTCTGATTTATTTTAATTTTATCAAAAGAGTATAAATTATTTATTGTTAAATAATTATTTAATAATTTTCTTCTTCCCTGATTTCCAGTCAAAATTAACATTTTTTCCCTGACCTTAATGAAAATATTTCAAAAGGTTTTCAAGAACAGGCCTCGGATTGAGCTCTTTTTTTTTATTTTTTAAAATTGAATTTTTAAAAAAAAATATTAACTTGAATTGTTTGCAAAATCAATTATTTTCAATAATTTAAAACAAATTCTTCGAAAATAGCATTATTTAAAACTGTTTTCAATTGAAAATTCACTAAAAATCAATTATTGTCTAAAGTTTTTAAAAAAATTTCATCAATTCAAAATGAAAGTTTCAATTAATAATCTCCTGAAATTCAATTATTATTTCTAAAATTTTTAACTCGAACTCTTCTAAAATACAATTATTTTTAAATTTTCTATCTAAAATTCTTTGTTGAATAATTTAATTTTAATAATTTTAATCAACATTTTCGAAAATTCAATTATTTAAAACATTTTCCAATTCAAAATTCTCCAAAGTTTAATTATTCTTTAATGCTTATGAAAAATCTACAGAAATTCCAATTTACAAAAATTTTAATTAAAAATCTCCTAAAATTCAATTAGTTCCAGAAATTTTAACTCATCCTCTCTTTAGCTCTTTCAAAACTCAATTATTTCTCAAATTTTTAAACTTCAATTTCTTTTTGAATTAATTATTTCTAATTACTTTAATAAAAAAAAAAAAAACAAAAAAAAAGTTTTATACAACTTCAGAGGAAATATAATAACAAATGAAATTTATCTTCAAAAAATAAAAATTATATTAATTTGTATTCCTTAACGAACGATTATTAATTTGTTAAAAGTATTTTACTGCATTTAAAAAAAAATTAAGACATTCGATAATTAATTACATTATAAATTATAAGAAAGTCATTTTTTAATTATGGTACGACATAAAGCCCAACCGAGGTTTGTATGGTTATAAATGTTAATAATTGTTAATGAATTGTCACTTAAATTAATTACATTATTATTTTTATATTAGTGCTTTATCTAATCAACCCGGCACTTCCAATTCGACAGCAAGTGATAGTAGCGATGAAGTAAATTACATTGAATTGTTTTCTTTGACAATAATAAACATTTTATTTTCTTTATTTTTAATTAATATTTTTAAATTAAAACTCTAATTAATAAGTATCATAACGATAATAATAATAATAATTCAATTAAATATTTAAAAATATTCCCAAGATCAATTTTGAGAAATTAAAAAAGTTACACGAAACTAATGTAATGTTGAAATTTTTGATTGTATATAGTTTAAAAGTAAATTTTCCAAAATTTCAGGTACAAATTGAAGTTGTAACAAGACCCCGAAGAAAGCGAGTTCTTACAGAAATTAAAGCTTTAAGAAGAAGTACAAAGTTAATTATTCCAAAAGCTGCTTTTATTCGTGTAATAAAGGATATCATGGATGACATATTTCCTCGAACTAAGATTCGAAGGTTAAAAAAAAGAAATTTTTACTATTTATAATTAAATCTATATAATATTAATTCTATATAAATTGATAATTCCAATTTATTTCAAAGTTCATTAAATTTTTATTTTGAACTGGAAATTGGGTCAAATGATAGAAAGAGAATATAAAAAAAAATAAAATAATTTTAATAAAAAAAAAAAAATATTTTTAGATTTCAAGCTGAAGCAATTGAAGCACTTCGTGAGGCTGCTGAAAACTACATCGTTGAATTTTATGAACAAGCCGTCGTTTTAGGGTATTTTGCAAATCGTGAAACATTAATGCAACGAGATATGGTTATGTTACGTTTCCTTCGAGGACGCAACGACGTTATTAATAGATAATGGAAATAAAATTAATTTATAATAAAAAAACAATTTTTCAATTAATAAATAATCACATAAAAGGAAAATCCAAATTTATTTTTTCTTAATTATAAAATAATTGAATATTAAACCAATTTTAATTTTTTAAATGTAATCGAATTTAAAAAAAAAAATAATACCTAATTTTATTTTTAAAATAGTAATTAAATTTAGAAAATAATTGAATTCAAAAATAATTTTGATAATAAGACAATATTATATATTCCAAAAAAAGTTATCATCCTTAACAGGCCATTTTTAAAATAAAAAATGAAATAGTAAATTCATTTTTTCTGAATAAAATCATTTATTTTAGTGAATTATTTAGTCCTTTCATAATAATTTTTCCAGGGTGTCCAGCAAGAAGTATAAAAAAAATTCCCTGACTTTTCCTTTCAAATATTTTAATCTGTTTTTCCAAAAAAAAAAAAACACAAATTGGAAATTTTTCCAACATTTTATATTTTTAAATATATATTAAAGAAAACAAATAAATAATTTTAGAGAGGTTTTCATAAAACATGAAATAATAGAAAAAAAAATCAATTTTGATTCGCAGCATAATTTTTATTTTCTTTGCATATATATATATATAACAATCAAACACGTGTAAATATAAAATTGATTTAAATATAATATATATAAATGGCATTCAAATATCGATTGTGAAAGACCACATCATCGTGCTGATTTTTAAATAAAAAATATCATTTATTATTTATAGAAAATTCCGGACGATATAATATATATATTTAATTTATTATTTTTAATAATTTATGACAGATTGTTAAATTTCTTTTCTTATAACTCGCAACGTAAATTACATATATATTGTATGTACATAATTTTCTTAACACAGAATTTATCCAAAGTATTCTTTTTTTTCAAAAAATATGTATGATAACAATAGGATAAAATTATCAGTATAAAAGCTCGTAGGCATTTTTTAATTAAATACATATATGTATATATAACTATGCATATATCTATACAAGTATACATATATATCACTTTTAAAGCCCTTTTTTTTAAATTTATTTTATACATTCAGTTCTGTTGCTTATTTACTTTCCAATCACGAGAGAAAAAATTTTTTTATCGATAAAATCGAATGACATGAATTAATTAAAAAGAGAGAATATTCTCGAAAATTTAACATTAATCAGACTGTGATTGTCTTCGAATTCAATGTAAAATACAAAAGACAATTTTTTAAATATAACCTAATTATTATTATTTTTTTTAATTATTAACTGCTATTATATAGCAAATTAATTAATTAATAGATATTTAGAAAAAGTATTTGGCCAGATTTGTTTTTAAATTGATTTAATTTAGGCTTCATTGGTGACTATTGCCTGGTAACTATTTTTATAATACTAAAAAAAATTCTTGAATTCTGCAACTATTTGTTAAATTTTTCGTAACATTCTGTAATATTTCTTTTGTTTATCTAAATAAATTCTAAATAATATTTCGTTGTAAGACTCAACTAGTTTTATTTTATAATATAATTAAGCTAAAACTATCAAAATGAGCTAATGAGTATGAAATTTATTATTGGACCTAAAGATTAAATTTTTTCATTTCTAAATTCTATTTTATATAGATAATTGTATGTAATTTCAAAAAATTCTATATTACCAGTTAGTTAGAAATTTTTATAATTTATAAAAATCAAAGAAATTTCCTAATGAAAAAATGAATATTTTAATAAAATCTATTTGAAATGTTTTTTTTGAGAATATTAAATAAAAAGTAAACTATACATTTAAAAAATTGAATAATTAACATAAAATATTAAATTAATTACACTGCAATATATACAATTTTACTAATTGTAAGAATTCTTTAAATATTGAGACAAAACTCTAAATTTTCGATTTCTATTGTTATAGGATTTGTTTGTTTTATGATTGAAAGCAACTTTTTAAATCTTTAGATAAAGTTTGGCACACGTAAATAAATAATAAAATACAAAAAATCGATATTGGAAATTTTCAAAATTAAAAATTTTACATATAATTTTTTCAACATTTCGTAAATACTTTTTTCTGTTTAAAAAAAAATAAACAAACAAATACAAGAAAACAATAAGAGTTAAGTCTATTATTTTATCACTCTATTTGCACTCATATAAAATTTATCATTTTCCTCGATTCTCAATGGCGGGCATCATTTCTCATAAAGTGACAAAGTCAAATTATTAAAAAAAATGTCATTTATTATTATACTTATTTATAAAATTTATTTATATTTAATATAAATAGTAAATTTTGTCATCTCAACACAAAAATTATTTCACGATTTAGAAAAAAATTTAATAAAAATCACTGATAAATCCACTTCTAGAGGATGGAAATCAGAAAAAGATATAAATAAATAATAAAATAGTAATAAATAAAAAAAAAAACAAAATTCTCTTAGAAATTTTTTTTAATTAGTTGAAAAAATAAATTGAAAATATAAAAAATTATAAAATTATAAAAACAGCGCAGTTTATTCAAAAATAAAAATAAGTCTAAAGTTATTTTCGTTTTTTTTTTAAATAATTATATTAGGGGAGATAAATGATGCCGCGATTATTAATCGTAGATTCTAAAACTTAACATATCTATAATCAAGGACCTTCATTAGAATTCAACAAATTTTACAAATGATTAAAAATTTTTAAATAATTTAAAAAATTTGAAATTCTATTTAAAATCAGAAGCATTGAATTAAAAAGTCCAATTTAATTCAATGGCAAACTTGATATAGAAATTTTTTTCTAAAAATTTTCAAAATTTCCTAATTTTTTAATTTCTATATTTTATTCATTTTTATATATACTAAAATTTTTTATTTAATTGACTATCTATTTAAACAAAAAATTTATTTACAATATCCTTTTTTTTATTTTACCTATCAAATTTTTGTTTGACAGAATTTTTATTTTACAGTCATTTAATTTATATGACTTTTTATTTTAAGAGAATTTTAATTTAACAGCATTCTCATTCAATCGAATTTTATGTGATTAGAATTTTAAAATGACATAAATTCACCGAAATTTAATTTATCTGAATTTTTATTTGTCCGAAATTTCAAATGTCCGAACAAACAATCGACAGAAAGATTTCGGCACAATTCTGTAAAATTGAACAATCAGAATTTCCTTTAAAAATTCTAATTGGTCAATTTTAAAAATTACAATTTGTGCAAAACGCTGTTTTGTAGTCTATATTAATTTTACAGAATAAAATTTCAAAATAATCTTAATTATGCAGAAAGAAGATTAGAAAGAATTTTACAGAAAATGCGCAAATTGTCGAAAATCAATTTGACAAAACTATTTTTTGAGGTTAATTTAAAAATTAACCAATCACAATTTTTTGTGACAAATATTAAATTTTAACTTCGCGCCGAATTATTTCCGTTAAATTGATTTTCGACCATTTCCATTTTCTGAAATATCAATATTCAAACAAAAAAATGGTAATAGTCATAATTATTTTTAAACCGAATTTTTATTTGTTCGATTTAGTTTTTTTGCAGAATTTTCATCAAAACGATTTTCTATATTACAGAATTTTTATTTAACCGAAAATTCACCTCACAGAATTTTTATTTGTCAGAATTTGATTGGTTGATTTTAAAAAACGCGCCGAATTCTTTCTGTCGATTGTTTGTTCGGTCATTTGCAATTTCGGACAAATGAAAATTCTATCAATTAGAAATTCTTTTAAATAATTTTTCGGTTAAGTAAAAATTCTGTAGTATAAAAAATCGGTTATATGGAAATTCTATCAAATAATAATTCGAACAAATGAAAATTCATCTGAAAGAATAAAATGAAAATTCTATGCAATGAAATTCTACCCAATAAAAATTCTTTAACAACGTTTCACACAAATTGAGATGGGATTAAATTGAATTTCTGGCTAATTAATTTTCGTTATTAAATAAAAAAAAATTCTGCAGGGGTTCTACAAATATCTTTTCGCGATATTCCATGATTTTTTCATGATTTCCAGTTGATAAATGTTAAAATTTCCATAATACTTTGAAATTCACTATAAACATAAATTATGACGAATTAAAAAACTGAAAATGTATTCATTTTCAACGAACGTGTAAATTTGAGTCTTAGATGCGAAAATTGAAAAAATTTTCTATGATATGATCATAAATTCCATGAGATTTCCATGATTTCATGATGTAAAATAAAATTCCATGTTTTCCATGATTTGTAGAAACCTTATAAAATCGGTAAAATGACAATTATGTTAAATGAAAATTCGTAAAAAGAAATATTCTGTAAAATTAAAATTCTGTATCTACAATTATTTATCTGAAAAATTAATATTCTTTTAAATTAGCTTTAGAGCTTATTCACGCGTCTCGATTTTTCCCCTCAATTTCCATCTTTAAACAAAAATAATAATTTTCAAATTCCTTCCATGAAGATCCTTGTTTTTGTAACAATAATCACTCAACTACTTATTAAAAATTTTCCCACTATAGAAAACCGTTACACATTTTCTTGAAAAAATGATACAGAGATAGAGAATATAAAAGAGGAAACACACTAATTATTCTCTCACAATATTGTTTGACGATGAATTTAATGGTGGAAATGTAAAATGATTTGTTTGCGGTGGTGAACGTGGTGACGCGGGTTTTGATAATTCCGATTCGGGAATTGGTGACAATTGAGCTGACTGCATCATAACGTGTGATCCCATTTTAAGTCGTGGTCTCTTATGCAATGAAGATCGTCGTGTACGAAAATGTGCCTGACCACGTTTTGTAATCGCAGCATTTGTAAAAGGATACAATGGCGTTCCAATAACGCTAATTTGTTTCAAACGTGACGACGGCGGTGGCCTCGTGTGAATTGTCAACGGTTGTAATTTAAATGGCGATGATAAATCCTCTGGCGAATTATTTTCCATAATGGCAGTAGTATTATTATTATTTGTTGTTGTTGTTGTCTCAACAATTGAATCGTTTGTCGCTGGTGATGTAATTCGACTTTTACGCGTACCATCTGCGTGTATTGCATTTTTTCTCAAACGACTACGAAGAAATGTTTGTATTCTTCGCATTGTTGTACAAGAACGTGGTACTTTTTCCATTGTTTCAGAATTATGATTTTTTCGATTTTTATGTTGTCGTTGACGAATTGCCTTTGTGGTTGGATTAATAATTGAAAAACAACATGAAACTGGGGACGGAGTCGATGGTTTAAGTTCAATTGGACTGAGATTATTATTTGGACGGTTATTATCGACAACTGTTTGTGACATAAGTTCAATGGACGTTTCAGTGTTTCTTGCCTCATAGGAGAAATATAAATGAAAATTTCTTTTTTCTTTTTGTGTTGTCACTAGGGTTTCATTTGTTGTTGTTGTTGTTTGTTCATTGTGTGTTGAGCATATGTAAACATTTCGTGATTGATTATTTTCAGTTGATAATGATGATGATGTTGTGACGGCTTCACAAAAATGATAACGAACTGGTGTTTCATTGTTAGTGTTGCAAAATTTTGGTACAACAATACCCGATGAGGAATTTTTTCTTGTATCAATATTTGCACTTTTATCACGTTTATTACGTAGATATTCATAAGTAGTGAGTCCTAAGCATGCAATGTAGCCGTGAAAAAAACAAAGATGAATTAAAAGTACGGCTGCAATTGCTGATATTACACCAACGATTGAAATGACAATTAAAGAACCAGTGCCGGGTAATTGAACGCTCAATGGTAGTGTATCATTTTCTGTTGTCATATTTGATTTTGATTTTAAATATACGAGTGAAAGCTCAGTTGCCGAGACACTTGCAACAGTTAATGTTGATATTATCGCCGATATTAGATAGACGATGAAAATTTTATAATTCCTTCCACCAATACAATTGTTGAGCCATTTGCAATGATGATCGAATCTTGTGATGCATTTATTGCAAATTGAGCAGTGTTTTGTTTTCTTGCTACTTGCATTTATATTGCACAAATGACACCTAAAAAAAAAGAATAATTTTTAAAATTTTATTTTAATTTTTTTATTTAATTAATTTCACATACCTGCCGTTTTCGATGACGTGTAAATGTTTCGTACGATCGAATTCGGGAACAATTTGTGATGTTGGCTGAGCTCTTACTTGCGGTTCGGCTGGATCGAGTAAAAGAACAATGAGATGTGAGACAAAATGAATGAAAAACGCCGGTATTATGAGACAAAGAACTGGCGCTTGTAATTTTGGATGAAGATATGGTATTAAAACACCAATTGTACCGGAACCAATGACAATGAGAGCAATCCAACCAACCACTTGTTGAGGATGAAGTGGAAATTGTAGACCATGAATCCGTCTGAATTTTCTTTGCTCGGGAGGAATAAAATTTTTGTCTTGCAATGAGCACAAGTGTGAAATTGTCGTGCTCGCGCTTCGCATAACGCTTGATCGTTGACATGCCGCTTAAAGTCCGCGACAAAGACGTGTTTATATTTGAATTTATTCAATTTGGCGAGCATTTATTGTTTCACTTATTTTATTGTTTCTCATTGGTCAATTTATTTATTATTATTTTTTTTTTTGGTAAAAAATGTAAGTAATTTGGTAACTTTTTTTTTTTTTTAATCTCATGTAGTCGGAAAAAGAAAAGCAATTTTGATATGAAAAACTAGACGACTTTAATCCGAGCTTTCCACGAATAGGACAAACACAACACACCCCGCATCACTCCCACGTGAATCAATAATGGCATGGCAACCTCGACGTTGATTTTAATACTCAAACTAGAGCTTCGTGGATAATTCCGTTGAATCGTGACATTCTTTGATTAGTACTTGTGTGCTGATGTAATTTCTAGGAAGGAAGAAGTTGTGGCAACGACCTTTCAATCACTACTCTTCTTCCTTTTTTTTTTTTTTTTTTTGTTAATTTCCCGAAAGAGGGCATAAGGTCAAGTCGTTGTTTTTCGCGAGTCTTTTTTTTTATTAATTCAAAGAAGCACCTCAACTGACAATAGAAAAATTATCCTTAGAAAAGAAAAACGATTGTTGCAGTAATTGTAAGTGGTTCTATTCAGGTTTCATTCTTTTCGTCAAGAGTGACCGACGAGTCTTGTTTGACATTTATCGATCGAGGTTGAAGCTCATTTATTTCGAAAAAGTGGAAATGCAATTTTCTCCACTTTGATATTTTTGTTTTTTCTTATGGAAAAAATTTTATTTGACCAAAAAAATATTTTCATACGTTTTATATAAAAAAATTCATATAAGAAATTCTAAATAGATAAATTTTTATTACCTATACAGGATTTAATAAAATTTTAAAGTATAATTATAATTTAATTAAATTAAATAAATAGTGAATTTTATAAAAAATTTATTAAAGATTAGTATTTCATATAGAAATTTTGCTTTTTATCAAATAATTATAAATATTTTTGAAAATAATAAATAAATCATTTAAAAATTTGTATAAAACAAATTCGTGTAAATTGAATTTTTTTTCTATGGAAAAATTTATTCTAAAATCGAAAGGAAACAAATATTAAAAATTGATAAACGGAATTGATTATTTTTGAACAAGTAAATAAAAAAAAAAAAATTGAAACTAAGTTAAAATAATTCAGTTCTAATCATAAAAAATTAACTAATCTTTAAGATCGTTATATTTTTATTATCAATTTTAATAAATAATAAATTCATGAAATTATTTCAAATGAAACATAAATTGACGAGAAAAGATACTTGTAAATTTTTTATATTATAGTATAATTAATTATTACATTTGATAAGTAAACTTTATATTTTCTCAATTAATGAATAATTAAAATAATAAACGATCATAAATTTTTCTTTCATATTACTCTACTTACAAAGTTATTTTTACACACATAAGTATTAAATATTAAACAGCCGATAAATAATTAATTAAATATTTATACTATTGTTTTAGGTTAATTCTATATTTTCTTGTAATAAAAATAACTATTCTTTGAAATGATAAATAAATCATTTAATTCTATACGATTTAGCGTATTTTTAAATTAAATTTAATTAATTAAAAATTCGTTAATTATGGGCCACAATATGTAAAAACTTTGTAAATATTTACAAAAAATGAATAAAAAATATAAACATCAAAACAGAATTGTCCGAATTGTCAAATTAAAAAATATTTTAGGTTATGAATCTTATCAAAAAATTAGAATGTAATTTATATATATATATATATATATATCATTCAAACAATATTTTCTTGTATTTGATACTTTTTTTTAAAATAAATATTACAATATTTATAATGGAAAAAGAATGTAATGTTTAGAATGTTAAAAAAAAATTTGTTTTTGCTGAAAACTTACCTTTTCAGTATATATACAATTACGGAAATTATTTAACTTCTCGATGATGAGTTTTGATAAATATACTTTATCTAATGTGATAATTTTCTTTCACTGTCATAAATAAATACTTTCACTGATTTTTTTTAACACTTTAATTAAAAATACACAAAAAAATAAGACCACATGTGGCATAAACTTGACTTTGATATTTTTAAAGGTAAATTCACAAGTTTTATGTCAAGCAGGGTAGAGAACTTAAAACCAAAAAAGTAAAGGTGTTTTTATATCTCCAGTATTTTGGTCGCGCAATCGGCTGGATTGGATTTTCACGGTAGTATCACTGAATTTGATTGGCTCTGACAAATATTACATTTTCACCGTGATAATTGAATTTTGTTAGAGCCAATTAAATTCAGTGATTCTCCGTCAAAATTCTATCCAGCCGATTGCTTGACCAAAATACTGGAGGTATAAAAGCACCTTAAGGAAACATTCAAGGAGCTTCTACAATAGCTCCGTTTGGCAACTCGCCAACTCCAAGTCCAAGTCGGTTGGAGTTGGTTGCGCACGCATGGTGTTGCCAACTGTCGCCGAGTTGAAAATGAAAAAAAAATTGTGCGTGATATATATAGTAATATATATATAATTATATAAATATAGTAATAAAAAAATATGCAATTAATAAGATGAACTGTCAGTACAAATTTTTTTTAATGTTTTTTATTGACATTATAATAAAAGTTTTTCATCATTTTGATTTCACAATATATTAAAAAGGTATTTTCATGAACATAACCTTACAATATTTTTACATTTCATTACATGCACGAAGTAGTATAAGGAGACGTAACGCCATGCATTCAAATCAACCCCAAATGCGTGTCCTAGAGTTACTAAGGTTTTCGAATAATGCTCTTGTAGCGCCTCTACTGAGATAAATCGGAATCAAAATATGTCGTCTGCTATCGCGTAAACAACTGTAGTTGACAGCAAAAGTGTTTTGATCACGAAGTGGTTTTGATAAAATATTGTGTAATAAATAAATAATAAAATAAATATTGTGAAATATTAAATATTAGTGAAAGTAAATGAAAGGTACGTTTTTCCTTAAGAATTTAATAAATAACTTATGTTTTGAAGATTAAAATTGCAACATTTATCATAAATATTACTTTATTTTAGGTTATTCATTAAATATTTGGAGAATAAAATAATAAGTATAGAATGTAGTTGCTGAAGCCAAATATGGATTTTACAACTTGCAAAACCAATTTAAGTATGATAGAATTGCCATCAGAAAAGTGGTGCTACATTAAAGGAAATGAATCTTTCCTTGCTTTTTTGAAATTAGAGAATGATGATAAGGCGAGTGTAATAAAAAGAGTTGTTTTGTATAGCGATTTAAGTATTAAAATTATTATAAATAAAAAAATTCATCCTTTTTCAAGGTTTGTGAGAATCGAATCTGTGGATGACTTAATTTCATTATTAAAAGCTGTTGACGAATTAGAATAATCAAATAAATGTTAAAGATTAACGTTTTTTATATAACAAATGTACTTATAATACTTGTATACTGTATACTGTACAATTTAATATTAACAATAATAAAACAATAATAAAAATTAAATATTGTTCGAGCCGAAAAAAAACTTCGATTTTCTCCATTTTTTTCTTCTTTTGTAGTTATTTTTGATCCACATCCTTTTATAAAACATGACATTTCACTGATAACATTAACAAAGCACAAAGTGCAAGCGCGAAACACCGGTTCAAGACAATTTGTCAGCACATGCGAGCACGTGATAAATTTTAATTCTCTATTTCTCCACGCGCGGCGTCCTCATCGCATTATTAGAAAAATGCGTAAACTCTAGGACACGATTTTGGGGCTCACTTTCACCACAATCTACTATGGGCGTTACGTCTCCTTATACTACTTCGTGATTACATGAGAAGGGCGTAATCATAAAATGGTATTAAATTTAAAAATATTTAAATAAAAAATCGAAAACGTGCGTTGACATATTTATTATATTTTTAATTAAATACGATTTTTAAAAATAACTTAACTTAAGATTACATTATTCTCATTAACAGATTATTTTACTATATTATTTTAATGTTATTTTCAGAATTAAATTCAGATTAGAGTATTTAGATTATAGTGTTTAAAATGTTTGTCGAGTCTTAAATGTTTTTTTTCTTCTAATAAGAAATCTGTTTGTCAGGGAAAAAGTTATTATTTACATGGAAAAATAGAGAATTCAGGAAATTGGATTACAAAAATATTATGGCAACGCATGAAGAAATTAACTTTTTAAAGAATTATTATCACATATAGTAATTATATTCAATGAATTTTAGACGAAAAAATTAATTCATAAAATATTAAACTTTGAAAATTATCAGCATTCTCTAATATTAAAATAAGCAAAAAATATTGTAAGGTTATGTTCATGAAAATACCTTTTTAATATATTGTGAAATCAAAATGATGAAAAACTTTTATCATAATGTCAATAAAAACATAAAAAATTTTTGTATTGACAGTTCATCTTATTTATTGTATATTTCTTTATATTTATATATTACAAATATAAAATTCATTGCATGTGTGTATTATTCGGGGGAAAAAATTTTGTTGTTTATAAAAGAAAAATTTAATTTAATTTTTATTTTTCTTCTCTTTAAAAAACGATGAGACGGCGGCAACAGCAACAACAACAAATAATTTATTAAACTTTACAGCGTGTTTACAGCTTCAAAAGTACATAATCTCAACTATTTCGTGAGCACGAGTTCACGCACAATTTTTTTTTCATTTTCAACTCGGCGACAGTTGGCAACACCATGCGTGCGCAACCAACTCCAACCGACTTGGACTTGGAGTTGCCAAACGGAGCTATTGTAGAAGCTCCTTCAGGGTACGGTCACACTCAGTGATGGGTTGTGACGCGTCACACGAAGTTTTGTACGTATAATACGTTTTCGACGTAATATACGTATAAAATGTATAAAACCATGTAGAAAACCACTGACATTTTGACATCTATATAGGATCCTCTGATTTTTGCCATAACGAATTTTTCTTATCATTCTATTTAAATTAAAGTCTTAAAATAAAATAGAAATGGTCAGAAAAAGTAAAAGAAAATCTTTTAAAGAGGCTTTGCCCTGGGAAAAAATGGAACATATAGGTTATGTTATTATGCACGTGGCCCGGTGTTCACTCTTATCTGTGAAACCTACTTAGAAATAAAACCGATATAAAAACATTTCAATAATTAAAAATTTTGTTTTATAATTGTTAAAATAATTAATAATTACCTAAATTTTGTTTATATTAACAACTTTCTCTTTCAATAGTGTAAAGTAATGAATGATGTATTTTAATGAAGAATTTAAAATTGCCGCTCTTAAATCACGTGATCAAATGTAATATACATCGTGTAGAAAACTTGGCACGTAATATACGTAGTATTATACACGTAGAAAACCACGTATTATACGTACCCATCACTGGTCACACTTCAACAAAATCTAGTAAATGTTTAGTAACTTTCTGGTTACAACTGAAATTTTTAGAAAATTACTAAACATTCACTAGATTTCGTTGAAGTGTGACCGGCCAAATGTTTCTGCATGCATACAGTGCATGCATGAGATAGTGTGACCGTACCCTCACACTTCACTCCAGGGAAAATTGTTCAAGAAAATACTGGTAAACATCCGAAATGTGACACTTCCTAGAGAGGAATCTCCGAAATATATTTAAATTGTATTGTGTTCTCTGAAAATAGTAAAGATTTAATCTGTATTTAGAATTTACTTGATAAATCGTAGCTAATATTAAAAAAGATAAAAGTAAAAAAAATTGTCGTGTTATGTCTACTAGCGCTATCTATAACTCAATCTTCATAAAAGTAGTCACGCGAAAACTACACAGTTGATGCATTATTGTGGGTAATAGTGGGGTAATAGAGGTAATATCATTTATACAAAATTTACAATTTTTTAAAATTGTAAAATAATAACTGATTTTTTTGTAAACTAAAAATACGATTTTTCTTTGTTTCTATCGATTTTCATTTATTTTTCTTTTCGTCGTTTTTCAATTATTTTGAGAGGTGTGAATTGCGCTTTAACGTTTCCAATTTACAAAATCCCGCCATTCTCAATCATCCTCTATCATATACACACGCGAGTAGAAGCCGTGAAGCGTAGATTGTATCTTTCACCAGTATTAAAAGTATATTTTTTTTTTCTTAACGAAAACTATAGAGAAAAATGTGAATATAATTGAATCAATATTTAAACTTAATTGCCATTAATTATTTCATTACTATATTAATTTTATTAAAGTGCTTTTGTAGTTAACATAAAAAGTTTTTTGTGATTGTACCGCGTGCTTGCGGTTGAACAACCTAAAAACAAATTATGGCTAACGTATCTCTTGACAAAGAAACATTTATTCGGCGCATGAAGCGTCTTTATGCCGCATGGAAGGTAATTAATTTTGTTTATTAAAAAAGAAACGAAAAAAAACAATTTTTATTTACATAATTTTGATGCATTTTTTGTTTCGTAAAAAAAAAAATCCAGGATGGAAATTCGCTTCACGATGACAGTTTTAATAAAATGGATTGTCTCGTCTCTGCTGTTGGCACTGATGAAGAAATTGTTTATAGCAAATCTACAGCACTTCAAGTAATATGTTTATTTTATTGTCTAGAAAATTTTGTTTCTTTTAATTTTCATCTTTTTTGTAAATAATAATTTTCTTTTTATAGACATGGCTCTTGAGTTATGAACTCACTGATACAATTATGATCCTTGCTAAGGAATCCATCTACTTTTTGGCCAGTAAAAAGAAAATTGAATTCTTGAGAAAAGTCGAAGGATTAAAATCTGAAGATTGTGATATTCCACCTGTTAAACTTCTCGTCAGAGACAGAGTAATATTTCGTTTTTTACATTTGATATTAATTTAGAGATTGAAACTTTCTGTTAAAGCATAAAAGTAGTAATTTTGCTCAAATTTTTTTTTTAAATAATTCAAGCCTCGGATTATACGATTTTTTCAACCCCTTGTTTTCTTTTTTTTTTTTTATTTATTTTTAATTAAAATATGTCTTTTTATTACAAAATGCAGATTTTCTTAATTTCAATTGTTTAACAAATTTTTAACTAAAATTATTCACCAAATTAATTATTTTTAATAATTTTAATGAAATTCTTTACAAATTCAATTATCTTGAACAGGGTGTCTAACAGTCAGGGAATTTCTTTAATTTTCTGGAATTGTTTATAAATAAATTAAAGTAACTATTAGTTTCAAAAAATTTTTTTACTTTTTTCTCAAAGCAAATGCAAATTAAAAAGTTGACTTTCACACTCAGTTATTAAGCATGTGATATATCTAATATTCATTAAGTAAATAATTATTTACTACTATTTATTGAATCTAATAAATGATTTTTTAAACTTGGATAACAATTAATTAATTTTTTGCAGTGAAATATTTGGTTTTTTAATATAAATAAAAATTATTTGATACAATTTTATTTTATGGGTTAAACTTGAAATAAAGTAAATTATTCATTAATACGAATAATTTATTATTTAATAATAATACCCACATTTAACTTATATAAAATTTTACGGCGTCGAATATTAAATTATCGAATTTCTATCTAGCAGAACTCTTATAAAGCATTTTTTCTAATACTTTTTTTAAATTTTAAATTAACATAATTTCAATTTAACGAATTTTATGTCTATAAAAATTGACAAAAAAAAAAAACTAAGTAGAATTTTTCTTAAATGAGAATTCTGTTAAATAAGAATTAGTTGGAATTAAAATTTTCTTTAATAAAAACTTAGTTAATTAAGAATTTTGTTAAATAGAAATTCTGTTGATTGTGGATTTATCCAATGAAAATTCTGTTAAGTAAATATTTTGATAAATCGAAATTTACTAAAAATAACAATTCTGTTAAAAAAAAATTTGTCTTTATGCAATTTTTCTTGACATAAATTCCGTTAAATTGAAATTGTATTAATTTGAAATTCGATGTACAAGAAAATCTGCTTTATATAATTTTACTAAGTAAAAATTTGATAATTTAAGATTTGACGCCGTAAAAATTCTTTTAAATTAAATGTTGAAAATATTTATACGTCTTCAATTAGTTTATTTATTTCATTTAAATATTTTATTTTTTACGAAACATTATTTGGTTCAAATACATATGAAATTAGTGGATAATAGACAGGTAAATGATTTAATTGTATCAAAATAAAATTTTTTTAGTGTAATTTAGATTAGGGAAACGTCAGTGAAAAGTCATGGAATTTTTTTCCTATCAGTTGTTAGACACCCTGTTGAAAAATTTTTAAATTCAATTTTTGTCTACAATTTCTAATACATCTTTTTCAGCAACAGAAATTACTAAAAATTTCAATTAAAAATCTCTAAAATTTGAATTAATTTCAAAAAATTCAATTTAAAACCTTACAAAATTTAATTATTTCTAATAATTTCAACTGTAACTCTTTAAAAATTTAATGATATTAAGTGATTCTTATAATATTCTTCAAAAAATTCAATTATTTGAACGCATTTTTTATGTAAAAACTTTTAAAATTCAATTTTTGTCAATAATTTTTAATAATTTCTTCATCAACAGTAAATTACCAAAAATTTTAATTAAAAATTACTTGAAGTTCAATTATTATCAAAAATCTGAATTATAAATCTTTGAAAATTCAATTACCGTGGATGTACCCGTTACCGTCCATGTCCCAGTATCCGTCCATTTTACAAATATCTCGTATAGTAATTTAAATTATTTTTTAACAATAATTTATTCCTTTTGGCACGCAATCGACTTATTAGTTTAAGTAAACAAATAAAAGAAAATAATTTTTTTATAAATGTTATTTTGAAAATTAAACTGGACGGAAACTAGGTCTTAGGTGGACGGCAACTGGGACATCCACGGTACTTTTTAAAAAATGTTCATTTAAATTTATTTGATAAATTATTTTCAATTCCGTAAAATTTAATTATTTTTAATATTTCATTTTAGTCGAAAAATATTTAATAGCAAATACGATAAAAAATAGAAGCCGAATTTCAACAAAAATTAGCAATTTAATTTAGCATAATTTGACTTTTTAAAATACCAGAAAGTTTTAGATATTATTCGTAAAATTGTGATTGAATGGCAAAAAAAGGTTTTGTTAATTTTTAAAAATAATTATTGTGTTAAAAGTTAGTCTCTCTTTTTTTTAGTCGGACGAAGATAAGGCGAATTTTGCGAAATTAATTGAAGTTATCAAAGAAAGTAAAAAGGGAAAAACTTTGGGCGTATTTTCGAAAGAAAATTATCCAGGAGCATTTATGGACGCCTGGCGAGCTGCTTTAAGAACTGAATCATTTGATACTGTAAGAAAAAAAATTATTTTTTTTTTTAAATTAATATAGAATTAATTTGTTTTGTTATTTTAAAATATTTTATTTTTGTTTCATTGGATTTTTTTTCAATTTTAGGTTGATGTAAGCGCCGCAGCCGCTTATATTATGTGTCCAAAGGAAGATATTGAAATTCTCACAATAAAGAAAGCATGTCTCGTATCTGTTGATGTCTTTATGAAGTATCTGAAGGAACAAATTATGGAAATTATCGATTCAGATAAGGTGCGTTTTAGATCATTTTTCGTATATTTTTTGCTCACTTTTATTTTCAGGCCTCGGATTGTACTTTTTAGAATGATTTATTTTTAAATCACTTGAAATTAAATTATTTTCAAAAATTTCAATTTAAAACCTTTTAAAATTTAATTATTTCTAAAAAAAAAGTTTCCATCTAATTTATTGAAAAATAGTTTTAAATATTTTTAAAATATTTTAAAGAATTTTCAATTTTGCAAAATTTAATTATTGTCTGAAATTAAAGAAACTTTAAAATAAAAACTCTAAAATTAAAAAAAAAAAAAGCTATAGCAGTTTAAATTTGCAGAAAATTTATTTCAAATTTAAAATCTGTGATTCTATTATTTAAAAATCTGTAAAATTTAATTATTGTCCGACAATTTTTTGACCATTAAAAACTAAAAAGTATAACAAAATTTTAATTGAAATAAATTGCTTAAAGTAGAATTCAAAAAATTTTTAAAATGGAACTTTAAAATTTTTTTGATAATATTCTTATTAAGGAATTAATACAATGAATTTAATGTCTAATAAATTAAATAATTTAAATAAATCGAGATTTTTGTCCTTTCTTTTTCATGTAGAAAGTGAAACACTCGAAACTTGCGGAAGGTGTCGACGCGGCTATTTCAAATGACAAATATGTGAGCAGTGTGGACACATCACAAATTGATATGTGTTATCCAGCAATTATTCAAAGTGGTGGACATTATTCTTTGAAATTCAGTGTCGTTAGTGATAAAAATGTACTTCATTTTGGTGTTATTGTGTGTTCTCTCGGGGCGAGATACAAATCCTATTGTTCAAATATTGTCAGGACCATTTTGGTCAATCCAACAAAAGCAATTGAAGTGTGTATTATATTAATATTTCTTTTCTTCTATTTTTCATATCAAATAATCAAAAATCTAATCAATTTTTTTCTATTATAAAATAATAACTATTTTTTGTAATCGTATGGAAAATTTTTTTTTTCTTTTCTTTTAGGAAAATTACAATTTTCTGTTACAATTGGAAGAAGAGATTTTAAAGAAATTAACATCGGGAACAAAATTAAGCGATGTTTATGAAACTGGTGTGAAATTTGTGAAAGATCAAAAACCGTCAATGTTGGATCATTTAACGAAAAATTTTGGTTTCGCCATGGGCATTGAATTTAGGGAGAGTTCACTTTTATTGGGACCAAAAACAAGTGCAACAGCAAAGAAGGGAATGGTTTTTAATGTTAATGTTGGCCTCTCAAATTTGAGTAATCCAGACGCGAAGGATAAAGAGGGAAAAGTCTATGCACTTTTTATTGGAGATACTGTTATGGTCAATGAGGTAAATTACATTTTTTTTTCTTCCATTATTTTTAATTTAACTTAATTTTTTTAAAACTATATTTCACTTTTTACTCGCCTGTATAATTAAAATTAAAAATTTTCCCAGGAACAACCGGCATCAATTTTAACCCCGTCGAAGAAGAAGGTGAAAAATATTGGAATTACATTCAAAGAAGACGACGACGACGACGGTGAGGAAAGTGAACCGGAAGTTACTAAACAGAAAGAAATTTTGGGTAGAGGTAAAAGAACTGCCGTGATTGAATCGAAATTAAGAACTGAACATAGTTCGGAAGAAAAACGAAAACAACATCAAAAAGAATTGGCACAGCAACTTAATGAAGTGGCAAAAGCTCGTTTGGCACAAAAATCGGGAACTAAGGAACAAGAGAAAATACGAAAATCAACAGTTTCTTATAAATCGACAAATCATATGCCACGAGAGCCAGAAGTTTCCGATCTAAAACTTTATGTTGGTGAGTTCCTTTTCTTTTTCTTCGAGAAGATTATTATTCATTTTAATTTAAATTACACAAACAAAACAAAACAAAAATTATCTATTTTACAGTATTTATATACTTAAATTATTTTCTAATTATTTAAATTGAAATATTTACTAATTTTCAGATAAGAAATACGAAACTGTAATTTTGCCAATTTATTCGTACCCTGTACCATTTCACATATCAACGATAAAAAATATATCGCAATCCGTTGAGGGAGATTATACGTATCTTAGAATAAACTTTTTCCACCCTGGCGCAACGATGGGACGCAATGAAGGTGGAACTTATCCACAACCTGATGCCACTTTCGTTAAAGAAGTGTGAGTAAAAAAAAATCACAAAAATAATACAATGAATTCGTTTCTAAAAAGAATGAGTTTGATAGTATTTTTTGCTAATTAATTATTTCTTTTTTTTTAAGTAGAATATTTTTTGAACTGTTAAAAAAAAGTGAATTTTTTCTGAATTATTTAGAACGTATCGAAGTACGAATACCAAAGAACCGGGTGAGATTTCAGCACCGTCGTCAAATTTAAGTACGGCTTTTCGATTAATTAAAGAGGTGCAGAAAAAATTCAAGAATCGAGAAGCTGAAGAGAAGGAAAAAGAGGATCTTGTTAAACAAGATACATTGGTTCTTTCGCCAAATAAAGGTAATCCCAAGCTTAAGGATTTGTATATTCGTCCAAATATTGTCACAAAAAGAATGACAGGTGGACTTGAGGCGCACACGAATGGTTTTCGTTATACGTCAGTGAGAGGTGACAAAGTCGATATTCTCTATAATAATATTAAAAATGCCTTCTTCCAACCCTGCGACGGTGAAATGATTATTCTACTTCATTTTCATTTAAAGGTATCATTTATTTTATTTATTTATTTATAATTTACGGTCAATGCCCTTTAATACAATTTGTACAAAGTACATTATGAAGAAAAAAAAATATTCTAATTAGTAATTCAATAACAAATTAGGCTACATTATTATTAATAATAAATTTTTTACGAATCTAGAATTTTTTTTCAGTCAAGATTCATTTTTAATAAGTAAAGATTCGACTTTCAAGTTTTCAGTAAAAAAAATTTCTTTCTCTTTTAGAAAACAAAGAATATACATCATTTTTTCTAAATTTAACAAAAAATTTTTTCGGTAAAAACTAAAAAATAATGAATTTTGAAAAATGAAACAAACTTTTTTTTTATTATCAAAAAATAAATATATATTCAGGCCTCGGCTGATACGACTTTTTTCGACTTATTTGAATAAGATCCGACTTTTTCAATTTTTTTTAAAAAAATTTTTTACAAAATTCTTAAACAAAATACGTCTTTTTTAGTGTAAAATGACAGATCTTCTTTATTTCAATTATTTAACAAATTTTTCTCTAAATTAATTATTTTCAATAATTTTAATGAAATTTTTCACTAATTCAATATTACTTTAAATTATTTTTCAATTAATAATTTTCTGAAATTTAACAATTGTTTACAATTTTAAAAAAAAATCAAATAAAATTTATTAAAATTTCAATTTAAAACCTATTAAAATTTAATTATTATTAAGATTCTCCATATAACAATTTTTGAAATTTAATCATTTCAATTTATAATTCTTTCGAAATTTAATTATTTTTAATAATTTTTATAATATTCTTCAAAAATTCAATTATTTGAAAGCATTTTTCAATTAAAAAAAAGTTTAAAGTTCAATTTTTGTCTTTAATTTTTAATAAATTCTTCAGCAACAGAAGACATCAAAAAAATTTAATTCTAAATCACTTCAATTCAATTATTTTCAAAAATTTCAAATTTAAAACCTTCTAAAATTAAATTATTTCTAATAAAAAGGATTTTTAATGATTTTTTATAATATTCTTCAAAAATTTAAATTTTTTAAAAGCATTTTACAATTAAAAACTTTTATAATTGAATTTTTGCCTCTAAATTCTAATAAATTCTCCATCAACAGAAATCATCAAAAATTTCAATTAAAAATCACTTGAAGTTGATTTAATTTTAACAATCTAAATCGTAAATCTTTGAAAATTTAATTACATTTTAAAAAATGTTATTCTAAAATTATTATTTCATAAATTATTTTCATTTATGTAAAATTTAATTATTGTCTGAAGTTTTTAATCTTTTGAAATTTTATTATTTCGAAAAATTTCAACTATAACTCTTCCAAACTTGAATTATTTTTAATAATTTTAATATTTCATTAAAAATTCAATTTTTTAAAAAAAGTTTCAAATCAAAACTCTAAAATTAAATTGTTGTCAGAATTTTTTTTTTTTATTTTAAAAATTTACGTCTTTGATTTTGAAATATTCGAAATATATTTTCTTGATAATATTCCTAAAGAATTATTCTTATTTAGGAATTAATAAAATTAATTGAGCTGCCGGATCAAAGAAGGGCACATAACTAATGTATTTTAAATGGGTTATGTGCCCTTCTTTGATCCGGCAGCTCAATTATTTAAAGTAAAATACTAATTAAAAATTAAAATAAAAAAATCGACTTTTTGTGGAATGTAAATCGACTAAAACGACTTTTTTTTGCGCCTTAAAGTCGATCCGAGGCCTGTATATTATGTAATAGAAATTGTAAAACAATTTGTGATTTTTTTGCGTTAAATTATTCTATTTGTTTATTTTTTTTTTTATTGAATGAAAATTGAAATATGTATGTGAATTTTTTTTTAGCATGCCATTATGTTCGGTAAAAAGAAACACGTGGATGTACAATTTTATACGGAAGTAGGAGAAATTACAACAGATCTTGGAAAACATCAACACATGCATGATCGTGATGATCTTGCTGCCGAACAATCAGAACGAGAATTGAGGCACAAATTAAAAACTGCATTTAAGAGCTTTTGTGAAAAAGTAAGATTTTCTGTTTTTTCAAATTCATTTTCTTTTTTTTTTTAATGATTTATTTATTTTTACAAACTGGAGAAGAATATCGATTTTTCTTTAATTCCTAAAATTATCAAATTTTTTTCCAATTTCTTTTTTTTTTTTAACTATAACTATAAAAGATGATAATTTTTTCTATTAAATTTTTTTTCATTTTCAAAATAAGAATAATATTAAATAAAATAAGATCCTTCCTCTAAGAGGAAGCAAAAATATTCACGATATGAACATAATCATCTAGTTTGTGAATATTTTAGGTGGAGAGTTTAACGAAGCAGGAAATTGAATTCGATACTCCATTTAGAGAACTTGGTTTCCCTGGTGCACCATACAGAAGCACTGTTCTTTTACAACCAACAAGTGGTTGTCTTGTTAATCTCACAGAATGGGTAATTTATTTTTAATTCATTTTGTCGATGTCGAATTTAATTAAATTATTTTTAGTTTAAAACATTTTTTTTTATTTAAAAATTGATTTATATTTCAGCCACCATTTGTAATTACACTCGAAGACGTTGAACTTGTTCACTTTGAAAGAGTTCAGTTCCATTTGAAAAATTTCGATATGATCTTCGTTTTCAAGGATTATCATAAAAAGACAGCTATGGTCAATGCTATTCCAATGCACATGTTAGATCATGTCAAAGAATGGTTAAAGTACGTATTTTATTGAGACTTAATCATTTTTACTATTTTCTTTTCGTTTATTACTTCATTCTATTATTTTGAATTTATTATTGAGTTAATTTTTTTCAAAATTCAATTGTTCTTAAAAAATTAAAAACACGTTTAAAGTAAAAAATAATTTATTTTTTTAAAAAAAATTGGCTTTTAAATTTACAGCCATAATTTATTAATAATAATTGTTTATTAAAAAATGTTGTAAAAAAAATAATGTTTAATTTCATTAATTTCTTCATTTATTTATAAATAATTAATTTATTTCTATAGTTCGTGCGATATTCGATATTCGGAGGGTGTACAATCATTGAATTGGGGAAAAATTATGAAAACAATTACGGAAAATCCAGAAGAATTTTTCGAGACTGGCGGATGGTCGTTTTTGGATCCCGACAGTGATAATGAAAAAGAAGAAGTAGATGATGAAGAAGAGGATGAAGATGAAGCATATGAAGTAATAATCGTTTATATTTTTCCTTATTTTTTTTATTTGTATAAAAAAAGAATTTCCTTAATTAATTGTCACAAAAATTTTCCAGCCAACTGACATTGAAAGTGAAGAAGAATCGGACGATGAATCAGAATATTCGGAGGCATCTGAAGATTCAGACAGTGTTGATGGTAATTTATTTCCTAAAAAAAAATATGATTGTTTTTTCTTTCAATAAATTATTAAATGTTTAATATTTTTTTTCTATTTTTATTTTATTTTATAGAGGATGATCTTGGAAGTTCTGAAGAATCTGGTAAAGATTGGTCAGATTTAGAGAGGGAAGCTGCCGAGGAAGACAAAGAGCGAGGGGAATATGTTGAAGTTTACTCTTCAAATAAGAAAAAATCACGGGATCATCATTCATCTTCAAAGGATAGGTATGTAGAATTTACTATTCACTATTTATCTTTCTTTGTGTTTTGAAATAAATTTTTCTTCTATTTACAAAAAAAAAATTTCCATTTATATTTATAATTAGTTTTTCTCTTTATTTATACTTAGAAATTAAAAACTTTCTTTTAGTTTTAAACTAAAAATAAAAAAACGCGTGTAGATTTAAATTTAATTCAAGAATAGAAAATAAATTAAAAAGAAAACAATGCTGCAATAGTTTAAAAAAAGCAATTTCTATTTTAAACTATTTTTCTAATTTAGAAATTGAAATTGTTTCGAGATTTTTAAAAATTGAAAATGTTTGTAAATTAATATTTATTCTTTTCTTTTCTTATCAAAGGCATAATTCCAAGCACAAAAGTTCGTCAAATTCAAAAAGTAAAAGCTCGTCCAATAGCAGAGACAAGGACAGAAGATCGTCGGACAAACACAGGTGAGTTTAATTTGATTGAATTTTCATTTCTTTTTTCACATAATTTTTAATAAATTATTTTATTTATTATTAATTATTACCTAATTTATTATCAATTAATTTTAATTTCAATTATTAATTATCAGTTCCTTTTTATTTAATTTAAAATTAAATATCTTTGATTAAAATTTGAAATATAATAATCATTAAAGAACGGATCGATCACGGAGTGGAGGATCACACAAATCTCCATCCAAATCATCCAAACACAGGTGATTAAAAGTGGTAGATTTATTAATTTTCAAGTGATTAACTAATTTTTTGTTTTTCGATTTATTCGATACAGTCCGAAGAAGAACGATCGACACGATAGGAACAATAAACATGATAAACATGACAGAAACAGTAAACACGATAAACGCAAATCTTCGCATTCTTCATCTAGTGGCAAGAAACGTTCTCGTGATGACAGTGGCGATAGAAAAAGTTCCAAAAAATCGAGGTAAGCAAATAATAATAATTTTAGAATTTATTTATTATTTATTTATTTTACATACATAATATGGTGTTCAGCGGATTTTGAAATCCTTGAAAAGTTCTTGAATTTTTTTTTTATCTTAAAAATTCTTTCAAATTCCTTGAATTTTATAACAAAAACTTGAATTATTAAATATTTTTTTTAAATAATCAATTTCCCCTAACATATTTTATTTTAAAACAGTGGCTAAATTTTTTTTTTTTTTTTTTTTTTTTTTTTAATCATTTCAACATCAAACTTTGACAAAATTCTGAATTTCTAAATAATAATTAAAATAAATAATAAAAATAAGTTTTTTTTTCTATCTAAAAAACGGAAAATTAAACATTTTTAAATAATAATTACCCGAAAAAGAACGTAAACAATTGTTAACATAATTTATTTATTATTTATTTAAATTGCTTTTTTGTTATATTTATTTTGATTTATTAAAAACAGAAACAATTTTCTTTGTTAAATTCTGCAAAAAGATAATTGATAGAATAATTATCAGAATTTTTTCCCTCTTGATATTTAATTTGTAATTTTTGCAAATTGCAATTCCGGTTTATCTAGTTAAAATTTCTTAACATATTTATTTAAATGAATATTTTGTTAGTACATTTTTAAAAATTATTAAAAAAAGTATTATTCGAAATTTTATCTCTTTGTCATATATTATAATATTAATTATTAGTTAAATTGTGTTGTACAGAGATTCCATGTTTTTTTTTCTAAATTTTTAATACCTTTAACCGCAGTTAAATCGAAAGAATTTTAATAATATTCTTTGTGTTAAAGAAAGTCTTAACTAATGAAACAAAAACACATTGTTTCGTAATTATAATTAGAACGTAGTGTAAATTTTTCGATTTTTATGCTGAAATTCCATGCTTCATTATACAGCCTTTTTATGATGTGTAATTATCTTAAAAATGTTGTTTTTAAATAATATTCGAGTACTTCAGTATATGTAAATTAGTTTAAAAGTAATTTTTCTTTTCTTTCTAAATTAATTCATACACATTTGTTAATGAAAAATTTCCATAAAAAAAAAGAAAAATATTCTTATTCTATGACATAGAATTATAATTTACCTACTTATGTACTAATTAAAACTAAATAATTCTAGTTTTAATTAATTAAATAATATATAATTATATTCAAATAATTATTGAAAAAAAAACAATAAATGATTTTAATTTTACAGGAAATAAAGTGAGGTGAACATGTGAGATCAGTGATAGATAAAAAGAAAAAGACAATTTCAACACTTCACAAGTTATTGTATTTTTTTATTCAAAAAAAAAAAAAAAAAAAAAAAAAAAATGTTAAATTTTAGTGGTTTTTTTATTTCCAAATAATTTTGAACGTTTTACTTTTTTTTTTTTTTTTTAATTTTTTCAAATTATTACCACCACAAGAATATTTGTATAGTATTTGTACTCGTCAGTACATTTGAATAATTTAATTTTAATCATAAAAAAAATATCCAACCGATTACTCAAATTTGAAAGAAAATGAAATATTTGGAATAAAAAAATCATTTTCTATGGAATTGTTCTACGAGACTTTTCTACGTTCTTAAAAGAAAACAAAGTCGATAACTCAAATTCTTTGATAACTAATTTCAACGTTTTTTACATAAATGTATACGTTAGTACAAAATACAAAAAAAAAGAATTTTCTACAAGAAATGAAACTGAGAGTGAAAAATTGTATGATTTCAAAATTTTTTTAATATTGCAAATTTGTCCGTAGAATTCCATTGACACATACAAAAAAAACTACGTTTTTTTTTTTGCTCACGAATTTTTTTTGGCGAAAAATAATTTAATTAATAAAAAATATAAGTTTGTATAATTGTCATTCGTTTAAATAAGTTATTTGATACATTAATTGCTTAATAATTAATGTTTCTGTGTATTGATAATAGAAGTTTACTTATTTTTCTCGAAATGTTGTTCCAGGATATTTTGAATAAAAAAATAGACACTCCATAAATTTTCAATTATTTTATTGTAAAAATATTATTCTTAATTTTGCTTTTTATTTTTGTTTATTGAAAATACAGGGATAAAACAAAAATGAATTATTTTTTCTTTTTTGATTAGGTGGTGCATAATACTTGATGAATAAAAAAGTTATGTAAATGCACTTAATGCCTTTGTGTCCCCACATAATAAAGCAATCAACAAATAAAACGAAGTTGCTTAATAATAAGGTGAATCTATGAAAAGTGAAAGTTCACTTTTTCCATTTATCACTGAGTCACTTTCTCTCGAATGTGTCATGTATTGCATGTGTAATTTTTTAAACTTTTTTTAAAGTCTCGTTTTTTTTTTTTTTCATTAATCTTGTAATCGTCCTAATTTATTCGAAAAAAAATCAACTTCATCTCTTTCAGTTTTTAATATTAAAATACAAAAGAAAATGTATATATTTTATTTCCTTTTAAAAAAATAACTAATTTAAATATTTAAAAAATTATAATTAAATTCACGATGAACTAAAAGTACATAAACTTTTCATATTTTATAAATTATTTCTGTTTTAAATTTATTTAAAAATAAAAGGGTATTTTTATTAAAAAATTGTATTGTTTGTCATTATTGTTTTTATTTTTTAAAAAAGTATAAAAAAAACAAATTTATATACATCTCACTTAAAATATAACGTCATGTAAAAAAACACGTATACAACAATTAAAAAAAAAAAAATTTGATAGTAACGATTTAAATTTACGACGGAGAGAATAAATAATTATTTGTTCTTTCCAATTTGATCAATTTGACTTTGGAGATTATTGACAACCTCGGGTGGCACTTGATCGCCCAAAATTTCAAATAAATTGATCCTTTGATTGCCGGGAATCGATTCATAGGCACGCAATTCATGACTCTCTTGGACATTTTGAATCGCAGCATCCTTTGGAATTAAATAAGTTTCCTGAGCTTGTCGAATTGCCTCATTGCTAAACATTTGACCTTCCTTCAATTGTGGTAAAGCGGCCGTCAATCCCGCGAGGAACGTAATCGCCACTACGATGTAAATCTTCATCTTAAAAATGCAACAGAAAAAATAAAATTTTTAATTACGTCAAAGTTCCCAAAGAGGTAAAAATATTCTGTTTTAATTAAAAGCAATAATTTATTAAATCACTATATTTACTAAATTTTATTTAGTACTACTAATAATAATAATAAATTAATTTTTGAAGTAAAATTCACAATTATTTTATTATTATTATTATAATCGAAGAATATTGTTTTGAAATATTATTGTATTTTTTGTAAATATTGTCATTAAGGTTTTTTGTTTGTTTGCCTTTTTTTCTTCAACTTTAACGATCCACGATCATTAACTTATAATAATATTGTGCAATTTGTGACATTTGCAAAAAAAAAATGTATTGTTTTGCTCACATAATATTTGTTTATGATTTATTTAATGTATCACAAATTTTCAGTATAATGCGAATTGAAAGGGGTCATTGGTACCAAAAAAGGCGACTGACCCTGCCACCAAATCCCCGTTACACTCCCAAAGGAGAGAGAAGATCGGTCGAAAGTTTCTCACGTTACTGACGCTAACTTTCCCTCTTATGAACCCGAGCAAAGGTAACTTTTAATAATAGTAATAAAAAAAAAGAAAAAAAAATCCAAATAAATAAATTCTAAATATGTAAATTTATTAAAAGAAAAAATTCAATTAAAAAAATAATTTTTTAAATGGAGAAAAAAAGTTATTTTAAATTTAAATTCAATTGTCTACATCTTTCAATTATTTTTCTCTATGAAGAACTCTATTGGGAAATTTATTAAATTTTTTTAATTTTATTTTTTTGTTTGTAGTCAAATTTTCTCTAACTAGGATTTTGTAGTTCTTGTCATTTTTAAAAATTAAAAATAAAAATTGCTATAAAATTCTCAAGTTACAGAAAAAAAAACACTGAACAAAAATCTAATGTATTACCTATAAAATTCTTTAATTAAATTAATTTTTTTTAGCAACCAATAAATTTAAAAAAATTTTAACTTGAAAATTGAAAAATCAAATGACAAAAATATTTGCCAAAAAATTACGGGTTTATTCTTTATTATTAATTATTAATTATTAATTATGCTCTTTTTTGGTTCTTTATTTCATTATTTACTTATTCAATTTTATAAATACAATTTTAAATAATTCAGTAAATTTAATTTATAGAGGATTATGGATTTTTTCGAAATTATAAATTTAATTACTTTTATGAAAATTATTAACAAAAATTAATAAATTTTGTGAATTTAAATTATTTCTAAATATTTCATTCTAATATATATTTTGTATTCTTTTTTTTGTGGATGGACCGCTGGGTCTAAATAAAAGATATTATTATTAATAAAGGTTTAAATTATTAATTAAAGTGCAAAAATTAATTAGAATTTGAAAAAAATTGTAATTTCATAACAGTTTATGTATTTATTTATTTAATAAAAAGTAAAAAGTAGTCAATACTAAAAAAAATTTAACTTAGTTTATTTATTAATAGAAAATTAATTTCTATTTCTAATTGAGTTTTTGAAATTAAAATTAAAATATTTATAAAACTTCAGTATCTCTGAAATAACGTTTAGTTATTAAATTTAATTTAATGATTTAAAAGAAATAATAAACTAAAATAAAATAAAATAAAATTTGTTAATTTAAATAAATAAATAAAATATAAGGGCTTTTATCCATTTATCTTCTATTAATAAATAAATTAACTGTGTCAAATAATCGAAAATAATAATAAAAAATATACTAAATTGAAAATTATTTAATTTATGTAACAAACATTTGTTTTTTATATTTATTTATTATTAATTATATTATTAATTTATATTATTAATTTAATAAACAAAATCTAAAAAAGATAGCAGTTTATTTTACAAGTTTTTATTCCCTCTTTTAAAAATTAAAAATTAATGATTATAAATTAAGTTTCAATTAAATTTCAGTATTAGAAAATTACTTTATAATTAAAAAAAAACACTTTAAGAAATCGGATTTTCATTTATATTTATTTGCATCTAAAATATTTAAATTTTAAACAAAAAAAATAGGTTTTTTTTTATTTTAAAAATAAACACTGATAAAAAAACGTAGAATATTCAAGTTTCAAAAGAAATAAATAAAAAATAAATTATTTTTTAAAAAAAGAAAATTTCTTAAATAATAAATATGAATAATGTTTCCATTTATTTATAAATAAATAAATAATTGAAAATAGAAAAATATACACTCACTTTGAAAGAGACGATGACTGTTACTTTCCGAAACTAAACACGAGATCATGACGAAGGTGACTTTTATACCTGGCGGGGATTCGAGATCCTGAAGAGGTGGTGTGTAACATTACCATCTTCCAGAATTCAAAGTCAATTATTATTATCCACGTCCTTTCAGACACGTACATATACTACAACTCCACAAGCTTTATACATAACCAGTACAATAATTTATTTATTCATCGAGAGATTTGCAATTGAAACCAGAACAGATAATTTATTTTCCAAAAACAAAAGTCTAATAATCAAGTTTGAAGATACCGTTTGATTGAGATAATTTTTTTTAAATCTCGCCTTATAAATTACAAATTGTTCCAAGAAATTGAACACTAAATTGGAAAATTATTTAAAAAATAATAAAATATTCAGTTTTTTTTTATATAATTTTATCTTAAAATTGCAAAGAAAAATTATTTTATTTTTTATTATACTATTATGAAAACAAATTGAGATGCTGCTGAGAGTTCATCGAAAGATGTTTCGACACTGGATCACTTATTGACACAATTAATTCAAGGACTCAACTTTTACTTAATTTTTTTTAAACTTTTTTTTTTTTAATTTATATATTTGAAAAAAAGATATGTTTTTGTTATTAAAGGTTACAGGATGCAAAAATGTTTCCTAATACATTTGATTGATGAGTGTTTATGATAGCGAAAAAACAAAATTTTATACTAAAAAATTGGAAGTGTTTACTTGAAGTAAAGAAATTTAATAATAATAATAAAATAATTCACATAATATATTAATAGTAATTTAATAAAAGTAAAATTAATTAAAAGTTAATTAATATTTTTAAAAAACGGTTGAAAATTTATTTGAATTATATATATATTTTTTTAATAATTAAAAAAAGAATATTAAATTATTATTATAAGAAATTCCACATTATTGAAATGAAAATTATTGTAAAATTAACAAATTCAATTGAAAATTAAGTTTTTCTTTGTTATATTTATGATGAAAATTTTATTATAAATACTTTTAATTAACTTTCTCCATAATTCATATTTAACGTTTTAAACTACGACCTATTGAAGAATTAAAAAAAAAATAAAAATAAAAAACTTCACATAGTAATAGTGTTAGTTGACCTACAATCCTATAAATAATGACAAATTAAATTCAACTTTCTACAAAGGATTTAAATATAATCGGATTTTTCTTACTCGCATACATGTAGGTATATATATATATACAATATGTATAGGTATCATTATATAACATAAATAAATATATGATACTTTTTACAATCTTAAAATAAACATCATGAGGGAGAGAGGATCAGAGGATAAATTATTATTATTATTATTATTATTATTATTATATAAGCGTATAAAAATTATAAAGTAAATTTGAATATTGGGGGGGGGGGGTTCACGTCATTCCAAGATACAACATTGACACTTTTTGATTTGGCTAAATTTTTTTTATTTTTTTGTACTCTACGAAATAGGGTTCCATTATTTAAAATTTTTTTTATCAAGATATTTACGAGATATAAATTTTTCAAAATTTCATATTTTTAAAGATATTTTTTTTTTATTTGAATACACATACATTTCTTAAGAAATGTATTAATTTTAAAAGTTATTTATTGAAATTGAGTGTTTTTAAAATGAACTTTTCGAAAATTTGATGCAGAAAAATCAGAGATATTTATAAAAACAATTCTAAATTTGGTAAATTTTTAAAAATTTCGAAAAATTGAAAAAATCGTTTTAATTTAATTTTTTTTTAAATAAAATGAAACCATGAAAATAAAGCTCAAAAAGAAATTTATCCTACATGAGTATTTCAAATTAAAAAATAATATTAAAAATTGTATTCTACCTTTTAACATGGAGAAGATTTAAAAAAAAAGTAGTTTTTGTTAAAAAAAATAAATTTTTATATTTCAAACTATTATTATCTTAATCTAATTAACAAAATTGAATTTTTCACTATACAATCTGCTATATTACATATTATATTTTCAAAAAAGAGTTTAGAACGTTTTTCTTTTTTCATATTATAAACTATGATTCTATTATTCCATTTTCTTGTAACAATGTGCCAGTAAGAATATCATGTGTATTTTGCATAACTTCAATCTGAAAAAAAAGAAAAAGAATAATTATAATTATTTGACAATATGAATTAAGAAAAGTAATTTTTTTTTACCTTTTTTAAAGCACGACTTAATTTTTGTTTAATGTTCCTTAAATTTTTTTTACGTCTTTCTTTTTTTAAATTCATACGTCGACTTTTAAGTCGAATACAACTTTGTTCCTTATTTCTTTTTATTTGACAATCCTTACACATTTTGCTGGAAGTTCCATTTTTTCTCAAATAAAAACCATTCTGACATTTACCTTCTTCGGTGTTATTACACAGATTCATAGATACAATTTTTATCATTGCAACACGTAATTGTTCTAGGTTTTCTATTTTCTCAATAACAGGACAATTTGCAATGCGATTATTGGCCCGTAACTTGAATAAAAAAGAAAAGTAAATTTTAACGTATAGATTATTTTATATTTATTGACATTTTTTGTTAATTTTTTAGGAAATATTTGAAATTTTTCAAAATTGATTGTTAATCATAAAAAAAACTTACCTCGACAGTCATGTCCTCTTTAACATAAATAGATCGTGTTGTACAACTGGGAATATCTCCAACGTATCCAAAAAATACACCATCAGGACTATCAATCATTCCCCAATATTTTGGAAATTCATTAACATTTCTATGTTTCCAATCCCACATTAATGTTGATTTTGAATATTCAGCGCATACATTAATTGAAGATAAGGCACTTTGTAAGGAAACAGAAGTACATTGAGAAATTTGTGTATTATTTACAGGAATCGATGAATTCAAAGTCAAAATATCATTGACTATATTGACTCTACGCAAAGACGAAGGCGATAAATCTCTTTCATTTTTCTTTTTGACACGTTTCAAAGATTTTTTTGAAGAAATTTCTTTTTCATTTGTCTTTTGAATTGTACATTCATTCGTTGAATGTACTTTAGAATTCGAAGCTTCCGAATGTACACGACTTATTTTAATTGCATTCACACCATTAACGGGTAAATTTTTATTATTTAAATTAATATTATTATTAATAGGCAATTTATTATTAATATTAACATTAATTGTACCATCCTTTGCCAAGCTCAAATTATTAGTAATCTGTCAAAAGATTAGAAAATTATTACATTTTTTTTTCAAAAAACTTTTCAATTAAAATAATATATTGAATAATTTTTACCGGAACTGTATTATTCACTTGATATTGAACTGGATTAAGTTTTTTAAGTATCAATAATTCAGTACAATTTGGAGAACTTGGCTTTGGTCTCGTTGCAAATGTATAATTGGATAAATCAGAAACCTGTTTTTAATGAAGTGAAAAATTAATATTAAATTTAATTTCATGGGTGGCCCAAAAATATATAACAAAATTTTTCGAAAAATCAATTATTTAAAAAAAAATTTAATTAAAAATTCATGTGCCTAATGTTCTGAAAGTTAAAATGAATAAAATCTTTTTTTTAAATTACTAAGCACTAAATAACCAAATATATTAAACATTTATTAGTTAAAAATTTAAATTTAAATAAATAATTAAATTATTTTATTTTTGTTGGGCCATCCTAATTTATAATTATTATTTATTGTTAAAACTAAGGAAAAAAAACTTACTGAAATATTATTAATTGTTGGCTGAAAGTATCCATTTTGACCGACAAACATCATTCCATTATGACTCTAATTTGTGAATTTTTAAATAAAAATAAAATTATTAGTATTAATAATAATGTACGAAAATTTCTATAAATTTTCGTCTCAAAGATATTTTTGTGGTTCCCTACCGATTTTCCTAATTTTCGATATTTCCTAAATAAATATTTCTGAAAATATATATACATTCCTAATATAATTTTCCTAAAAATAAATTCCTAAGTCAATTAATTTTTCCTCATTTTTAAATAATTTTTTATATTACTTTTATACGAATAGGAAAAAGTAATCAGGAAAATATTTTTTAGGAAAAAGGAAATATTAGAAATATACAATTAGGAAAAACGTTAAGAAACAAAAAATTATAAAAAAATTATTTAAATTAAAACTTTTTATAATTTTTGTCTTAAAAAATAATTTGCTTTTCTAATCCTTGATCATATAAACATTGTGGTCTTTGTCTTTTTGCAAAACATACAATATATTTTTGTATTTAGCGTAAAAAGAAGAAGAAACAATACAAAAAAAACTCAAATTACTTACCGCAATTGTCGGTGATAGTTGATTTATTCCAGTGTTTAGATTTAAAATATTTTTTATTGTTGGTGTAATGGCAACACCTTTATTTTGACCAATTGTCAATGCTCCCGCATTATTTGTCGATTGCAATTGATTTATTCCAGAGTTTACTTGCACGACATTATTAATTATTGTTTTAGTAATAGTTATTTCATTATCTTCAGGTGTCAATAGTGCAGAATTATTTTTATAATTGCCAGTGTTACTATTTGCAAAAGTAAAACTTGGAAAAGTAGTAACCTATATATTCAATATTTAAAAAAAAATGTGAATAAATATTTCTAGTTGCTATTCAATCTATTAAAATTGTTTACTAGAAAATATACGATTACAAAAAAAATAATTATTATAGAAAATATAATTAATATTATTTAATAATTAAATGAAAATTTTTTAATTTAATTACATACTAAAATTAGAAAATTATTCCCTTTATTATTCATAAATTGATAAATTTACCTAAAAAATTTATTTTTAATTAATTAAATTGCTTTTTTAATTGTAAATTAAATATTTATTCTGAAGGAAATTAACAAAATTATGTTTCGTGAAAATTTAATTCAAGTTTCAAAAATTTTTAATGAAAAATTATGTTATTTTGGAAAAAAATAAAATCAAACAAACGTGAATAAGAATTTGTATAAAAAAAAGGAAGTAGAAAATAACTTACAGAAGTTGTCGATTGTAATTTACTTGTTATAAGATTTGAATTATCACTATTGTCCGTTAGAGAATGGAATTCAGAATTTTCATTTCTTATAATCATACATTCTTCATTATCATTTTGCAATTCAAAATTTTCATTTTTTATAATTATACATTCTTCATTATCATTTTGAGAATTATTCTGTAAAAATTATTAAAGGATACATTCAAATTGTTATGTACAAAATTCAGTAGAAATTGTAAATCTAATTTTTTTGTAATTAAGTAGAAATACAAAAATAACATGGCATTTTGATTTATTACAAAAATTATAAATTTTAAACAAATTTATTAAAAATACTAAAAAGGTAATTTTTATAAACTCGAATCAACTTTTTTTTTTTTTTAGATATTCCACTTTGAATATATTTTTTTAAAAAATTAAAAATATGTAAAATAAATAAAAAAATTGAAGTAAATGAAAAATTATTTAAAAAACATTTATAAAATATGGTTTTTAAAAAAATAACTTACAGAAATTATCAATTGCGCCTCTGTTTCTTTTAATTTCTTACAATCACTCGTTGAGGAATGTGAGACAATTTTACGTCGTTTAATTTGAATATTTTGTAAATCGTCTTCGAAACTGTCCGCGAACGTAAATTGAGGAAATTCGGAAGTCTGTTTTATTTTAAAAAGAAAAAAATAAATCATCTTTTCTTTTCATGAGTATTTATTACATAAATAAAATAACTTACGGAAATTTCCAAGTGACTCTGACTTTCATCATGTTTTAATTTTTCCGAATTTTCCAATATTCTTTCTTTAGAATGTTGCCATTTTTCTGTTGTTGATTTTTTACAATCATCATTCAAAGAATTCTTATCATTTGTTTCAGTTTTATTTTCTATTATTTTTTCACTATGATTGTTAGAATCAACATCCAAACTATTTGCAAAAGTATATTTCAGAGGAACAATTTCCTAATAAGGATAAAAAAATAATTATTGAAAAAAAGAAATATTTCTTTTTAACTATTTTTATAGAAATTAATTGATCTGATCTACAACTAATTAATAACTTCGTAAGGCACTACTTTAGTTTTCATATTCTTTTTTTTATAATTAAATTATTAAGTATTGTATTTTTAATCAGAGTGTCTAACAACTGCTAGGAAAAAAATTCCCTAACCTAAATTACACTAAAAATTTTTTATTTTGATCAAATAAAATTTATTTTGATACAATTAAGAATTAAATCATTTACCTGCCTATTAACCACTAATTTCATATGTATTTGAACCAAATAAATTATATTTCGTAAAAGTAAAATATTTAAGTGAAACAAATAAACTAATTGGGGACGTATAAATATTTTCAACATTTAATTTAAAAGAATTTTTACGGCGTCAAATCTCAAATTATCAAATTATTTTTATTTAGTAAAATTATATAAAACAGATTTTCTAGTACAATCGAATTCATCCTATTCCGAGATAAGAATTTTTTAATTAAACATTAAAAAAACTTCAATTGTTTATAACTCAGAGTATTTTAGTGTTTTTAAAAAATCTTTTCAATAGTTTAATAAACTCATAATAACGTGTTCATTTCATATATTATCAAATGAATGAAATAAAATAAAAAATTTGCTCTTACACTTCCAGTGTGTCTAACAAAACTGCTACACTGTAAAAAAAGGAGTTGAATTTCAACTCCCTAGGGGATGCTATAAAAGTTCCACCCTCTTGGAGTTGAAGCGAAGGGAGTTAATGCTTTACGAGTTAATTTTTATGCCCAGGGAGTTAGTTGTAAGGAGTAAATTTAATTATTAATTCTCTTTTTGAGTTGATTTTTAACTCGAAAATTTTAACTCCCAGTAACGTTAACAACGTAATTTTTTACAGTGTAGGAAAAAAATTCCCTGACTTTTTCTGACCTAAATTACACTAAAAAAATGTTATTTTGATAAAATAAAATTTATTTTGATACAATTAAATCATTTACTTATAAATAAATAATGTTTCGTAAAAAATAAAATATTTTACTGAAATAAATGATGGGTAGAATGACAAAAGGGGTCAAGCGCCAATTTATCGAAAATGAGGTTTTTGCATAAAAAAATCAAGAAAATTCATTTACACATTTCTGTAGAAGGATTTCCTTTTTTATTGTGTATTTAAATCAGTTTTTAATAAAAATTAAATTAATAAAATAGCCTCAAATATACTTTATTGTAACCTGATTGAAAAACAAAAGAAAGTGGTGAGTCAATAATATTTTGCATAACTTAACAAATTTAAAAACATTGTTTTTTACTAATCGAAAATGCCTCGCAGATGCGGAAAAAAATCTATTAATAAAAAAGATATTGCTAAAAAGAAACGATATGAAGGTGAAATGTTTTTATGAATTTCATTCTTCACATTTTTATCCATCTGTTCAATTTTGATCAAAAATATTATTTTTTTAGGTTTTATTTTAATATTTTATTTTAATTTTATTTTAATAATATTTTAATTAATAAAATTAATAATAATAATATATTTTCAATTTTAAACAATTTTAAAATCATTTTGTTATTAATTTTTAAATATTTTTATGATTATACTAAGTGAACAATTGAATTTAAAGATGAAAGTATTGCGCTTGACCCCTTTTGTCATTCTACCCTTCAAATAAACTAATTGGAGACGTATAAATATTCTCAACATTTAATTTAAAAGAATTTTTTCGGCGTCAAATCTTAAATTATCCAATTTTTATTTAGTAAAATTAGATAAAGCAGATTTTCTAGTACATCGAATTTCAAATTAATACAATTTTAATTTAACGGAATTTATGTCAAGAAAAATTGCATAAAGACAAATTTTTTTAACAGAATTGTTATTTTAGTAAATTTCGATTTATCAAAATATTTACTTAACTTAGTTCTTTTTTTGTCAATTTTTATAGACATAAATTTCGTTAAATTGAAATTGTATTAATTTAAAATTCTTAAAAAAGTAATAGAAAAAATGCTTTATAAGAGTTCTGCTAAATAGAAATTCGATAATTTAATATTCGACGCCGTAAAAATTTTTATAAGTTAAATGTGGGTATTAGCATTAAATAATAAATTATTCGTATTAATGAATAATTTACTTTATTTGAAGTTGAACCGATAAAATATAATTGTATCAAATAATTTTTATTTATATTAAAAAACCAAATATTTCACTGAAAAAAATTAATTAATTGTTATCCAAGTTTAAAAAATCATTTATTAGATTCAATAAATAGTAGTAAATAATTATTTACTTAATGAATATAAGATATATCACATGCTTAATAATTGAGTGTAAAGGCCAACTTTTTAATTTGCATTTTCTTTGTAAAAAATTTTTGAAACTAATAGTTACTTTAATTTATTCATAAAAAATTCCAGAAAATTAAAGAAATTCCCTTACTTTTCCCTGATCGTTAGACACTCTGTTAATATATATATATATTTATTTAAATCTAAAAAGGAGAAATAATTATAAAATAACATACAGAAGTTTCCGAATGGATATTTTCTGCTATCTCTAAACTGTCAGTTTCACTGTCCTCTGGATCACCCTTTAATCATTAGATTTAAATTAAAATTTCCAATTGATTACAATATAAAAAAAATTTGTGTTAAAAATATATCAACCGAATTGTAATTTTATTCAAAAAATTGTTGTAAATAAAGAAAATAACGTTAATAAGTTAAGTAAAATATTTTTAAAAATAAAACTAACCTCAAAAATTGTTGGAATGATATTTTTTTTTAATTTTTGAATTTTTCGTTGAAAATCAATTTCATAACCATCTTTCCAGATTTTATAAGTACCTTGATAAAAACAATCCTCCGAAAAATGGTGTTTACAAATAAACAGATTGTTTGATTTACATTTCTTTTTTAAATAACCTTTAGTAGCAGTTAACCATAAATTTCTTTCATTCTGTTATATCAAAAGAAAATAGAATATATCGAAAATTTCCATATAAAATAATATATACATATATTTGAAAATTATTATAAAGAAAATTTTAAATTATAATTGTAAAATTTATATATCATTACCTCATTAGTTGGAAATTTAAATATATTATGATGTGTCGTTTTTTGGGCAGTACAATTTTTTATACAACAACTTCGAGGCATTTCTCTTTTTATACAGAAATTAACATTTATGAGAAAAAGTTTTTTTTTTTCTTTTATTTACGTTTAAAATGTAAATTATATATTATTTTTGATTATTTTCAAAATGAATACAAAATTAACAGCTGGGCTGTCATTGTTTCGCAGAGCTGAGAAGGATCGTTCCAACACATAATAATAATTACGTAAGCTACGTAAGGGAATAAAATAAAGGGAACCTCCGAAATGTGACACTTAGAAGTGTTTCAACACGGGACGTTGCGCAACAGTTTCCAGTTTTCGAAAATGAAAATAAATTACCAATTAATTAAAGACTAATTTGTACAAATAAATAAAAATTATGATGACAAATTTATGCCACATTTATTAGAATATTTCTTTGAAAATTTAAATGCGAGACTATTCAGCCAATATACAATTTCGTATAAATTCAAATTTAAACAATTTCAAATTATATGTTTGTAAAATAGGTCACATTAAATTATTTTTAAATTATGGAAGAAGTATGCATATCAAGTGAAAAAATATTTTTTAAATTTGCTTTCTTAACATTTTTTAAAAAACATTTCATATCAGCGCGCTTTTTCTTAAAAATTCATATGGCGCATGCGCAGTTGCGTTTAGATTGGCAACTCTGAATTGAAACCAACTTCATGTTGAGAGATAATTTTTGTCCCTAAATAACCTTGTTGCCTATATGTATGTAATTTCTTATACTTCTCACAAATAATGGAAATAGTTGTTAAAAAAAAAAAAACGATAAACAACGTAAGTAATAAAAATAATTTATTAAAAATTGAATTTCTCCCCACAATCCATTCTTAATATGTACAATTTTACAGAACTAATTCTAATGCAATGGTGACAAAAGATTGCCAAAAAAAAAATTCTCATTCATCGTCAATGGCAGTTGAAACGATAAAGCCATTGTTTTATTCTGATAAATGATTTGTGTCTAAGAAAAAATTTATAAAAATAGTCAAACACCGGCTTATCATTAATAGTATTTTAAATGAATCGGCAAACCGCCTCGGTGAATTCTTGTAAAATGACAGCACCTAACTTGACGTAAGGTGAAACTAGGTGTGCGTATTATTCTACAATAGTGGGCGTTCGGTATATATATAATTGTATATAAAAGCCGCTATTGAAAAGAAAAAGAAAAAAATCATGGAGTCCCATGAAGAAGAATACGTTACATTTCCACTTTCTAATGTACACGATGGTTTACAACAGAATGTTATTTCCCATGAGGAAATATGCGAACCTGTCGTTGAGGAATGTGTTCTCGATGATGATGATTTAACAGAAGTTTCAGTGAATGAGGCAAATTCATCAAGTATCACCGAGGCACACGTGGCGGTGACAATTTTAAATGATGGCCGCTCTGATGAGGATGACGATGGCAGTAATATTTATCCAGTTTATATCAAGGAGGAACATCAATATACATCGGGTGACGATGAATCGATGGCTGTTGAGGCACTTCGTCAACTTGGTGGCATGTATCCAAATTTTAATGATGAAAAAAAAATTGGTTGCTCCAATTGTTCAAATACATTTACACAGGCTGAATTTGAAAAACATCATCAAACATGTTTACCCGATAAATTTTCATGTAGCACATGTGGCGAGAAATTTGAGAGAAAAATTGATTTAGTCAATCATACAGTTTGCCATCAGGTCGATAGACCACATGCATGTCGAACTTGTGGTAATTTATTTAAATCAAAATCATTATTGCAAGCGCACATGACGGAATATCATCAAATTGAAAGACCACATAAATGTGCAATTTGTGGCGCTGATTTTATGAGACCATCGAGTTTATCGAATCATATGAAAATTCACACATACGTTGCTGGTCGTGCAATTATGCAAACTCAGGAGAATAATGTTGCACAAAGTTCTGAATCATTTAGAAAATGGTCCGATAATAATGTTAATGAAACACAACAAAGTGTCTCGGTACCATCGTCATCGGTGCAAATTATTCAAAATTATGATGTCTCACAAGTTCAATGGTCAGTTCCTGGTTATACATTTGCAAATGAGCAAGTTGTTGGTTCTCTTGGAAATCAGGATAAACTTGATACTTTACAAGTAAGTTGAAGTAAAAAAAAAAAAAAAATTCTACACAAACATATTAAAATACAAATTTTTACATAACCTAATTAAATACTAAAAAAAAAAATTCACACAAACTCATTATGAAAAAATTCTACGGAATTAAACTCTACACAGAAAAACTATACAATACATTTAGGTAAATGGTATTAATTCTACATAAATAAACTCTACACGAAAAAATTCTACACTTTATAATTAGATAAATTTAATTCAATATATAATTTATTTAATTCATCACAGTTAAGGGGGGTGGGTGGGGGGGGGGGGTTAATTCGATGTAAAAAAGGCACATTTTTAATAATTTTTTTCGGTTATATAAAGTGTGTTACTTTATTAACTTAATATTAATACAATATTTGAAGTATATTTTCCTAAATTCTCATTGAAAAATATTGCAAATTAAACGAGTGGCAGTAAATCTTTTCAGGTGCCTCGTAAAAAAATGGATTTGCGGTGTTCAACGTAATTCGCAACAGAATCATCTAAATAAAAAAAAAAAATTTTTTCAAGAAGATGTTTTTCGAGGTAACTACGAGAGGGGTTTTTTTTTTTTATTTTTCGCAGCACTTGAAACCCAAAAACTCGACTTTCGCTGAAAAATCGATCTATTTTTTACTGTATAATTAATAATTATTAAAAAAAAAAAAAAACAAAAAACAAAAAAGCTATCGTAGTTAACTGGGAAATTTAGTCAAGAAGAACTGTGCCAAATTTCACAACGATTGGTTCAGTAGATTTTGAGATATCGTGAACACGGACTTAAAAAATGTCATTTCGAGAAAAAAGCAATTTTAAATTTTGACCATTTTTAAAATCTGACTTCAGTTTAGTAATCAGCGACCCCAAAACTTATACATACACATCAACGACATCAAAAAACATTCAGAAATGTCCGCAAAAGGTTAAACACAAACTAAATTCAAAAAGACGAAAACACAGCCCGTGGAGCAACTGACACTTAAATGCTCAAATGCTCATAACTTCGTTAATTTTTCTCCTATCGGCTTGAAATTTTTCCACAATATTCCTGAAATATTATACATTCATTTAAAAAAAATAAAAAAAAATAAATACCATAAACCCTTCCCCCACCCCTTAAATCCTACACCGTTAAATTCTACACAAAATTAATTCTACACATTAGAAACTATTATTATTTCTGTTTTAATTAAATTTTAACTCTACGCCGTTAAGCAAATAACCACATTTTGTTTTAATAATTTTTTTAAATTCGACCCAATTAATTTTTTTACATTTGAATTTATTTTAATATTAATTTTTAGAAGATTAAACTCCACACAAAAAAAACCTTCATTTATAATTCTACACGAAAAACACAATAAAATATTATTCTTATTTTTTAATTAAATTATTAGTTTTACGCCATTAAATTGAACACCAGATAATTCTACACAAATCCTATATTTAAATACATTTTTCTAAATAAAAAAAAATAAATTCTACACTGTGAAACTCAACGCAGTTAGTCGCCAAAAGTTTTGACCAGCGCAATAACTATCGCATTGACTTTTACCGTGTAGAATTTTTTTTTATTAAAAAAAAATTAATTTAAATTCATCTTAATATATGTTTGTATAGAATTATCTAGAGTTCAATTTAATGGTGTAGAACTAATAATTTAATTAAAAAATAAGAATATTTTATTTTGTTTTTCGTGTAGAATTATAAATAAAGGGTTTTTTGTGTAGAAGTTAATCTTCTAAAAATTAATATTAAAATAAATTCAAATATCAAAAATTTATTGAAACCAAATGTAGTTATTTGCGTAGTTTTCTGGTGTTCAATTTAACAGTGTAGAGTTAAAATTTAATTAAAGCAGAAATAATAATAGTTTCTAATGTGTGTAATTAATTTGAGTATTATTTAACGGTGTAAGATTTAACTGCTATGAATTAAATAAATTATATTGAATTGAATTTATTTAATTATAAAGTGTAAAAATTTTTCGTGTAGAATTTATTTATGTAGAATTAATACCATTTGCCTAAATGTATTGTATAGAATTTTTCTATGTAGAGTTTAATTGCGTAGAATCGCTACCACCCCCAATAAAATTAAAAAGAAATTAATTAAAATTCTAAATAAATATTATTAGAGATAGAAATTTTCTGCTTTTTTAACAAGTTAAATTATGCTAAAAAAATTGCTAATTTATGCTGAAATTTTGGTTTTTATTTTTTAACTTCATACTTTTAATATTTTTTATACATGTTTCCAGGGCTGTAATGATTTAAATCAAAGGGTTGTTGACATTAAAATCATGATTTAAATCAAAAAGATTCTTTAATTAAGTTTTTTTAAAATATTTATTTGTAAATAAAAATCATTTTTCTTATTAATAAAGCCTTTAAAATAAGCGCACTTTTTTTTATATCGAATGAGGTTTATGGAATCGTGGAAAAGAAGCATTTAAATATATTGAATAGATTATTATCAGTTTCTGCTAGTTCAAGCTGACATTGAGCGTATATTTTCCACTTTCAATTTGGTACATTCAAAACTTAGGAATGCATTAGGAACCGAGAAGGCTGCAAAATTAGTATTTTTATTTATGAGGAGAGACCAGTGAAATTTCTACTCATTGAAATTAATATTGTTAAGGAGTGTCAATTTTATTTTTTGAAAATATTAAAATTTTTAAAAATACATACGATTGATTGTTCAGAATCATGAAAAAAACCTACAAAAAATTACCGATAAAAAAACGAAGCTGAAGTACGCAACGTTTATATAAACGATTTTTAAAGAAATAATTTTTTAAAATAAAAAATTCTATAATTTTTTGCCTAAAAAATATTTTTTTATAATTTGTTGATTAATGAAAACTACAAGAAATATTTTTTAGGCAAAAATATATAGAATTTTTCATTTTAAAAAATTATTTCTTTAAAAATCGTTTATATAAACGTTGCGTACTTCAGCTTCATGATAAAAAATAATAAAAATTGTAGAAGTTTAATTTTTAAGAAATAATTGATAAAACTTAAACCAAACATAATTGGTTTGGTTTTAGGGTAACAATTTTTTACAAAAGTTTTTTTAGAAGCTGAAATCATATTTCACTATGAAAAATGAAAAATTTATCATCTTTAAAAAAAAATGGAAAACAAATTTTTGTTCTATACTTTCTATGTTTTAAGATATTTTTTTATTTATCAAGAAAATGGGTTGGTCTCAAAATTTTCACCGATAGTGTAATTTAATTGCTGGACATCCTGTTATTAAAATTTTTTTTATTACTGAAGCAAACAGTAATAAAATCTGTACATAAGTTTGTGTTAATTAAAATGAAATAATTAATTTCTGAATCTATTTATGAGTTAAAAAAATTATTTTTGGATTTCAAAATTGAGTTATTTTAAAAAAGCCTATTCAACACAAAAATGGTTTTTATTTACAAATTTTGATTTTTCAATATTTCTGGTTTAAAAATATTTCTTTGAATTTTAAAATTGAGATATTTAAGGTATAATTAAATTTTTTGTAAAAAACATTACTGTGTTTTTTTTTACAGGAATTCACAGTTATGCCAAACGGAGAAGTCACACAATTTGAATACGCGGCACAAACTGAAATTGCTAATCAAATTGGAGATTATAATTTGTCGTTAAATTCATTTTGCTCATCTGATGCAATGGTAAAAGTTGAAAGTCTATCATTTAACGACAATAGAAGAAATTTTAACGAAGTGGAAGTAATTGAAAATAAAGCGTACACATGCAATCAATGTGGTGTGAGTTTTAGTCGACCAAATGCCTTGACATCACATGAGAAAACACATAATGCCAAAACATGGGCGACGCCAATTGAATGCAAATATTGTGACAAACAATTTCAAGATGAAAATCATTTAGCCACACATCAACAAACATGTGCAAAGAGAATAATGCAAAATTGCAATGAACAAGGTTTGCCAAATAGTAGATGGGGTAAACACGCTTGCTCCGAGTGTGGCAAAAAATTCACCACTAAACAGAAAATGTTTAGGCATCAATGGATTCATAGGTAAAATTTTTATTTATTTTGAAAAAAAATTGATAATGGTTTTTATTTGAAATTATAAAAAAAACGATTTTCTTTCTTTCTTTATTCTAAAGTCAATTCTAAAAAAAAAATTATAAGGCTTCCTATTGAAAATCCGAAATTGGGAAAATTTATAATTCAAGAGTTACAAAATTTCAATTAATCATGATGTGATTTTAAATGATGAGAAGAAATGTTTTTACTTCAAGTATTACAGTTACAAGGAGTAAAATTGTTCCCATGTGAAAATTGTGGAATTCTTTGGTAATTTAAAAAAAATTTAGTCGTTTAAATCACTTAATGTAATAAAATGAAACTTCTTTATATGGATGATTCTTCATAAAATGGTAACTTTTTGACATCAGTAATTTTGAAAAAATTACTTTTTTTTCTTGGATACATTTTATACAGATTTTAGAAATTTGTTATTTCTAAGTTTATGAATTTTAATTATTTTCAAATAGTGTTTTTTTAAAAGGATTTTTCTTTTTAATAGCAAAAAGTTCTTTGAAAAAATAATTTTTAACTTCATTTTTATCAAAATTAACCCTTATTTTTTAGTTTTAATTCACTTGGGCAATTCCTTTTTCTTTTTCTGTATTTTTATTAGAAAGATGAATTTTTTTCCAACAAAAATATAGAAAAAGCGAAGCTGGAAAAGCAATAAGTTTGCGATAAATTGTATAAAAAATCAACAACCTGGAAAAATCTTGAAATTTCTTAAATTCTATAGCAAAACCTTGAATTATTAAAATTTTCTAAAGAGATATTTCTTAAAATATTAAAAGTAACGGTTAACATTTTCCTGCAATTTCTACTTTTATTCTGAAAATTTATAAAATTTCTAATTGGAATTCCTAAAGAAATAAAAATTATATTTTTTTCAATTTCTTCTACTTTTTATTTTCTTAAATTTTAAATTTGCCTTCATTTTTCTAAAATTTTCGTTTTTTAAAACATTTTTTCCCAATATATATTTATATTTTTTGGAAATTCAGAAGTCGAAAATTATTTCGATTTTTTTTTCAATTTATTTTTTTTCTAATACTTTTTATCTTCATAAATTTTATTTTTATTTAAAATTTTCGTTTTAAAGCGATTTTTCTCTAATTTTAATTTTTTTTTTTTGCGATAATTCATAAAATTTATATTATTCAATTTTGTGAATTTCTAAAATTCTCGATTTTTCTTTGAAAGTTTTTCTTAAACGTTCTTTAATTTCTACGCCGAAACTTGAAAAGCCTTGAAAAATCCTTGAATTTTTTTTTCAAAAATGACTGAACATTCAAGCATCACTAAATAGTAAATATACTTGAAAATAATTTTTAAAGTTATAAATTGGAGGAAATAAAAGTGATCACTCAGTGAAGAATCATTCATATTTAATTATAGTTAAATAGTTATAATTAATAAAATTGTTAGAAAATTAAAAAATTAAATTAGAAAAATGGATAGTTCGACAAAATTAAAAACAAAAAATTTTAATTAAATAATAATTTTTTTAAACAAATAATTCTATAATTTTTTGCCTAAAAAATATTTATTTTTAGGTAATCAATTTTATAATTTTTCGTGTTAAATAAAAATTAATTTCTAATCGTTGACCATAAACGTTGCGTACTTCAGAATCGTATGAAAATAGAATTTAAAAAAAAAAACTTGATAAGAAATATGATATTAAACAGTAAATTCTCATTATAACAGAAAGAAGACACATTGTTGTGAAGTTTGTGGAACACAATTCGAGAAACAAAATCAATTAGATGAACACAGACTTGCCGCTCATCCAGGTGATTCGCCTTTTACATGCAACGAATGTGGCAAAAGTTTTGTCTCACGACAAGGTCTTTGGGAGCATGGACGTATGCACGCCGGTAGTCCTGCTCATTTTCAATGTGATGCATGCTCAAAAACATTCTCATCACGTCAAGGTTACTTAATTCATCATCGTACACATACAGGTGAACGACCTTATGGTTGTAAATTTTGTTGGAAAGCATTTCGCGACGGTGGCACTCTACGTAAACACGAGCGTATTCATACAGGTGAGAGACCCCACGTTTGTCCACTTTGTACGCGTGCTTTTAATCAAAAAGTTGTATTACGCGAACACGTACGTTGGGTTCATGCGGCCGGTAAAAATGAAACTGGAATCAGTGGACCGCCATTTCCATGTCCACTTTGTGGTTCATTGAATCAAGATCGCGATGAACTTTGTGCGCACATTGTTAAACATTCGGATCAAATGATTGCCGAGGCCAAGGCAAAAACACTCGCCAATAATAATGCTCCAAAATCATCAACAACATCATCAACAGCAAAATCGTCAAAGAAGAAAAAATCAGGCTCAACATCGAAAATACAAGAGATACATATGATTAGTAATACTGAACAAAATGAGGCACTATTGTCAATAACTGATTCATCAATGAAATCGGATGATTCACAAATTGTCGATGGACAAATTGAGATACCATATAGGGAAATTGTTGATGTTGATGTTGATGAAGATGATGTGCGCTCTGATCATGGTAATCATAGTTTGACGATAGATAATGATTTGATTAATTCAACAAGTCATGTTGAAGTGATAACAACAAGTGCCACTAGTGCTCATTTCATTCCATTTGAAAAATTAAATGATTCAATGACAATTTTGCCTGATAAACAAAGTAATACATTGCATTTGATATCGAAACAAAATGAAAATTCCCCAGTATTGACAATTCCAAATCCTCAGGGTAATGAGAATTTTTCAAGTCAAATTGTACACATTACAAATTCAGATTTGCCAATGAATGTTGTGACTCATAGTGTAAAGGATGGTGATTTAAAGTCTGATGTAAATGATGAGACAAGTTTGATGCACGATGAGGATTTGAAAAATGTTGTTATTCATGAAGAGCAGTACGATGATAGTGATGATGGTGACGAAATGGTTTGTGGTATTTGTGGCGAAGATTTTCATGATAAAAATGTACTCATGGAACACGTAAAAATTCATATTTAATTTCTTTATTTTTAATCACGCTTCAAATATGTGATATTTTTTTTTTTTTTTTTGAGGATTTTGTAACGAAAATGGTCTTTGATTTTTTTTTGAGAATTTTTATATGTTTTGAATTACAATTTATTTTCAGGACAATTTTTTTTTAATTCGGAAAATTTAGTTTTGAATTTAAATAAAAATATAATCCAAACGGTTAAAATTTAATTGCACAAGTTATTTAGCGAAATTTGAGCTTAAAATCATTTTTTTTCAAACTCTCAATTGTGCCTAGTGGTTTAAAGTAAATACTTAAAAAAAAATTTGTGTTAGATTCTCTCTTTTTAATAAGGCGAATAAAAGACATTTATTTTATAGAAAAATTAATGTTCTAAATTGAAAAAAAAAATATTGTAAATTTGCACATCTCCGGGGAATAAATTTTATGAAAATATAATCTTTTGTTTTTTTAACATCTTGACGATGGACAAAACTATTATTGCACTGGAGACTTTAGAATTAATATTTTTTATTTTTAAGTGTGATACCAATAACTATAGATTAAATATTTGTTTTTATTCTCTTTAAAAAGTAAGTAAAATGTTGAGTAAAATATTGGTATAGAATTTGCTTCTCATACGGTTATGTTGTGTCACAAAAGTCACGAAAATATTTCATTATATTTTTGAAATATTAATCGGTGCTCTTGTCTCGATGTGTATTTTCTTCTAAAACAAAAAAAAAATTATTGTGGAAAATTACGTGAAATCATGTAAATCAGTTTTTCTGATTATTACTTACATTCTTGTAAAAGTAAACAAAAACAAAAAAATAAACAAAAAAATTTGTATATTGTATGAATGTAGAATATAAATGTATTCAAAGAAATATCATAAATGAAAATGATTAATCCTTAAAATTTTCCAAATTTAAATCCTTAAAATTAATTTCAGGCCTTGGATTGTAAGATTTTTTTTCGAATTTTTCCAATTTTTTTCGACTTATTTTAATAAGAAGCGACTTTTTGAACTTTTTTTTTACATTTTTTACAACATTCTTAAATAAAATACGACTTTCTTTTAGTATTCAATGCAGCTCTTTTAAAATTTAATTACTTAAATTTTTAAATAAAATTCTTCAATAATTCAATTATCTGAAATTATTTTTCAATTAAATATTTTAAACAATTCAATAATTTTTTTAAATTTCTAAAAAAAATAATTTCAGTAAATAAAATTACTAAAAAATTTAATTGAAAATTACATGAAATTCAATTATTTCCAAAAATCTAAACTTAATAATTTAAAAAAATAATAATTTCAACCAGTAATTATCATCAATTTCTTCAAAAAATCAACTGTATAAAATATTTTTTAATTAAAAATTCTGTAAAATTTAATTACTCATAGAAATTAAATGTAAGAATTTTCAAAAATTTCAATTTGAAACCTCTTGAAATTCAATTACATATACTTCTAAAAATTTCAATTTTCAACCTTCTAAATTTAATTCTAAAATTTTCAATATACAAATTTATCGAAAATTTATAAAATTTAATAAAGCTTTTCAATATAATAACTCTTCCAAAATTCAATTGCTTAGAAAAAAATGTTATCGTAAATCAATTGTAAAATTATTGCCAATCAATAATTTTTGTCAAATTCTTCGAAAATTGAATAATTGAAAACAATTTTAATTGAAAATTTTGCAAAAATTTAATTATTGTCTGAAATTTAAAAACATTTTGAAAAATTAAAATTTTCGAAAACTTATAATCTTTTGAAATTCAATTATTTCTAAAAATTTCAACTGTATCTTTAAAAAAATTCAATTATTTTTAATTATTATTATTTTTTTTAAATTCAATTAAGTACCTATTTAAAAAAGTTTCAAATAGACTTGAAGAATTTCAATTATTGTTAGAAATTCAAATTCACAAAAATTTATTTCAATTTAAAATCTGAAATTTATTTATTTATTTATTTATTTAAAGTTATACACGGGCATGAGAAGCCCTATACATGAAAATGCAAAAATATATACATAATATAGTATATACATAATTGGACCAAAGGCGTCCAAAATCAAAAACAAAAGAAAAACTTTTAAGCAATGAACGGCCTGGTATTATTAGAACGATTTTTAAAAAGAGTTGTGCGCAAGGATGTAATAAATCCTCTCAAACTAACGCCAAAGAGATCAAGATTCTCGCTATACAGATTGGCTTCGCGACATAGTCGATTAATGACAGAGTTTTTACCATAATTAGTTCTATGATGTTGAATATAAAATAAAGAGGAATTTCTTAATTGTCTAGTTGGCGAACAGAAATTTATCATTGACAGTATCGCCGGACAATTTGTTTGTTTTGAATTTGAAATTCAATTATTAAAAAAAAATCAATTAAAAAAACTGTTTGAAACTTAATTATGCTTTGAAAATTTTTTTTGTCCATTAAATCTAAAAACTATTCCGAAATTTTGAGTTCGAATAATTTGCTTTAATCATATTTGAAAAATATTTAAAAATGGAACATTAAGAATTTTTTTAGAAATCCGTTACAATCTTAAAAATTTGTCTTGTTTCTGAAATATTCCGAATAAATTTTTTTGATAATATTTCAATAGAATTATTCTTATTAAGGAATTAATAAAATTAATTTAATGTCTAATAACAATAGTTATTTGAAAATAAAATATTTATTAACTAATTAAATTTATTAAAAATAAAAAATCAACTTTTTCGACTTTAATGTCTATTTAAATTGTTTTCTTATTTAATTTTTTATAAATTTTAATTTTAAAATGAATTAACGTTAATTTTAATCAATAGTTTGATATTCTGTTAAACTTTGTTTAATTTGTAAATATTAATTTTTATCAATTTACATTTTATTATTATTAGTACTTTTTTTATGTTACAATAACAATTTTCTATGTGAATTTAAAATTTCCCGCTCAATTGTAGTTGAATTTTTGAGATTGGTGGTGATCACGTGACAAATGTTTATGCACGTTATACGCATTTGTACAACGGTGTATGTTTTTATCCGCTTGACTATATATCAATTGAGAATATTTATGTAAATTATTTACTATAAACCAGTTAAAAAAATTCAAATTTTAAAAATTAGTGAAAAGTGTTAAATTTGTAAAATCAGTTAAACGTTCGAACTCCTGAAAATTTCGCTAATAAAAAGGTAAGAGAATTTTTTTTATTAATGATTCTAACCTCTTAACAACGTTAGTTGTTGAGTGACTATTTTCTATTTTATTATTAATTTAGTTTATTCACAAACAAACATTATTAACAATGAATTGTTTAGAGAAAATTGTTTTATTTTAATTATACTAAATTATTGAAATCTTGACTAGTAATTTTTATAAAATCGTGAAAACCTCGTGGTTCCGTCTTTCGGCCGGTGGAATCTAACCTCAAAATGTAAACATCCTTGATGACGCTCTAAAAACGTTTGCGTGTCTTGGTATTTTTTATTTATTTAAAATAAAAGGTTTTTTAAAAGTACAGTGATTTGATAAATCAAATAAATAAACTCAGTTTTATCGATTGTGATATTGTGATCAGAGTTATCAATTTTTTTTTTGATTTGTGTATCGAATTTTTATTTAACAACATGCCTACATGGAATCAAATACAAGCACAACTTCGAAATCCAAACAATCCAGTTGTATTTTTTGACGTTTCTGTTGGCAATACAGAAATTGGACGTATGATTTTTGAATTGTTCGATGATGTTTGTCCTAAAACATCGGAAAATTTCCGTCAATTTTGCACTGGTGAATATAGAAAAGATGGTGCACCATTGGGATTTAAAGGCGCTATTTTTCATCGTGTTATCAAGGATTTTATGATTCAAGGAGGAGATTTTGTCAATGGCGATGGAACTGGAGTATTAAGTATTTATGGAGGTGGAACATTTTCTGATGAGAATTTTACATTGAAGCATGATTCACCTGGTTTATTATCAATGGCAAATAGCGGGAAGGACACAAATGGATGTCAATTTTTTATAACTTGTGCAAAATGTAATTTTTTAGATGGAAAACATGTGGTTTTTGGAAGAGTAATTGATGGTCTTCTTGTTATGAGAAAAGTTGAAAATGTCCCTACGGGACCAAATAATAAACCTAAAATTCCTGTGACAATATCTCAATGTGGCCAAATGTAATGTTTGTAAACTTTAATCTAGCGATATTTGTATTAAAAAGTTATTTTTATTCAAAAACAAAAAACTGTTTTCTTTATTTTTTTATACCATCATTTTTTTAAACTTAATTTTCATTCGTTTCGTTTTAATATTATAATTTGTTGCTTTTTCAGATTTCTATTTTAATATATAGTTTTCTTGATTTTTTTTTGTTATAAATATTATTTTTGGCATTATTTAAATTTTTTTCTTAAATTTAATTTAAATTGAATTCATTTTTGCTTCCTTATGAGGAAGCTTTGTATTCGTGACGATTTTCAATTTTTTAAAATTGGTTTATATGGACTCATTTTCATCTAGAATTAATATTGAAGTACTGAGCAAATGTCGTGAATTTATTAGATTTAATTTATTTATATGTAATTTATTAAATTTTCACTTTCCAAATTATTTCAGAAACTTTTTAACGGATTGTCCTGAAATTTTGTATGTTTATTGTAATCATTAATACCTAAAATCTGATACCAGGATTTCCGAATATATTCACAGCATTTTATTTTTTACAATTTTTTCAAAATTAAAAAAAAAAATTTTTCAAAATATTTTTTTCTTTGTAAATTTAATTTTGTTTGGTAAAAAAACTTATTTCTTGCATTAAAACGAGTCGATTAACCTATATAAAGTTTATATTTTATTGAAATCTTTAAATTAAATCATTTTTTTGAATTTTTGAAAAAAATCGTTTTTTGTATTTTTTGAAATAACTTTTTCTTATATAGAAATTTTAATAAATTCTTGTCAAAATTGTATTCCTGTGATGAAAACGAATCGATTGAAGTATTTTAAATTTACATTTTACCAATATTTATAAATGGTAATGAAATGAACACCTAGTTTATTTTAATTTTTAATTTATTGGGAGAAATTCTAATTTTTTTTTAAAAGAAAGTTGATCATGCGGTGGATAAAGTAGGTTTCTGATATTTGTCGATAAAAATAGATATCAGTGGTTGTGATGACTCAAGTAGTACATGCGGGAATGAATTTCAGGGTAAAATGTTAAGGTGCTATAATTTGAAAATACACATTCTTATTTATGGGTAAAAATTCCCGAAGTTAGGGTGTCTAACAGTCAGGGAAAAGTCAGGGAATTTCTTTAATTTTCTGGAATTGTTTATAAATAAATTAAAGTAACTATTAGTATCAAAATTTTTTTTTACTTTTTTCCTAATAAGCAAATGCAAATTAAAAAGTTGCCCTTCACACTCAATTATTATTAAGCATGTGATATATCTTATATTCATTAAGTAAATAATTATTTACTACTATTTATTGAATCTAGTAAATGATTTTTTAAACTTGGATAACAATTAATTAATTTTTTTCAGTGAAATATTTGGTTTTTTAATATAAATAAAAATTATTTAATACAATTTTATTTTATCGGTTCAACTTCAAATAAAGTAAATTATTCATTAATACGAATAATTTATTATTTAATGCTAATACCGACATTTAACTTATAAAAATTTTTACGGCGTCGAATATTTAATTATCGAATTTTTATTTAGCAAAATTGTTTAAAGTGGATTTTATATTATGCAAAATTTTCATATCGAAAAATTTACATTTAACTAAAATTCAATTTAAAAAAAATTTCTATTCAGCAGAACTCTTACAAAGTATTTTTTCTAATATTTTTAAAAAATTTTAAATTAATATAATTTCAATTTAACGAAATTTATGTCTATAAAAATTGACAAAAAAAGAACTAAGTAAAAATTTTCTTAAATGAGAATTCTGTTAAATAAGAATTAGTTGGAATTAAAATTTTCTTTAATAAAAACTTTGTTAATTAAGAATTTTGTTAAATAGAAATTTTGTTAATTGTGGATTTATTCAATGATAATTCTGTTAAGTAAATATTTTGATAAATCAAAATTTACTAAAATAACAATTCTTTTAAAAAAAATTGTCTTTGTGAAATTTTTCTTGACATAAATTCTCTTTAATTTATAAAAGAATTTGAGAATATTTATACGTCTCCAATTAGTTTATTTATTTCAGTAAAATATTTTATTTTTTACGAAACATTATTTATTTATAAGTAAATGATTTAATTGTATCAAAATAAATTTTATTTGATCAAAATAAAAATTTTTTAGTGTAATTAAGTCAGAAAAAGTCAGGGAATTTTTTTCCTACACTGTAAAAAAAATTACGGAGTTAACGTTACTGGGAGTTAAAAATCAACTCAAAAAGAGAATTAATAATTAAATTAACTCCTTACAACCAACTCCCTAGGCATAAAAATTAACTCGTAAAGCATTAACTCCCTTCGCTTCAACTCCAAAAGGGTGGAACTTTTATAGCATCCTCTAGGGAGTTGAAATTCAACTCCTTTTTTTACAGTGTAGCAGTTTTGTTAGACACTCTAGAAGTGTAAGAGCAAATTTTTGATTTTATTTCATTCATTTGATAATAAATGAAATGAACACGTTATTATGAGTTTATTAAACTGTTGAAAAGATTTTTTAAAAACACTAAAATATTCTGAGTTATAAACAATTGAAGTTTTTTTAAGTGTTTAATTAAAAAATTTTAATCTCGGAATAGAATGAATTAATTAAAAGTATGTGATACATTTTTTCAATATTTTAACCCCCCCCCCCTCCCCCTTGTGATGCTTTTTCCATTTACGATTAACATGTAGTGTGATATTTTGCTAACCCCCCCCTACCCCCTAAAGCATCACATGCTTTATGGATGGCCCCTTTCATTTTAAAAAATTTTAGTATAGAAATAATTATTTTTTAGACAAATTTTCATTTTTTGAATTAACATTTGACAAAATTTCCTTTATACCAATTTTTATCTAACGAATTTTTGTTTGGCAGAAATATTATTTTATAGTCATTTTCTTTACATGGCTTTTTATTTAATCGAATTTTAATTAAGCAGAATTCTCATTCAATGGAATTTTATGTGATTCGAATTCTTAAATGACAGTAATTTCAATTCACCGAATTTTAAATTTATCCAAATTTATATTTGTACGAATTTTTAATTGATAAAATTTTCAAGAGGCCGGATTTTCATTTCTCTGAATTTATAAATATTCAAGCAAAAAGTCGATAGAAAGATTTCGACGCAATTTTTTAAAAATTGACCAATCACGATTTTCTTAATAATTTCTAATTGATGAATTTTCAAAAATTGTGCCAAAATCTTTCTATCGTCTTTTTGTTCGAACAAATGAAAATTCGATATCTTAAAAATTCGGTGTATTAGAATTTTTTTCATTTAAAAATTTGAATCACATAAAATTCGATTAAATGAGAATTCTATTAAAGTAAAATTAGCTTAAATTAAAATTCCGTTAAATAAAAAGTCATGTAAATTAAATGACAGTAAAATAAAAAATATGACAAACAAAAATTCAGCAACTAAAAATTTTCTTATGTAAAAAATTCGTATAAAAAGAAAATCTGTGAAATTTTAATACAAAAATTGAAAATTCGTCTAAAAAATAATTATTTCTAATAAAATATATTAAAATAAAAATGTTAATTAATGATTTTTATGGGAAATTCATGTGCCCTGTTTTTGTTTAGCTTAACGTTGCTTAAAATTCTTGACTCATACAATTAGTGAAAGTAATTTTTTTAAACTTTAATTTTAAAATTTTTTAATTAAAAAATGAAATGTAATTTAATAATATTTAATTATATTCTATCAACTTTTAAATGGTAAGTAATAAAAATAATATTTAACCCAATATTCTATAGATGGCTTCACAATTCGATGAATCTCAAACTACTTCTAAGTCTCTTGGTCAAGAATTGTGGACAACAGAAGAAGATGGAGAAAACGAGCCACCAAAAATGACTAAAAATACAATGTCAGCTAAAGATGCATTGAAGGTACGATAAAAATAAATCTATTTTTTTAATTATTATATTTAAAAAATAAATTGACTTTAGGCATGAATAAATGATTTTAGAAAAGAATAAAAGCTGCAATCGCGCAAACGACCAGGGAGACGGATATTTTGTGCTTGGAGCGTGCTTTCAGCAATGTACGTATTTGATTAAACATATAAATTGATGTTAATTATTAGTATCATTAATTAATTCGAAATTTTGTAATTGTAGAAAGAATAAGGAATTGAAGCGAAAGTTGTTCCGTACAAGCCTCCCAAATACAGTCTGCAAAAGACAGTAGCCACTCAGGTAAATTGATACAGAAAAAATATTTTTTTTCAACAGAGAAAAATGTATAATATCTACAAAAATTCATTTTCAATCTTTTTACAGTATGACGTCCACAATACAGATGTAAGAGATAGGGATTTAAAAATTTCTGCTCTTATGGAGGAAAACGAAAAATTAAAAAGAAAATTAGAAGAAGCGCAAACAGAAATAAATAACTTAAAAGCAGTAATTGCAGATGTGAACTCAATGGGTTGATAATTTCAACTACAATTCAAAATTTACATGTAATTACAATATTATTTTTATACGTCGTCAAAATTATATACTATTATAACAAGCGATATATTCCTTGCTTGTTCGGTTGAACTTGTACTCCTTATTGTTTACATATTCTAGTTCATTCATATGTATTTAATATTATTTAATCGTATTTCAAAGTTAACCATAATTATAATTCTTAATTAGGGGCCATTCATTAATTACGTAAGGGTCCTTAGGGGGAGGGGGGGTATATAAAATCTCTACATGGTCTTACGTGGGGGGTGGGGGGTAGAAGCTAATCTTACGTAAGATTTTGCCTAGTATTTTTCATTTGTATTGATGTAATTAATTTTTTAATTACATTAATATTGTTAAAAACTTACGTAAGAAGGGGGAGGGGGGGGTCCGAAAAATCTTATGTATCCTTACATGAGGGTAGGGGGGGTTAAAATTAGCCAAAATCGTCCTTACGTAACTAATGAATGGCCCCTTAGGTAACTTTTCGTAAAATAAAAATATCCATTCCATTATTATATAATGTATATATATGAATAAATTAATTATTCTCTTATAAAATTTATTGATTTAATTTAATTTTTTAACTTATTATTTATGATACTTTTACATTTAATTACACGTCAATAAACAATTCGTAGAAATTCTTTGGTTTGGTAACTATTTTAATTTCAGATTAAAAAATTAATATTTTTGTCTATAATTTGAAATTGAAAAATAATTTTTTTTACAAAAAATAGGGTAAGTGTACAATTACGGCGAGTGCGTCAATTACGGCGCGTTCATAAAAAATAACTATTATTACTATTATATTTAATATAACTGTTGCAAAATGATTTAAAAAAATTATTTTAATCTGTTTTTGTTACAATTAATAATAAAGATGCACATTTAAACAATTTTTAATTTAATTATATGAGATCAAATTTTTCCCCTTGCCGTAATTAAAACATTTTTAAGATTTCCAGGCCTCGGATCATATGACTTTTTCGGCTTTTCCCGACTTTTTTGCAAAAATACGATTTTTTTCGACTTATTTTAATAAAATATGACTTTTTAAACATTTAAAGAAAAAATTTAAACAAAATACGTTTATTTAGTATATAATGCATATCTTCTTTAGATCTTCTTTATTTCAATTATTTAACAAATTTTTAACTAAAATTCTTCACTAAATTAATTATTTTTAATAATTTTAATGAAATTCTTCACAAATTTAAATTATCTTAAACTATTTTTCAATTAAAATTTTTATGTTTAATTTAATAATTGTTTAAAATTTTAAGAAAAACAGCAAATAAAATTACCATAAATTTTTAATTCAAAATCACTTGAAATATAATTATTTGCAAAAATTTCAATTATTTTTAGCGATTTTTATAATATTCTTCGAAAATTGAATTATAATTATTATCTGAAATTTAACACAATCTTTTAAAATTCAATTATTTTTAAAAATTTCAATTTAAAAGCTTTTAAAATTTTCCATCTAAAATTTTTTGAAATTTAACAATTTCAATAATAACTCTCCTGAAATTAAAGGATTTTTAATGATTTTTATAATATTTTTCGAAAATTCAACTATCTGAAACTAGTTTTTAATTTAATAGTTTTCAAATTATTGTATTTTTGTCTGCATCTGTATCATCAAAAATTTTAAATTAAAAATCACTTGAAGTTCAATTAATTTCAAAAATCAAAATTCTAAATCTTTGAAAATCCAATTACTTTTAAAAAAATGTTATCTAAAATTATTTGATAAATTATATTTAGTTCTGTAAAATTTAATTATTGTCTGAAAATTAACCAAATCCTTTTGAAATTCAATTATTTCTAAAAATTTCAACTTTAACTCTTCCAAATTATTATTATTTTAAAAAATTTTTTTTTAAAAAATCTGTAAAACTTGTTAAGTATTGCCTAAAAATTTTTTTGACCATCAAAACTAAAATTTTTAATTCGAATAAATTGATTAAATCAGACTTTAAAAAAATTATAAAAATAGAACTTTAAGAATTTTTTTTAGAAATTTGTCTTACTTAAGTAAAATTTTGAAAATTTTTCTTACAATTAGTTCGTTTCTGAAATATTCGAAATAAATTTTCTTGATAATATTCATTATAGAATTATTCTCCTTACAGAATTAATAAAATGAATTTAGAACAGGGTTTCTACAAATTTCTCTTCGCGATATTCCATGATTTCTAGGTGATAAATGATAAAATTTCCATGATACTGCAAAACTTACTGTGAACATAAATTATGACAAATTAAAATACTGAAAATCGGTCATTTTTAACGAACGTGTAAATTCGAGTTTTAGATCATGGAATTGAAAAAATTACATGATATGATTAGAAATTCCATGAGATTTCCATGATTCCATGATCCAAAATTAATTTCCATGACATTTCCATGATTTCCATGATTTGTAGAAACCCTGTAATATCAAATAACATTAGTTATTTAGAGTAAAATATTCATTAACCAATTAAATTTTTCGACTTTTTTGAATAGAAATCAACATAAACGACTTTTTTTGTTCCTTAAAGTCGATCCGAGGCCTGAAAAAATTATTTTAATCTATTTTTGATACAATTATTAATAAAGATGCACATTTAAACAATTATTAATTTAATTATTTGAGATAAAAGTTTTTCCCTCGCCGTAATTGAAACATTTTTAAGATTTCCATTGGCTTCAATTACGGTGGGCAAAATATCTTCAAAATACACGTAGTTTTGGTCACCGTAATTGATGCACCGAAACTGATGCAAACGCGCCGCAATAGAAAATTACGGTATTAGTTTTAATTTCTCATATTTGTTTAAATAATCGATTTTTATAAAGTTAAATCTTTTTTTAATATATCTAAATAACATAAGCTTTTAGTTTCATAAGTCTTAAATAATTGATTTTCTACAATAGAAAAGTTGAATTTTCTATTTCAAATGTGTTTTGACTCGAATCGCGTTGCATTTTACCCTAGCGAAAACTATAAAATACAAATTTTTTCTAATACAAATCTATTGTGTGTAAATTTTTAATTTGAAAAAACTGTAAGTAATTTATTAAAAAAGACGAGGAAAACAAAAATTTTTAACCGAAATAAATAGTTTATTGACATTTTTTTTAAAAAATAAGCTCAAAAGAAAGTTTGGATTTTTTTCTGTAAAAAGTAGTTAATTTCAAAATGAGCTAAAAACAATTAATGAAAAATTAAAATTGGATATAAAAAATATTTAAATAAAAATATGGTATAGAATTTTTAATTTAATAAAAAATTTCGTTACTACTTCTACAATTCATTTTTAAGTATTATTATTATATTTATAAATTTTTTTTTTTATTGAACGTGACATACAATTTATACATATTCGTAATATTCCTCGATAAATTGTTAGTAGATAATCTACGCGCTTTTCTTCCTCTTTTGCATTATTTTTAGAACACGTGTTGCAAACTTCGATACCTCTTTTTTTTCTCAAGAGCTATGTTGGTATTTTTTTTTCTTTATACAAAAATTATACAATTGCAATCGAAAGATTTTTTTTCATAAACAACAATTTTTTTTTGTTACTTTTACAATAAGTTACGTTCTAAAATTAAGTTTACTTCTAAAATATGAACTATATAATTCTCACAAATAAAATAATTTTTTTTTTCAAGCGAAAGTTAAAAGAAATAAATTTTTTCTTTGGCACATGAAACAACATCTTATAAACAAAATAGGAAAATATTTTGCTTGAGCATTGAGAACGCGAAAAAAAAAAAATTCCTTCTAATTATTTTGAATAGGAAAATTGCTTCTAAATTATTACTTACAAAATCGTCTACAATTTTTTTTTAATATTAAGAAATTTTTAATCTTTTTTTACTTATTCGATTTTTAAACATTTTTTTTTTTTGAAATTTTATGAATTTCTGACTTTTAATTTCTACACTACGACAGTGTTTTAATTCTTAAATTATTATAGAACTGTTTTTTTAGCTCACAATCAGTTATGAGAGCTTTTAGTTATTACTTAAATTTAAAAATTTTTTGTACACTTGAAGTTGCCCCGTCACGACTTATCAATTCTTATCACTTTTTATAACTTTCCCCAAAAACACTTCCAACTACACTCAAGTAGTTCACACTTTTTTAGTTCAATTTTCTATCAAACACTCATATTTAACCGGACGAACAATATTTTCGATTCTATAATCAAGTTTGTGGGACTTGATTATTAAATTAGGACCTCAGATTGTCCTGCAAATGGCCCTGAGGGTCCTGGGATTTTGTTCGTTTTCCGGTTGTCGGGGGCCTCAGCTCACGGCATCGAAAATAATTGATTTCTTTTTTTTGGTACCGTGAGCTGAAGCTCGGTCTACCGACTATCACAAAATACATCCTCTTCAATGGTCTCGACTGGTCGATGATCTTCCACAACCATAATTGGTGTAGCTCCATCGTGAAGGCTCGTTTTCGACATTGATCGTCTATAAGCAGCTCTTGATACACTTCTTGTGAAACTGAATTTTCTAACAAGTTTCTTGTCCAATGGAGCTGGACTCTTGGGACTCTTGGCCAAGAATTCTTCATCAGCTTCATAGTGAGCCACCAATACTTCGGCTGCATGTTCCTGAATAACGTCCACTGCAAAATCAATATCATAATCCGTTGCATCCTCCTTGACAACACAAAATCTTAGAGTATATTTATTCATTACTCTCGACGGTATCATGTGTAGCTTTCCCGAGGCGTTAATATTTGCCAAAAGTTCCTGATTAATCTCATCATTCTCCTTCATACGAAAACATACCAATCCCACTGTCACGTCATTAACCACCTCAAATCTTTTATCCCTCTTGATCTTGGTCTCAAATCTCTTTGCCAGTCTAATATGATTTCGTATATAGTTTTGCAAACCTGTTATTCCATAGGATCTCATGACAAACCATAATTTAAGAGCTCGAAAACGTCTACTCAATGGTATACCCCAGTGACGATAATCTATCGATTCTCCAGAGTTAGCGTGCTGAAGATAGAGTGGATCAACGACCATTGCCGAGGTTAATTTAACTCGATCTCTCACCCACAAGCAGGAACAGTCAAAATTAACCAAAAGCCATTTATTTGGATTAGTATTAAAGGAATCAGCGTACTCGATACCGGCCATAAATGATCTTAATTCTGGACAGATAAAAGCACTACCAGCGTAAGCTCCATCGACGTGTAACCAAATTCCTGAATATTTACGGCAGACTGGTCCAATTTCCACGAGATTATCAAATGAACAGCAACCGGTGGATCCCAAAGTAGTGGAGACAAAGAAAGGCACTAGTCCATTGGATGTGTCTTCACGAATCGCCGTTTCCAAACGTTTACCCCTTAGACGACATTTATCATCTGGCTCGAGTACTCGAAGTTTCACAAAACTAATCATTGCTGCTTTTTCCACACACGAGTGGGATTCCATGGAACAATAGGCTACAAGACGTGGAAGAAATGCTGAATCCTCAGTATTGGGATCCTGTTCCTTAAGCATTCGAATTATTTGTGTTCGAGCTGCAAGCATCGAGACAAGAATACATTCGGAAGCTGAACCCTGTATAACTCCACCACCTTTGCCAGCTTCATTATCGGCTAAAAATGCTGCCGGAAGATTCATTGCTTTTGCAAACCAATCAAGGACAATTGTTTCGAGCTCTGTGCACGCTGGACTTGCAGCCCAAGAAAATCCAATGCATCCTATTGCGTCAGACAACATGTCACCGAGAATCGAAGGAAACGAGTTGCCGGATGGGAAGTAGGCGTGAAATCGCGGATGCTGCCAGTGGGTAATCTAAAAACAGAAAATTAAATGTGAAATTATTTGTCTAAGTTGAATTAATATAGTTGTAAAGGAGTTCTAATAGTGTATTAACCCTGAGGGTACGGAACCAGGAGAGAAAAATCAAGACTAACAATTTAGTCGCCGGAAAGTAAAACCACACATAAAATTCTGACTCCCATTGAATTAACATGGCCGTCAGAATTTTATGTGTGGTTTTACTTTCCGGCGACTCAATTGAGGTTTGGTTTTAGATTGAACACCTAGTCTAGATAACTCAGATTGTAATCGGCGTTGATACCATCATCATCTACCATTGTTTCAAAATTAGATATCAATGCTCATCCCAATCATATTTCATGACTGGTATACTCTGGTAAAAATTCCAGACTGTTTCCGGACTAATCTGGAATTAGTTCGAAATACCTGAAATCCGGAATTAATCAGGTCTAATCCAAAGTCAGTTCGATCAGACGTAACTAGTGAATGCAGATTCTAGATTTACTGATTACACAGGCTGGATAAATTTTGGATTCAATAGAAGTAATTTTGCATTTATTAACAGTCCGAAAATAATATGAAATATTTCGAAATTAGTGTGGACAGAAAAACAAATGTGAGATAAGTCCGAAGTAGTCCAAAACTTATATGAAATCAGTCCGTAACAATTCAAGTCAATTAAGAAACTTAATCTAAAATGAGTCCGGAATAATCCGAAGTTTGTATGTAAGAAATTCGGTATTAGTTAGCAACAATCTTAATCTGGTTTTAATCTGATATAACATCTTAATTCGAAATGAGTCCAGAAAAATTCGGAATTTATAATATACAAAATCATCATTGTTGTGGACTAATACCAGATTTTTTACAAACAGATTTTCAATTAAGATTTTAGACTTGATTAAATCCGTATTCGTTACACATAGATTGCCGAATAATTCGGACTCTTTTCTGATGAAGATTTTTATTTAGACTGCGACTGCAGATTTTGTACATATTAATACCGAATTTTTCCAGTCTATTTTCGGATTAGGATTTTTTTACCAGATTAAATCAGGATTATTGTAAACTAATACCGGATTTTCTACATAAAGATTATTACGGACTCATGTCGGATTCAGTTTTTTGACAGCATTTAATCCAGATTGTTACGTACTTTTTGCGGATAGTTTACATACAAATTCTGGATTATTCTATTGAAAATTCTGATTCTGGATTGAATTTGGATTGTTTTTTAATCTAACTAAAATCAAATTATTGCGGATTTCTTTCTTGTCAATTTCGGACTATTCCGGACTGATCTCAAGTTTATCTTTTCATGCAGACTGATTGTTGACTAATATGCATTATTTTCAGATTGTTTTCGAACAATATCTGGACTAATCCGGACTGATCTGTCTGTATTTAATCTGAAATCAATTCGAAATTTTATCCATGTCATTAGTTTTAAGACATCAATCTTGAATCAAAATTGAAGTTTCAGGCTTGAATCGGTGTTACTTTTTTGCTATGCTTTTTTTCCATCATTGACTTAGCTAAAATTGATCAAGTCTCAACCAAACCTGAGCTAACTAGAACCCATTGTCGATTCTCACCTGGGAAGTGGGTTAGTGTAATCTTAGCGAATTTTGATAGTACCCAAGTAAGAAGCGACATAGAATCAAGCCACAGTCTATTATCAGGTTGGATTTACATGTTGATGTAAATGCAGAATGTAATACCGAAAATAATGAGAGTGAAAAGGACAGGGATATATCACTATCCTTTTCACTGTAATTATTTTCGGTTTTGCATTCTGCATTTACATCAACATGTAACTCCATCCTAAATCTCGATTTTTTCGCCTGTAGCGGTATATTTAAATATGTCGATGAAGGGGGTCTGGACCTTAGGGGAGAACATTTTGAGGTCCTAACAGTACCTGTAAGATTATTTTGGCAATGTCAATCTGCGCTTGATGTTCAAGCTATACGTTTTCAAAAATTGTATTTGGGTATTTTACACCCAATCTGTAGTGAACGTTAGAAAATTCATTTTTAGTGAAAATTAAAAATTGTTTAAAACAATTTGAAAAAATTAAAACTAAAAACTTTATGGAATCGATTTTCAGTGCTTAAAAACACTTCGAGAATCAAATTACTTCAACAACACTGTATTTGAAAATTCTGGCGCCAATAAATTAACCTTTTTACATCTAGGCAAAACTGAACGTTTAAAAAAAGAACACTGCAGTTGTTCTTAATGGTTTTTAGAGTAAAGCTGAATATGAACCTGAGGTTAGGTTTTTAAAATTCTAAATGTTCGTTTAAATATGTCGGTTGAAAGTTTTAAAAACTTGAAACTTGTTTCTCAAGGATTTTCTGGGTCGCTGATTACGAATCTAAGGTCACTTTATCAATTTTTTTTTTAAATTCACCAGATTTGATTATAAATTGTTACTCGGAAGTTTTGGGGTCACTGATTATGAATCTGATGTCAGTTTTTCAAAATTCAAAATGGCGGATCCAATATGTCGGACAAAATTTCAAAAATTTATCGAATTTTCTTGAAACTCGTCACTCGGAGTTTTGTGTGGTCGGTGATTACGAATCCAATGTAATTTTTTTTATAATTCAATATGGCGGGGAAAAAAATTTTAAAGCCGTTTTAATTTGCTTAAAACTTGTTACTCAGGGGGTTTTTGGGATCACTAATCACAAATCTGTAGGGAATTTCATAAATTAAAAAAATTTTGACATACAATCAACATATAGATGTTTGTTTAGGATAAATGATTTCTAATTTTATTATTAGTTATTTTTAGAAAATTAATTTTTTTTCATTTTTACGTTTTATTTTTATGTTTGTTTTTTTTTTTAGTGAAATTTGTTTTTCACATTCAGATGACATAGGCCAACAATTATTATTCTTTGTCTATATTAAATTCTCAAATGTTTGGTGAACCATAGAGTATTTATTTGAATGATTATAGTCTATTGTAGGGATAGTGAATTTTATTGGGAAATATTGAATTTCTGAATATAAAAGGGAATATCGAGAAGAGTACATATTGAAACCTTTAAAAGCTATTAGAGTAGAGGTTTCACGTGTAATACAATTTAAAACCACACAACAGTGAAGGATTATAAAATAATTTCTTTTGATAAAAGAATGAGTATTTTTGTTTTTTTAGCAGTTTTTAAGTAATTAGTCATTTATAAGATTGAACATATTTTAATATATATAACTTATAATATAAATGAAATTGATTTGATTCAATTTTTTTGTTACAGCAAATATTTAACTAGATTATTTTATATTTAATAATTCATGTTTTGACATTTATGGGTCAATTGAAATGATTTTGATTTAATCCGTTGAAAATCATTAATATAAAAGCAATTAATTTTTTTAAATGATTTAAAAATCAATTTGAAAATAAATTTTTTAATTGATATTCTTTATTTTACAATTTTTTGTATTCTTTTCTTCTTTTTTTTTTAATTTTTGGGAGGTTTTGTAAATTTATAAATTATAGTACACAATACAAAAATTAAGAAACTTACTCCGGGCATTATTTTGCATTCTACATCCCTCATGATTGCTTCCCATGGTTCCGGTTTAAGGGGTGCTTCTTTGGGCAGAAGAGGCCTTAAATAACCGGGATCGACGTTTGCTGTTACTCGTTTACCCTCTAATGTTCGAAGGTATTCACAAATGTATTCCACCATTTCTTTTCCACGAATACGAAACTCCTCGATATTCATGATAACGATGCTAAATTTTTAGAAATTTTTTTTCTTTATTTATTTAACACATCACTTTAGTTTATTTTTAATTAAAGGTTTTATTTATTAAGTTTTTTTTAATCTAAAATTTCCTACGAATACAAGAAATTTGTTTAATGAAAAACAAATCAGTATTTTCATACTCACTTTAAAAATTTTGTTTTTTATTAAAAATTGAATCGAATCATTAAAAACAAAATTGATTTCTTTTCGATTTCTATCTGAAAATTGCACTTAAATTTAAAATAAATTGATGCTCGATTTTGAACGGCTCCATTCAACTTTCGGTACTTAGTTTAAACGCAGGTGCAACTTTCCTCAACAACATACAATGAGAGACTATGCTGGCTGGAACAGCGCAAGTCGGGTTTAAGCTCGATTGTATATTTTCTGTCCACGCAAAAAAAAATTCTGAAATTTAATATAATCTTTAATATAGGCCTAAAAAAAATTCTAAATAATTTAAGGTGATAAAAATTATATATGAGGACTTCTTTTTTTTTAATTGGAAAAAAATCTGCAATTACATTTTTTTATATTAAAAAATAATTTCTTTTTTTTTATTTGTCTTTTTATATGGGTCATATTATGAATAACGGAAGAGTAACATTATTTTTATAAGAAAAAAAATGATAGACAAATCCAATATTTTTTCATTATGATGAGAATGTAAAAAATAGTGCAAAAATTGAAATTTATTTTTAATTTAATAATAATGATGATTATTTAGAAATTGATTTTTGTTTTTAATTTTCTACTAAGGAAGGTCCACTGAGAAAAAAGGTTTGAGCTGACAACCAAATATTTCATTCAATATATGTGCAACTAAAACTTTTTGGTTGACACAACTAAACTTTAGTTGACAACAACCAAAGTTTGTTTCAGACGACTAAATAAGAAAATGAAAAAGAATTTGGTAGTCTCAACCAAACTTTGGTTGATGTCAACTAAAGTTTAGTTGTGTCAACCAAAAAATTTTAGTTGCACATATATTAAATGAAATATTTGGTTGTCAGCTCAAACCTTTTTTCTCAGTGTCCATATTACTAAAAATGTCATATATCTTATGTGAATCCCAACAGCACCGAAACTTTCCTGATTTAGTAAATAATTACTTGCAATATTTGGAATATTTAATTGCAATGTTTATTGAAAGTTATGTTTCGGTGCTGTGGGGAAATGTTTTGTAATGTTGAAAAAATAATTTTTTTAAAAACAAAATTCATAAAAATACGTCTTTTATATTATTATGTAAAGAGACAAGTCTGCAGGAAGTAAAAGATCAGAAGACACGTGTTTGTTGATAATAACAAAAGCGTGGATGAAAAATATTGAATTATAGAAAATCTACGGGTACTGTCGATACTGAGTGGTGACCTGTCACCGGTTCGAAGCTTCAACCAAGTGTTGTAAATGTAGGTGAAGAGTAAATATCTATTTATAAACAGAAGGGGGAATTTACCCCCATACAGTATATCGGCGCTGGTCCGATACTCTTTTATTCAAGCAGCGACCCCGTGTACATACACAAATATTATGACATAGATGGTCACTCTCCATATATAAGGTAAATGAACCTGATGTGGATCATATGCTCTAAATGTGGATTAATGTTGATCTTATCTTATCTGTTCATTTTTGTCATTTTAAAAAAAAAAATTTATCCTAATAAATACATACATATTTAATATAATTAACTGATATTTTGAATATCATCCGATATGAGATGGAGAACCCGCGAACCGAACGGTTGAATTTTATTAAATTTCTTTTTCTTTCTATGTTTGATATTCTAATATTTCATATAAGTCATTTTCATTTTTTATTATAAATCATGTGCCTGTTTAAATTAATTTAATTACTTGCCTTTATGATCTCTCTCATAGAGTATCAAAGCAAAAAATTACTTGTCATTTAATAGAATGTCGAAAAAATAATTTTCTCAAATCCATCGAATTAATAATAAACTGACGATACAGTATTCCTTTATGTCATAATTAAGTTATGTTCATAATGTGTTATAACGTTGAATTTATTTTTATTTTAAATTATTTATTATTATATTTTCAAGACAATCAACGTTATCTACACTTTTCATTATTAATTTTGCCAAGACGCCAAGTTATTTTATGGAAAATAACTGAACCTGAAAAAATAGTTAAATAACCCGACAAGTAAATTTTATAATTCTAATTAGGAAAAACTAAAACCAGCTCAGGAATTCCATTGTTAATTTGTAGCAACAATAGACCGCGGAGAGGGGGGGATAAGGATTTACAGTAAAACCCTGACTTACGCTACCCCGTTTTACGCGTATTTGGAGATACGCGGTTTTTTTTATGGCGGCGAGAATTAACTCGTAATTAATTAATAAATAATTTATTGTTGTTTTTTACTTTGTTTTTATTCATAAAAATGTAAATAGTTTTATTACGTGATATTTTATTAAACATATTTCTTCTAAATTATTGTATTTATTTTATATGAAAACTTAAACCCCGATTTACGCGAATTCGACTTACACGGTTGTCGCTCAGTCCCACCTATCGCTAAAGTCCGGGATATTACTGTACACCATTGATTAGACAAAATTTATAAAAATAACACTATTTATTAATATTCACTTTAAATTTTAGAAAAAGTTAAATAATGGCCGAAGGCCGAAAGACAAGATTTATATTTTATTTATTCAATTATACTTTAATAATAATAATGAGATCGATTCTGAAGGAAACGACTCCTAATTAATTTATTGGGACTCACTGTCCATTTGACGACGATGACGCCTCATCTCATTTTTATAATTTTAAATTTTAATTATTTTACACGAAAAAGAATAAAACACAACTTGAATCTACGAACACCAGGATGAGAATGGGAGTGAAATTGCTGACGAGTCAAACTCGAAAGCGTCACTATTCGATGTTCAATTGATTGATTCGAGAAGTTCATACGAAATTGACTGCCAATAATAGTTCGACAAATCGTCAACAAAATAGAAATTTCGTCTTCCTGGTGTTCTTGAATATTCGAGAGTCTCATTGAAATGTAGACACCAGGAAGCTCTTCCCTTGATGACTTCTAATTTCAATGATAGATAGTGATGCGAGGGGCTATTCACTGAGATCCAAGAGATCCAGTGACAATTAGATGACAAGAAATCAAAAGAGACGGCCAGAGATCGCAAAATCCTCCCAGAGGAAACAAACGAATGCATTCATTGTTTTTTTTAAATAAATGTTCGAATTTTATTTATTAAATTACATTTATTTTTAATTTTCACTGTAATTTAAATGTAATCTTGATTTTATTTCAATTGATTATTTATTTAGTTTATTGTTTATTACATTAAATTCACTTTAAAGCATTAATTATAAAATGAGTTATTTAATTACCATGTTATTTAATACTTACTTTTTTTACTAATATAAATTAACTCGAAATTAATATAATTATAGTTAATGTGGAAATTTTAAACTATTGGTATATTTTTTACTTTATCAATAAATTATGTTAATTAAACTATTTATTTGAAATTTTGAATGTACATAATAAAACTGAAAAATTATTTGTTTATTATAATTATTAATTATTATAATATAATACAGAGATAAATAATAATAAATGATAAAAAACTTAGGAATCGTATGCCTTTTAAATCATTTTGTGCCATTTTTTTAATTTTTAATTAAAAAATATTTCATGTAAATAACCTTGAAAGTAACCTTAAGAAATAAAGAATTTTATTTTAATTAAATTTAATTTAAATAACCAACTTACAATTAACTTTGTTTTTCCCTAAAAAATTTTAAAAATAAAAATATTGTGTTTATGTTTATAAGTATAAATAATAAAATATTTAACCCTTACACAAATGTAAACAATAAACGACATTTGTAAATTATACGTCTTGAAGGAAGTCGAGAAGCCAATAGTCGAATTAACAAAACAATGCGATCAATGCGATATCCAAGAGACGGCCTGGGACGACCAAAGATGACAATTGACAAAAAAAGGAGTACGTCGTCCCTGGATCTTTTGGATCTCAGTGAATAGCCCCTGGTAGTGATGTCCGCAACGTCTTTGTGACCTGGCAAGAATCCTCAATGCCTCGCGAGAGTTTTCATAACAGAACGAAAGGAAAAATCAGAATCGAATTTATTTATTACAAGTCGACTATCAATTTTACGACTTTAACAAGTTGGTTTATTAATACGTTAATTTATTATTTAAACAAAATAAAGTTAGTATCATAAGAAAACAATTTTTATAATTTATAACATTTTACAGCCATTATAACTGGATTCCCACCCTGGTGTCGTTTATTTACAAAATTTATTATTTTTAAATCTGCATTACATTTGTTCTTCTGAGTCAAATTTAAATAATCTGTTCTTAATTCTTCGTTACTTTTGACTAAATCGTCTTGCCACTTCGATGTATCTTTCAGGTTTTTTCAAATACTATTAAGCTCTTAGATTAATTAAATTAATTAAATTATTTCATAAACTTGCGGTCAAAAGCACTAATCCGTCAGATCATCGACAACAAAGTTTGATTTATAAATTCTATAACTCTCGGCTTCTTTTTGTTTCACTTTGTTTAAAACTGCGCATACCATCTGGATTAATTAAGATGACTTAAAATATCAAAGCCGAATGGATGTCCCGTGTCCTCAAGGGCAAAGCTTCCTGGCACGTATATTTGGAAGGGGCAGTGTCCAAGTTAGCCCCGTGAGGGGAAGCACTATACCCCCACTCTACCGGCCGGGCCATAAACACGGAGCTGGAGGGACACATGCACCGCGGGGGGCCTGAGCAGCGTTCTGGGGCCTAATGACATTTTCTATTTATGGCCCCTAATGAGTTTTTCCTGAAAATTATAAAAATTTTTAATATTAACAATTTTTAATTTTTTTTAGCATATTCACATTCCTCATAATTTCACGATTACGAGCATGTGTTGTCCCAATTAAAAATGTTAATATTTAAAATGTTTATAATTTTTATTGAATTACAGTTGCCTGAATCCCCCAGTATTGATCTAGTCATTACACAGAATAACTTTTTTAATAAAAATTAAATCTTTTCAAATATCAACATTTTTACCCCTTATTTTTTTGCGATTCAGACATAATTTTTTTTTTTAAATGTTGAAATTTAAAAAGTTTTAATTTTTTTTTAATCACAATTTTTCCAGGCTTAGGACTGGCAGATACACTGAAAGAAAATGTATATTAGATTTCAATTTTAACAATTTATTGAAATTTAATATATATTTTCGTTCGGTGTACTGGCATGTTTAAAAAATGTGTTTT